ATAACAATAGTCCTTGTTCCCTTTGTTCCCAAATGGGTGCCTCTATTGTATCCTGGAATAGACAGGTCCGACCGTATCATCCACGGGTCTGGACCATAACATGTGATGTGGACTATCACCTGATCTCTACGTGTCACGTCTGTGGCTGAGTGGCATGAGATATTGGTGAAGCACGTGATCTGTGGTGTGAGAAAAGTCACGTGCGGACTTTGTGGCAAAAATCTGTGACACGCAGCAGAAGAGACAACAGCTGGCTGTCTCGCTACTTCATTGATAGAACAAATGCATGAGTTCTTCAGCCAGTGCCAGTGCCAGCTCAGCACAAACTAGAAGACGAACCTGCACTATCATTCTCCACAATACTACTGTTCTGCACAGGCAGTGGCTGTTCGCTATGCAACGTCAACATCGGTGAGGCTATTATGAATGTATCAATTTTACACTGAATGCACAAGCAATGCTATCTAAGAAGCTTACCTGACTCTGAACTCGTGCGAGAAAGTAGTGGATCATATTCTTCATCTTCTTGATGCAGTGGCTGCGATCGTTCTTCTGTTGACTGTTCTGAGATCTTTCAGGGGTCGACATCATGCCAATCAGCAATACACACCAGTGTTCATGGATGTTGGATCTATTTGTTCAGTTGGATCATCCCATATCATTGTAGAACTTGCTGTTAATAATTCTGTCATGAGTGGAAGTTAGCAAGCAGTGGCTCTGATGAAGTGCAATTACTTGCCTGCCATGTTTGACTGTGAACGTTGGGTCAGAGGAATGACTTCATCGTTTCAGATGTGTTGTCTTCGTGTTCTGGTAGAGTAGCGGCGAAGCTGGCTGTCATCAGTTTCTGACATGCTGTGCAAGAATTCTGAACAGCAAGTGGAGAAGGAAGAAGGTAAAAATGAAAAGATGGGCAAAGAGTCAGAGACATGAAAGTCTGACTTGGCCAACTGAAATATCAACATTAGCCTGTTCATGTAGTTAGTTCAAGATAATTATTAGGTGATCGAGTGGCACATCAATTCAATTGTGATCCCTCAAACTGTATAGAACTAGACAACCGGCATGTTATGATCTTCAACTGTGGTAAACAATAAATGACTCACATGATTTTAAATTTGTGCCACACATTGTCAATAGTGAGCACTTTCAATATGCTACTTGATACTCCTTGTCCGGGCTCACAGTTATTGTTGTAGTAATTTAGATAAGGTGGTTATTTGCAACAAATAAGGCAAAATAAAGTGTGGCTGGGCAGTAACGCTGTGGTCCTTTATCATTGTAGCTTCCATAGCCAGCCAAGAGTTATCTCAGTTGTCATTGGGTGTGGTATAAAAGGTACAACAAAGTATGGTACAACAGATTTCTAAGGTTGCTGCACCACATTCTGGGGACGTTGATTTATCAGGTGATTGCAGGAAGTCAATGCCTGCTGCCATACCACCCTACACACTGTCATGCTGCATGACCTACAATCAACCACAGATGCCAGATATGTATCAAGAGCTTCAATCTCTACAGTAGTCAAAGGACAATCAGGAGGCTCGCAAGTAACGTCTGAGAGTGTGCTTGGATTTACAGTGAATGGGTTCTGCTCAGCCCAATCCTGTGGATTGTTCTGCAGTAAATGATTCATCAGTACAGGATCATCTGCCACTTCCCAATCTATGCCATAGGCAGCTATATCATGGATGGACTCCTGAATAGCATCAGTGATTGCACGCAGACCTCGTGGACCATCTTGAACCATACTGAAAAAGAACATGTCTCGAGGGCTGCGTTCTCGCTCACTGTGAATTTGAAGATGATGTGAATTCCATGCACTGGCCCAATCTTGTGCATCATGATTGATAGCAGCCAGAAAGAGGTGATGTAGCAGCCATACGTGAGCAGCAATAGTGGGGTTGAGTCCACAGTGTGCTTCGAGGTCCAGAAATAATGTCTTCCATTTCTGCCCAAAGCCATTGGTGACATCGTACCAGAGTCACTCGATGCGTGTGTTATGAATGCTACTACAAAGCAATGTGTTAGTTTGGTAGACATAACTTGAAAGGTTTGAACGCACCACCCCCATATATAAGAACCTTGACCACTGCCTCTATGTTGCTCCATTCACTGAGCGATGAAGATGTTTTCAGTTCCATGGTCTCCACGTACTCGACTTGGAGTTCCATATTGCTCTATACCATCCAGGAAGAGGTCGAGGATCGTCTGTGTATGATTGTTGCTGCTGACGTGAATTCCAGTAACTAGTCTGGACTTGCCATCAATAAAGCAATGTATGACAATTTTGAAGCGAATGAGACCTGCAGTTAGTGAACAATGTAAGGGCTATGTGAGATGCCATGGAGAGAAGAGAGGTGAGACTTACCATGTTGCCCATCATGATGCCACAAAGAGTTTGCTCCGGCCACTGCATATACTTTGCGCTGAATATGGTGATCACCAAAGACACCAGGAGCTCCATGGACTCTCAGATATGAAGCTGTTATGCGCTCGTGAGGTACATGATGGCCAGCAGCCTTGAGATGTCCCTTGATCATGCGACAACCAAAGGTAGGAAAGACATTAAGCACAGCAGCGATGAAGTTATCTAGTTGTGCATCTGTCATATTAGACACAGGCCTTGTGGACGATTGATATGTGCAGGTGACAGTACCATCGGGCTGTGAATGGTCAGTATAGATAGGAGGAGCAGGGGAAAGTAGTTGATATTCTAGTGCATGGCGACGAATGGTGCGAGCTGAGCAATTGAGAACAGGAGCAATGTGTGTGGGACCTTGTAGCTCAAGTGCTTGTGCAAGAAAGTGTGGTTCAATTTCAATGCGGGGGCATCCTCTTTGGCCAGTGTGTACATGCTGTGACACAACAAGTGCCTGAGCCTCGGGAGGGTCTGACGATTCATGGCAGGCCTGGTCTAATGCTGTTATCATGTCTTGTATACTTTGCCTGAGCACAGCCAGTTCCGCTGGTGGAAAGATGACATGTTGCTAAAACCACCAGCTTGAGCAATCCAAAATGAATAAAGAGTCAATATAATGCTTGCCAGCTCAGCAGCCTGTAGTAGAGCCAAGGCTTGATCTCGTTGTTCACCTAAATGTGCAGCATCTCCCGAATGAGTGCGAAGAGCTCGATGTACACGGTTTTCAAGTATCTGGTATGCAGCTCAGATATTGTTCAGCTGCTGCGACATCTGAATGTTCTGGAAATAGGTGCTATGGTGGATGACTGCAAATGAGTGAAGACTTAAAAAGAGCCTCATTTTGGAACAATGTATTTTCATGGTGAAAGCACAGTTTTTTGGGTGAGCTTTTGAGCATATGGGCAGAGAAATGATCTATCACCGGTGATTACCGGTGAGCATGCAACAACTGGTGCACAATTATATGGGTGATATTCAGTGAGATACAATGTTATGCGAGTTCATATCACCGGAAATCACCGGTGATCACCGGAAATCACTGCAAATCTTTCACAATCACCAATGATCACCGGTGATTATCGGTGATATCAACAAATATTGCATAATATTGCATAATTCCCCGAATTGTAGGCTCCCCAATACAAGAGCAGAGCTTTTTGTCCAGTAAGGCCCGTCAAAGGTTGACCAGGGCACCGGAGGTCAATCGCCGCCATCTCAAACGGGAAGGTGCTGCGGTGGCAGCACCATGATGTATCACACCATGCTCTAGCGATCATCGGTAATGTATCAAGAGTTGTGCTGTGCAGCCGAGGACTGATGTATCAGTCCCCCAGCCTCTGGTGCTGATACCACTGCATGACAGTGCTGTGATTCTCATGTTTTGACTTCTATGCCTGATGCTCATTGCTGTTGTTCTGTGGCGGCTCTAGGCTTCTTGGTTCTGTTGCTTTTCTGACCGTGTAATGCTATCTGTTGCTCAGCCTATACCAGTGCTCCATAGCTCACATGATTGTCTTTGATATGCGACTCGTCGATTTACTCGGCTTCATCGCGGGACGTCAAACAAATTCGCACAACCACGCGTAGAACTTATCCCGTTACGCTACGCCAACAGGGTGCATTATTCCTGCTGGTCCTCGGCGCTCATGCCATCAGCTCTCAAACGCCACATCTCCACCATGCTCACACAAGGGCAGAACGCTCGCGACTATCACGGAGGTTCGTAGCGATCCGGTCTTTCTCTTTTGGCGATGCAATACCAGCATACCTTTTCGGTCCACAATAACTGCAGCCCATCTCGACAAACTCAATTTCGGAAGATCGAAAATTCCCCTGCTTCGATAGATTATAAGAATCTGCTCAGAGCTACCACCTCGGATGTGCCGTCCCTGAGCTTACTGCTCAGTATTGCGTGGGCAGTGAGTGACTGTGAACCGGAAGAACTCGACGACCTTGTGCGGTTTACCGCATGAACGCGTTGTGCCATGTGCACTGCTTCGGCTTTCCGCTCATCGAGGCTACGGATTTCGGTACGTGTGCGGCAGCAGTTCAAATTGCCATAGATAAGGAAACAGTTCCCAGCAGTCATCCTTCTCGCATGCATTTTGGTCTATGAATTGTTTCGATGAACTCTGAAGCGTCGAAAGGAGAGCTCTGCACTCCTACCCTGTCAACGGCTACAATACCCTCAATCTGACCTTGCGAAGATTAACTTTCTCGTGGAGTGGTACCTCGTCAACGGCAGCGACCTCAAGGCGTGCCTGCTTCCCATCCTTGGCGCGAGCACCGGCCGTAGACTTAGTTTGCGGTCGTGGTGCTCATACCTAACCTATGCATGTAAGCAGTGGTTGATTTGCCTCATACAGGCCCTGATTCGCAATGCGTACAAGTACGTCATAAGCGTAAGGAGTGATGTAGGTTGCTTCCAATTTTCCCGAGCCCGACTTGGCCATCCCTTTTATCGCGTATTTTTGCACCGCTTGCGGTCTGATTGACGTCGAGGAGGGGGATGCTCGCATGCTGTGCTAGATGTCTTGATATGGGCCTCGATAGATACTAATGCCGACTCAATGTTACAGGTCGTCCACAGAACAGCAGCACAATGTGCCTTGCATGCATTCTCCGATCATACCATGGGCTATATATGTTCTGGAGGCTTGTCTCTCTGTCAGAGCTTGACGATCTCGTGTTTCCCTTCGAAACCGTGCAGGTGAGTCCATCCCTCGTCACTTGCAGAACGAATATTGAATTGCTTTCCCCAATTGAGGAAAAACTAAATAATCATACCGCACTTTCACTTGAGCCTATGCGAAGGACAACGATGAGGATCTACCCGAGGTTGTCATGTTCAGTGACCGTCTCAATTCTGAAAGGGCGTTGGTATGTCTATTCATGTCTTAATCTGACAGGAAAATTAAACATAATTTCGAGATTCCTAACGAAGGTGGGACATTGGTTGGCTCGTTCAAATGACGGCAGCACGGTGGATTGCCGTATGTTGAGGCCTGTTGCTCTACTTTATGTTTTGCACAACTGGAATTATTCTTGGCTGGTCATGCCCCTTAGCAAAATGCGCCATGTCGGTCAGCGTAGCGTTGGATACTTGCAGCGACCATCCATACATGGACCGAGTCCGGACATACACCATTGATGTCGACGTAGCTACACAAGGACAAGCCATGTCCGACAGGAGCGGTTGATGTCAATGTCCTTCGTCGATAATTTCACGTCCATGGAACAGGCCCGCAACCTTCCTGGCAGAGGAAGGACTGGCACCGCTACACGCATCAATAATGACTCCCAGGTCAACGTGACCGTAAATGGCCCAGACTCCAGCCGATTGCGACTTCAATGCATCTACTACACAATTTATTGGTCTTCGTCGCCGATAATGCCTTCAATAATGCGACACATGCTGCGATCAAACCCGCATTTTGACTGAAAACATACGGACCGCTATTCTCAAAGAGCCTTTCCATTGTCCGCCTATGGAGAGTACATATGAACTTCAGGGTTGCCGTAAATCATAGGTTCATGATTTGGTTGAAAGATATACCTCTTGGCAACTGACTCATGGGCATTGCTTGTGAAGTGATTACATAGATAATAATATTCAATAGAGTAATATCTTCAAAGCGTACCCAATATGTTTGTGCATGCGCAGTCGGAAGTAACGCTAACGGCAGTATGTAAGATAGAACCATCAGTCCCAGTCATCATCTTCCTCTTCCTCCTCATCACTCTCTCCCATCTTCTTATTCCGTTCCAGCAACGCCGCAGCCAATGCCGCAGTAAGGTCACCAGCGCCTCCCGAGGATGCCTCTTCCGCAGGCGGTGGAGATGCGACGCGGGCTGGTGCGGCGGAATCGCTCCGCTTGCGAAGCATATGGACGCCTGCACCTTGGATGGAGGCGAGCAGGTCGCCTCGCCCAGGCTGCGGAGCAGGCAATCCTTCGATGGCCTTCGACTCTTCCGAACCGCCGGCGGGGGGCGGCGGTGGAGGCGGAGGAGGAGCACCCCCCAGAGGCGGAGGTGGAGGCGGCGGAGGTGGAGGAGCAACACTGCCTGATGGGGGAGGAGGCGGCGGAGGAGGCGGCGGGGGTGCACCACCGGATGGAGGAGGTGGTGGAGGAGGAGGCGGGGGTGCACCACCGGATGGGGGAGGTGGTGGAGGAGGAGGCGGGGGTGCAACACCGGATGGGGGAGGCGGTGGACGAGCTGGCGGTGCACTGGACGGCGGGGATGGCCGGCGCGTGGGAGGCGCAGGTGGTGCCGCAGCGGGACGTGTAGGTGGTGGCGGAGGAGGTGCAGGTGGTGCCGCCGTGGGACGCGGAGGCGGCGGCGCAGGAGCAGGCGGCGCAGGGCTGCGAGAAGGCGCTGGCGGAGGTGGCGCAGAGGGCAGTGCAGGAGGTGCAGCCTGAGGTCGTGGGGGTGGTACCGCCGGAGGGGCTGGAGGAGCGGACGGTGGAGGCGATGGTGGGTGAGCAGCTGGCGGGGGAGCGCGTGTCGGTGGCACACGAGGAGGTGGAGGTGCTGGAGCTGCAGGAGGCGATGGTGCTGGAGCTGCAGGAGGTGGTGGCGCAGGAGCTGCAGGAGGCGGTGGCGCAGGAGCTGCAGGGGGTGGAGGCGGTGGCGCTGTTGGAGGTATCGAGACGCTTTCCTGCTGACGGGCTCGCCGCGGCGCTGGGGGTGGAGGTGGCTTCTTCGCTGGAGCAGCAGCGGCACCAGGAGCATTCTTCTGTGCATCCTTAACGAAGTCCTTGATGAACTCCATATTCTGCTCGAGCAGATCTCGCGAGACACCGTGTCCCTCCAGCTCTCTTAGGAACGCAGACCACGATGGGTCGACGTTCGTAGATGTGAATCCCGAAATAGGGTCGTAGCCCATGTGGGCAACGTGCTTGAACGACCCGGCGGTGGGCCCAGAAATCATAGACTTGTCAATTCGTCCACCCTTAACCGTCTTCTTTCTCGCTGGAGCTGCATTCGGCTTCTCTGAGAGGGAAACTGAGAGGGAAGGTCGTCCATTGTTCGGCATTCGTGCGGGCTCGGTAAACATACCAGGAGCGTCGGCTTTCGTCGTCGTTACTTTCTTGTAGAACGTCTTCGCTTCACTCTCTTCGGAGAAAACGATACCAATCATACATTCCTATGCAGTACATCAAGAGGCAGTACCAGCTACACATGCAATGACTTACATCACCGGCGAACGAGTGGAAGAACGGACGGTCCTGGTAGTATTCAAATCCCTCGTACAGCTCATGCTGCCAAATAACGCCGCGTGTTCCCGCCAGGTCCACCATCCTCAGGAAAAGTGCGTTCTTCGACTTGTCCTGAACGAACGCAAGAGCACCTTGCAATCCGGCGTACGACCACTCGTCCGGCTGGGGGTATGCATAGTAGATTCGTGCGAGCGCGGCAGTGAGGATCTTGTTTGTAGCGGTGTTGATTACGCTTTTGACTTTGCCTTTTTCCTCGCTCGATAGAGTGGATTGAGCAGGCATGGTCGATGAGGGTGCTGCGGTAGCAGCTGAGGAGATGACGGAGTGCGATAAAGAGTTATCGTTCGCTTAGCTGATGAGATAAGTGGCTTGTATTTTCCCTTGCCCGTGAGAGCAAGCCTGCAAGTGTATGTAATTACAAGTATGCAAAATATAAATGAACTTTTCCGTAAAATCGCAAATACTACTCATGTAATATAGTATTTACGACGTTCCTTCGTTTTCTTTCACTGCTCTTTGATATTTGCTACGGTCATTCAAAATCAACAAGAAATTTGCATGCATACTTCTGTTCTCTATACATGCATTCTTTCATATTTCTTCCAACATAAATTTGTTCTCGGTAAGATAGACGAGACCAACTCGTGGCTGTGTGTTCCATCCTCCACAGACATACTGTATGTGCGGAGGGTGGAACAACTGGAACGAGCCGATCCACAACATCGGAAACGCGTGCATGGATCATCGCACCAACGAGAAATGCGAAACGAGCGGTCGCTCTTCGGGACGACATCATCGCTGTAGGTGACGGTCGTACGGCCACCTCCGAAACAAAAGACAGTTCGAACGGTAAATACTCAGTACTCACTAAAAGACAATCAACTCTACACTCATGCGTTCGGCGACAGCCGATAGCCCGTTCGCGGGCAGATGTCGCGATGAACGTTGAAGAGCTTCTTTACCTGTTTTGTTCAAGAAGCTCTTCAAAAGCTCATGGATGCCAGCAAATATGTAGGCCCCTGGCCATCCCATTCCTGCATACGGTATCAAAGGCAAGATGATCCCCGCAGGGAATACGAACGACCTCTCCGTGGAGCGATCGTCCTAGTCAAAGCCGCCGAGAAAATACTGGTGCGAAGACGGGCAATATTTCTTCGCAGATATACGTGAGAGAAAACGGACAATTTCTTCGCAGATATAAGTGAGATCAACGTCGTCCTCCCTCCTCGGCGTCAGCCTATCACGCCATCTAAGGTCAGGTTGAGGAAGAAGCAAGGAGGATTGGGTCGCAAGAAACGCGCCCGTACCGTCGCCGGATAGGTGATCTTCGCGGATCTTTCGTCCAGCTCGTTGTAGTATATACGCGCGTTCCGTAACAAGTCCATTCCGTTCGTAAATTTCCATATCTGCATGGTAGAATTCCCATCCCATCTCCCAAACAAAAACACGTTGCCGCACGTCATCGAGCAAGGGATCGGCGACGCGGCACTTTTCGATTTAGAGAAACATATTCCATTACAAAATGGCGGCGCCTAGCAGCCGCTATAAATACAATACTGTAGACTGGCGATTGCCGAGCTGCAATAGGGCATCTGCAGTGCGAGCTGCTATCCTCCTCCTCCCTACCTTCCCACCTCAAGTACAGGCCAGCTCACCAAGACATTAATACTCTCAGTTCATTCGCATTATGGCCGACCAACTCGTGTGTAGCACCGCTTCGAGTTGAATCATCCGCATACTGATCAGGCGACGCGATGTATCACAGTCTGAAGGTAGCGCGTTTCTCGTTGTGGCAGTTGACAGCTCTCTCACTCTCGCCGTGTACAGAGCAGATCTCTGGTAGGTTTATGTAATGATGCACTCCTGGACTCCTACAAAGTTGTGCATCAACAGAGTTCAAGGAGGCATTCTCACTATTCGACAAGGGTGCGTCCTCGAATGTCAGACGGTCACCGTGCTTATCGACTAACGCCCACATCCATCTCGACACATCCCACAGATGGTGACGGCACAATCACCACCACGGAGCTTGGCACCGTGATGCGCTCGCTCGGACAGAACCCCACCGAGGCCGAGCTGCAGGACATGATCAACGAGGTCGATGCGGACGGCAACGGCACGATCGACTTCCCCGAGTTCCTCACGATGATGGCACGGAAGATGCGCGACACCGATAGCGAAGAAGAGATTAAGGAGGCCTTCAAGGTGTTTGACAAGGATGGCAACGGTTACATCAGCGCTGCCGAGTTGCGACACGTCATGACGAACCTTGGTATGTGCCCTTTTACCCTGGATTTTAATGATCAATGGTATTCATGCATCCACGTGCATATACAGGTGAAAAGCTTTCTGATAACGAGGTGGATGAGATGATCCGGGAAGCGGATGTGGACGGTGATGGTCAGATCAATTATGAAGGTATGTGCCCCAAGACCTCCGGCGTTATGTATGAACTCACGGATTACAACGTCCTGTACAACACTCAGAGTTCGTGAAGGTACGTCATTTCACTGTAACTTTTCGTGCTTCCTCTGATGCGATGCCTGATGTAGATGATGCTGTCGAAGTGATCGGCTATACGTGTAATGCTTTCTTTGCCTTCGTTTACTCCGCGTTATTACTAGCCGTACAAGTAGCAGAAGTCCCAATCCGCAAATCAAGTCGACTAATACGATGCTGTGGAAATGCCACGTTTTTTGCTATGTCGCGAAATATCTCAAGGCCTGAGTCACTCAGTTAGCCGGAGAGCAGTACGATCGAGCCGCAACCGCTACCATGACAATATTTCCAACGTGTCTTTCTTTTGTGTCACCTCACCGAAGCCAGCCACCGTCGTGGATTGTCAAGCTCAGAATCTCCACTCGCTTTGTATGTCTTCCCGATGCCGAAGATTGCCTTCCTTAACTCGATGACCCTTCTGTTGTGCGGTACGTACTGCATAGAGTGAATAGGTCCTGTCGCTGACCGTGGGAGATTGATGAATGGGATAAGCTCATCTTTGATCAGCGTTTCATAGCCTCGATGCCATTACAAGGCTGTGAAGGTGGACAGCTCGCTTTTAAGGCCTTTCCAACATCCTTGACGTACGAAGATGCCTTTCACACTTGGTCAGTCCATGCTCCGAGTTCTCTCTCACCATACCGCTTCTATAGGCAGCTTGCGAAGATGGATGCATTATATTCTGCTAATCTGGCGATCGCTTCGGCGTCTGTTGTCTAGGCTCGTTGGCCAGTCGCGGGACAATGGGACAGACACCGCATTTCAACGTCTCGGGACCCATAGCAGAGACGGCCACCAGCGATGCGCAACCTCACAGACTGTTCATCGCGTATTAGTCGGTTTTCCGACTTGCGACGAACATCCATCCAACATTTACGCGAGTGAAGTACCCGTGCTTCCGTACTCCCTTCCCTCACCCCAGCCCGGCTCTTCGTCAGCACCGAACTCCCCGCCATCTTCCAGAGCTCTCCAGCATGCTTCTCCTCACAATTACCTCCGCTGGATGTCGCAACATCTGAGTATATGGAAACGGAACCTCGCGACTTCATTGCCGCCTATACTGCCGGAATTCCGTGGCCGGATCGAAAACACCGGCGATCAGCTTCGAGCGCTCGCATTAATCCATCCGAGGCCTCATCGTAATGCCACAGGGAGCCTTCAAGGCGGGCAGCTGCAGCCCGCAGGACAGGAGACTTTGGTTCCTGGCTCAGCCCTCCGCGCAAACTCAGTCTTCGGCAAGTCGCCTTCGACGCCAGTCTCGACTCCGGCAATGCCTCAAGGGTTATCTGGAAACGCGACTGAGCATATAGATGAGGTTGTGACAAGTCCAACGACAGAGCCTGACTATGTCAGTGTGATCGAAAGCATCGGAACTCGTCCCATGTTGCCTGCCCACAGATACACCAGCGATCACACTATATCGCCGTGCGTGCAGATGACTATTGTAATAGAAATGAGGTTGCGCTGATATGCTGCTATCACAGGAATGAAAACGCTTTCAACTATACTATCAAGCCTTTGGAGAGGTCCTATCCGCTGTACGCAGCTCGTTATTCTTCAATAAACGTCTTGGATATTGACAACTTTCGAACGATCCAGAGGAGAGCTTCCGGAGAACTGGACAGCTTGTGTTCACCCCGAGGGTGTTCTCTATTTCTTTGAGACCGAACAGGTACGTTTAAGCACGAAGATTATCTCAATTCTCCTCACACGAATTGCTCTGCAGAGAATCATAACAGAAGCAGACATTCGTGTTTCAGCAACACTCTCGCTCGTTCAGGAATGCTCTGAGACGCTGCGCGGAAAATCGCAGCAAGGTGACTCGGAGCTGCCACCTAACTGTGACGTTGTGATCACATTGGATACGATTACTGAAGAAGGAGCGGTTCTTCGTGTGTGCAGCTACTATTTTGTCGATCATGCGGCGAAGATGTTGTTTTGGATCGACGACTTCGAGATCACTGAAGCATTGCCCGGTCTGAAGATTGTTCAGTCTACATCTCACTTGAGTATGTTTGAAACGCTATCTCTCGTCTCGGTGACTGACAGGATATAGAATATGCCATGGAAGGCTACTACTGGTGAGGTTGCATTCAAGCACACCGGTGAGTGATTCGTGCTCTGTGAAGGCATATATGCTCAATATTCTTATGACAGTAGGACGTGTATGCTGAAGAGCTTTGATAGGCTGCATTGTGATATGTTTCCGCACGATGTGGAGATATCAGTAGACGTCTTGAATGAGGCGCAGCGCGTGATCCTGCACGCAATTGTCGGTGAGTGCTTCCTGGGCCAAGGGAACTCGATCATTTATCTATGAACCGGTTGCAACATCCCTGCAGATCGTGTGACTGTGTCAAACTCCACCATCGTGTATGAGAAGGAGGAACTGCAGCAGCTATTGTCGGTAATCACAACTATCAAATGTGAGTCGAGTAAGATCTACCGTGAGATTCACTGGACATCAGACAGCAGCTGCAACCACAGAACGCGTACGCAATGCGCAGATTGCATGCATAGTTGGTTAGTGTATGTTTTCCTCATGTGATCGAACATCTCAAGGCTGACGGTGGCTATAAGGGCGCATCATGCATGGGTTTGGTACGCGCGCATGTCTTCCGAGGAACCGCTCAGACATGAATTGCTTCGGTAGCTCTTTCCAGGTTCCTGAATCATCATGGCCAGAAAGTCGTCCGCCTCCGCAGAAACCAAAGCATCTTACCTAACGCAAGACTGCACAGGACGCTGCTCATGAATATCATATCACCTTTGCTGCTCAGGGCCCCAGCAGAGCATATGCATGCATTGCGCGACTTGCTGATTGACGGCAGGATGAGCTTCACACTGTTTGGCCGCTTCATAAATAAGCTACAGACGGATTGGCAGGAAGATGTGCTTTACGTGCGCCTCAACTCTTTTCATTCCATCGTTGAATCGTTTTGATGACCTGAACACGGCCAGGCGACAGTCCTCATAAATGCGAACATATCATTCATGACCATCAACGAAGTCGACTCCGGCGTGGGGCCGCGCACGCCAGCACAGATAGCGTCTCTTGTGTCAACGGCAGCTAGTATTGGCAGCGTCCTTGCTGGTCTTCTACTCATGCGCAGTTACCGTCTCACATCGACGGAGGACGTGGGCGATGTTCACATAACCAGACGTGGACCATTTTGACGTGACGTTCTGCTAGGCAAATCGTCACCTGGTAGACCAGCATGCAGAAAAAGCAGTAAGACGCTATCTGACCATGACATCGGTTATGCTAACCAGTGTCTGCCAGTTCAACTACTTGGCGAGCGGGTCTAGGGAACTGGCCTTGGACACTTTGGCAATAACGTACAGTTTGCCATACGCCCTTCTGATGTACGGGTGAGTCGGAGCATACTATACCTGAGTTTTTGATGGGCGCTGAGCTGGAAGGTGTCTCCAAATTGCGTGATTCAGGATGCTCGCCTTCCTAGTCGCATTTGCGTTCGAATGCTTCATCAAGCCTGACGATCAGTCAAGGTATGCCAGTACAGGGGTGTGGGCGTTTGCCGCGATCTTCGTAATGTGGTGCCTTTACATGGTGTTCGAGCCGAGGGAGTGGTTAGCGGGACAGTGGGTCTTAAAGGCCTGGGATAAGATGCAAAAGCGTTACGGGCGACGATCAGATAGACCCTATGAACGGGAATTGGTCTGAATTATTTGAAGATCTATTTACGAACTCGATGCCGGATGTATCGATGCATCCCTGGTGACGCATTACCGCTGAAACGTGCAGGGTCGGACGATATGCACACGAGATGGTCACGGTTCCCTAATGAGTTTGTCTCCCCTAGGCAGACCTATAAAATCGTATGAGGAAGCGACGACATACTATATATTAAGACTAATGAGTAACCCAATGACTGACCGCAACAACCGACACTGCGTAAGGCTGTTTGCGGCTATGAGGACGTCGTGGACGACAGGTGCAGCCACAGCTCTCCTAATGTCCATGCTAGTAGCACATGTACCAGTGTCGGCTGCTTGCATCACTTATTTCTTAGCCGCACAGCCTTTCTTGAAAGATGTGGCTGTGGTTGTGAGACTACGTACGGTGCTGCGCTGTGCTGCGCGATTCTCGCCAAGCAGTTCGGGTTTCCTGCTACACCTGCAATATAATGCACAGACAATGCCAGCGATTGAAGCTTGAAGAATGATCAGTTCTTGGGGTGTCCGCGACATGCACGCTGTGGCTACCATTTTGATCGCAGCTTCACCATCGACAGCGTCGCTCAAAAAACCCTCTGTCTTCAAAGTGTGCCAAAGATACCATATATTTCACTCTGTTGTGGATATGAGGAAGGAACACAGCGCTGAAGATGTTCGCTCAACAGAAAAGGCTGTCCTGCGCAGTTCTCCGGCCGACGAGAAGATTTGGAAGCGCCGGTAGCATCGCCCCGAGCGCATGTGTCTCATCCCCATCACCGCCCTGCTGCGGGGAATATAAGCAGCAGAACGCGTGCAATCGCTCTATCACCATCTCCTTCCAGTCCATCGAGTTCGTCCTCACCGTCGACGTCCTTCCGGCGCACGTTCTCTTTTGATTTCCCATCGATTGAGCTTCTGAGCGTTCACGATGTCAAAACACTTCTGCTGCTGCATCCCCGTCCGCTTCGGCGTCTTCGTCTTCTCTTTGTTGTCAGCCGTCACAGCGGGTCTACTAGCCGCCATTCTGTGGTTTATCGTCCATGGTACGCAGGCATCTGGTCTCGTCTCTCGTGATGGGTTCCTAAAGAAGTCGGCTTGCTGCTATTGCAGAAATCGCCATCAAGGCAGATGGCTACACGAACGTCAATGAGCGGACGAAGATCATCGTCATTGTGATTGCGTGCGTCTTTAGTGTCATGGCACTGCTCTCGCTGTTCGGGTACGTCGTCGCATTCGGATCGTCTGCTTCAGCTGGCTGACGCTGCTGGACAATGCAGCTTCATCGGCTCCATCACGCGCAATCGACGTTTCGTGAAGGCGTTCTCATTCATGGCATGGATCCTGTTCTTCTGCTCCCTCGCCGCCGCGGGCCTGCTTCTCTGGGCTGTCTACACCGAGAAGAACATCACGACGGACTGCATCAACTCGGACGACAAGGGCAACGTCTCCGTGGATGAGTGCACGACACACCTCAGCACAGGCATGAAGATCGCTATCACAGTGATCGTGGCGGTCCACGTGTTCGTCGAGCTCTGTACGTCAAACTCATCGTTTCTCTTGCGTGCGTGACGGGTTTCTGACGAGGCGCTTTTTTGTGATTACAGACATTGTGACGATTGTCCGGCGCTACGTTGAGCAGCTCGAAGAGGAGGACGGATGGCAGGGTCCCTACAAGCTCACGTCGACGGACGTCAGCCAGGGCCTCATGAACACCGCTCCCAACTCGTATCCTTACTCCGACCCGCATCACGCGTACGGCAACGCATGAGCGCGTCTGTGTTTGCGCATATCGGCAAGGCAGCACATTAAGTTCACGCTGTTCACTCCTCGCATTTGGCGGGCGGCGGATGGGAACGAAGACAAAATGGGCGCGCCCGTGGCTCTTGGGTGGTGGCATGGAGTGTGAAGGATTGCTTTGCTTGGATTGGAGACTCTTCTCGGGACTCATCACTGCATTTTGGCAATTGTATGCGCCGTATTTATTTGACATGCTGATGTACGTACGATTGTATCCTGCACGATCTTCATGGACTCTGTATCTAGCAGCCACTCTCTGAGGTTTTCTTTTAACATTTCACGAATTGCTCGACTCCTCATGTGATGTTGACTCATCATTGCATCAATGCCACCGCGTATCGCGGGCCAGCCCATCAGCGTGTCGCTGCCGAACGTTGTTCAACACTAAGGCCATCATAACCTAGCGCGTTCCTTCCCTGCTTAGTATCATAACCTAGCGCGTTCGAACTTCCCTGCTTGGTCGTCGCGCTAGTTGATAACTCCGATGGAACCACTCAAGGGTGCCTGTTTCTGCGGCGCTATTTCGTATGCACTCGCCGACGAGCCCGTCCTGCGCGCTTTCTGCCACTGCACCAACTGCCAGCGTCTTACAGGTAAGTGGGTATCACAACTCTGATAGACCGCGTCGTTGATACATTCGCAAGGCTGTCCGTTCGTGCACACCATCCATTTTGATGCTGCGAGTTTTTCCTGGACGCATCTCGCAGAGCCTGTCGGTGTCTCTGATCCCCGTGCAATGGACATGTTAGATTCTTACGTCATCCCATCGCGGGCGCACAAGACGCGCTTTCGCTGCAAGACGTGCGGCGCGTGCGTCGCGAATCGCAATGGGCGTACGGGGCGTGTCAGCGTGTGGGGCGCGCACCTCACGCGCGACGAGCAGGGGAAGATCCTGCAGTGGGAGCGCGTGCGCCCGACGGCACATATCTTCTATGGGACGAGGATGCTGGATGTGACTGATGGGCTGGGAAAGTGGGAGGGGTATGAAGGACGGTCGGAGAGGATTCTGGAGAGTTGAGGCCTGAGGTGTGGTACGGGCCAAATTGTGCCTGGGCCAATGGCTCCCTGGGAGAAATCGGTCAAGTTTGTGGACAGTAACAGCACCAAAGGGAATTGGGTATATGACCAGCTAGAGCTGCGATGCGGGGGAAGGGGGGGGTTGCTGAGGCCTTGGGGGATCTCGAGCATCCCGGCAGAGATATGCATCATTCCTGACACATTTTGTTGTCATTTTTTGCATTCTGTTGTACGGACATGAACTGCTTAAATGAGATTGCACACTATGAGGAAAAAGCAGAGTCAGAGTCCATCGGCGTCGACCAGTGAGAACTGGGCGAGAACACCACCAGCGCATCAAAACACGATCACGTGGTCGCCTCCGTGCAAGTGCAAATGGCAGGTAGTATGCACACACACTAACATGCTCCAAAGGTTGAAACACGGCGGTTAAAGGTGATGTGATATTCCGTCAACGGGTGCATCACGGTTAGTTGTTAATGTCCGCTAAGTGATCGCAGGCCTCAATCACGATAAGTCGGGGTCATTATGCCAGAATATGATCTATTTGACAACGCCGCGAGTTGTTACCAGTGCTTGCCTATAGCCTGTCCAATATCTCTGTCCAGCCGACAATGCGATGATTGAGTGCAAAATTGCGAATATGATATTTCTTGCCAGACCTACTACATTCAATAAGCCCAATCTTTGATGGTGAAGAGTCTACAGAAAGGAGAGATAACGTACTAGGTGCCGTGCCAATCGCCGCACCGCGCAATCCGACACAAGACTACCAAGCATATTGTTTCACGCACTAGCGACGCCGTTCGTACTTATGCTCGATGCTTGATACGATCTATCTGTGCCTGAAAATGAGTTCGATAAAATGGAAGAACGAACGTTCGAAACAAATTAGATAGGAAGTCATCGGTGCTAAAGAACGCCAAGGGGGGAAACCGTTTAGTGCGGGAGATAGTGGTGCTACGGCTCCCGTTCTTCGGCCTCCACGCCAGCCTGAAATTCGAGTATTTGTGCTGTAGATCATCACGAGGAGACGTGAATTGCGACAACGATTAACTTGATGATTCGGCCATGATACTGCTACAGGCTGAATATGGATCCGTAGTAATGGAAAGATGTGCAGATAGACCACAGGCACCGATGAATCCTTGCTAGAAATTTGACATGTTGATGTCTGACATCGTTCATGCGTACTGCGAGGAGCGATTGGCGGCACATCCAAAAGTGGAGTTGAGTGACTGAGATTCTACACCTGCACTCAGTGTCACATTTGCAATGGCAGCCCGCCATCACTACATATGATAGTTGTCTACTAAGGCAGAGCAGACCAAATTCAAAACAGCGCGAACATGGTTTATTCACAGCACCCTGCACCCTGCAATATTTGACTTGAAAAGGCTGGAAAGCTGAAGGTTGCGGCTTGAAGAAGCCATCATGGTGCACGTGATCGCGTTGAGCGATGCTAGGCGCGCTGAGCAGTTGTTCGACGACCGATCCTTGCGATCGTGGTTGTTCAACTACTCTCTCTTCAAACTCAAACTTTTGTCGACTCGCCGGAATACAGCAGAGCTACTTAGACCTTGGTATTGATTCAGAACATTTGGTGCGTCTTAGGCATTCATTGAGGTTTGGTGAGGTCTCGGACACTGCATGAGGAGCACTCAGCAGAACATGCTGATCGCGAAGGTCCTGTCACTTTACAAATGTATGCACGAACTCTAAAGGCTGCTACAGATATCTCCGCTCCCTGGTCTCGAATACCGGCTGGGTTATGGATGGCATATATTGTGGAAGGCTCCCAGGTTCCGGGATCGCGCGGATCCGCGATGATACGATCCACATATTCTCGCAAGCTCAAAACCTCCTAGAAATCCGGTCTTGAGAATCTGGCCAAAGACTGCCGAACCGTTACTGTATTCGCCGCCCTCATCAACGCCACATATTCTGTGAGGACGTCTTCAGAAAGCGCTCTGTTCGGATGCTTGCATTCGAGTACATACCGTCCGCCGCATCATGCACTTCCGACATCGGGTTCCATATCGGTTGAAGATCTGTCGCAGCCGATTTGACCGTTCACTGAAAGTCTGGTTCACGCACAATCGCTACAGAGTTCCACTTGGAGACTGCGCTTGGCCTTTGCTTCATTTCTTGACGACACGAATTTGTACACTTCAGCGCGCGTTGCTGGCTAACGAGACAACTGTGGACAATAGTGTGCGGAAGACCTGCATTGTGTATGCTCACACTATGCACAATTGTGGATAAAGCATATTGAACGTTTAACTTGACATTGAGCAAACAAAAGAAGAAGATGTTGCATCGGATTGATGCACAAGGGACGATCAACAGACGCTATGAATGGGGCTGTCCCAGGTTCAGATCAAGCGCAATTAAATTCCCGCGAGTGCTGTCTGCCGGTAGGTGTCGCACCCCTGGATTCCCCAAAACTGTACCGTTTACTCTTTGTGGCGTGCCATGAAACAAGTACGCGGACACTTTGAGCCCGAATTTCACGTCAATCGGCGACAGCAGTCGTGCAATATGTGGCGACGACGTGCCTGGGACTCCGGGGCCGAATAGTCGGACGCCTTTTGCACTGTGCTCGCCACTTTTCGCACACCATACGGTCGAGCCTGATGGGTTTCTGCTAGCAACTGGTTGCTTGCGTTTGTGTCTGTCCAATGCCTTCCTTACTACTGAATGATGGCCACATAGCATGAGTGTCAACTATTTTCCTGGCGCAGAAACCAAACACCGCAAGGTCAGCTTTATCACATCGGCTACGAAATTTTAGTGAGTACGGCAAGACAGCAATTAGCGGTTCCGATCTTGAAGGCGAACTGGTTCAATTTCGCCTGTCTGACCCCGACAGCTCAGCTTAAACCACGTCAAAGCGAGTTACTCCATTAGGGAAATGTCATGCCCGATATGGAACCATACTGAGAAGAAATGTCATTGACCGTCCACTTCCCTTGGTGTGGCGAATCTTCACGTTCGAGCTGAGCCTCAAAATTGTTCAGAGAGCAAGATATAAGTAGATGCAATCCTTTGCGTTATGACCATCCCTTCCTCCCAGCCATCTCCCACCGCCCTCATTTGTTTCGAACTCCCTCTCCTTTCTCTCATTTAAAATGCGGCTTAGTGCTCTCCAAATCGCCGCTGCGGCGACATATACACTGTCATTTCTTCAGATGTCGTCGGCGCACCCAAGCAAACCTGTGCGATTTGCGCGACATGCGTCGCATGCCCGCGATCTCAGCGCGCAGCCCTCCGTTGGGCCGGTTTCCCTTCGACAGCATCACGAACCACGAGCTGTTGTCGATGTATGCGCGAACATCGATGCAAATGTGCTTTCAGACCTCAATCTTTTGACTGTCCCTCTGAGCGCTTTAGTGGGCTTGGACGTCTGCTTGTGCTTGTCTATGCTGCCGTTGGCTCTGACGACGGACGTGCAGCTCGAGACCCTCGTTCCGCTCCTGGGTATAAATAACCTCACGGCGTTGCTCACAGCTGCTGTGAGTCTGCACTTATCTTTAAAGCGCACGGTATATCTAATGAGCGAACAACTTTCTAGATCGACGGTGCCCCCGACTCGAAGCACTGCACATACCCCCAGCATTCGAAACCTCTGTGCTCGAGCAGTGACCCATGTGGATGGGAGTGCGAGTCTCCTTACGTGAAGGAGGGTGACGAGTGTGTATGCCAGTGGCCGTACACATCGTGTAATGGTGTATGCGGCTCGTTCACCCACGTACGTCATGAGTATGTTTGTTTGCATACGACATACTCACGAAGTCTTGCCCTCTTTGACCTTTATCGACGCGTCAAACAGGGCTGTGGATCGTCCACACCTAAAGCGAGAAGACTGGGAACCAATTTAGAGAGACGTATTGAGACATCCATCGGCGTCACCACTCTTGAAGAGGCTCAGAAAACCTGTAAAGAGGATGAGACGGTACGTCACCCTGTGCCCATCGTCTGAACAATGACATAGATGTGCGCCTTCCGTAGGTATGCGGCGTGCATGCGGGTTCCAACCTGGCATATGAGTGCATCAACGTTGGAATTAACGTCGAGAGCTGTAAGTACTCTTGTCTTTTCAAGGACTTCCGCGTTTCACCAATTGTGTGTCCCCCGTCCAGGTGGTGGTTGCGTTTTCGAAAACCCCTTCATCGCCACAGGTGCCTCGGCCATCGGGGTTGACTGTTCCGCAATTGTTGGAGCTGAAGGAGTCTCTTGCGTCGATGCCCGCTGCAATGTTTCGAAGTGCAAGGACGGCTGGACAATCAGCCTCAGTGGTGATGCTTGCGTGAAGGTCGACGCCGACATCCCCACACTTGCAAATGCCAGTATATCCGTCGGTTCTCTCACAGATAAGGCCACATCGATAGTCGTGGATGCTTCCGCCGCAGGAGTTGTGCAGGCAGATGTCAGCGCGACCGCGGTGGCACCGGGCGTGGCTCAGTCGGGAATTGTCGTCAACGCGGCTGTTTCGGAAGTGCTCACTGCGAACGCCGATGCTGATAGCAATGTGCTCACAGCGCGCCGCATGTCTAAAAAGAAGCGTGGCGACGAGGATGTTAACATCGTGACAGAAGTCAATGTAACACTATCATAAGGCCCTTGGAGGGGTTTCATGGACCGTGGACTCTATATTATTCTCCCCTATCCCAGTCATTAAGCGTTACCCCATCTTCGAAATTCTGTCGTGTTAGATGTTTTACACGTCATGTGTTGCCACTCCTTATCTTGTCACTCCTTTGCTATCGTACTGTCATTGTAGTGTGGTAGAACAACATAGACATAGAGCTCATCATGGTCCATATTTGTGAACCCGTACCTCTGAAGAAGCGTTGGAGAGCAAAGGCGTATTTCGTGCAGAGGCTACGGTTAGTCGACGAGACTCGCGGGAGCAAGTCGTGATGCAATCACACTTGAGCGCGAGCAATCGTACAGTGACGACCTATCAAACGGATGGGGATGGGGAAAATGGCGGGAAGCTCAGTTTGAATGACGTGGTCGGCATCTCGCTGTAACATCGATTGAGATATAATCCTTGCTGGTGCGAAACATCAGCTAGCTTTCACCTGAAAGTGGACGAGGCACAGTAGGGTTGCGATTCGCAGTGTCATAACTCTCCTGGCGTCACGGTCGTTGAACGTCCGTGGATCCGCTATTTTTCTGGATCATGTTGCCTGAAACACAAATGAATGGCTCGACTGATCGACATGCAATTGTCAGAGGGACACTCGTTAGGAAAACAGAATACGCGGGAGGAAAAGAAGCAGCGGGAAAAGGCGACGTTCGCGCGTTATAGCCTCTATTGGAATGTCCCATCCGAGTTAAGCGCCGTTGTACATCCTGTTCATCGTTCTCACGGTCTTTGGTGGAATCTAATCAGGGCAGGGAGCGCTGGCTGTGTGATGGCTTTCGTTCTCATCAATTTGGGTGGAGAGAACTCGGATGGCTTCGAACATTGATGACTGGATTATAATTGCACTGAACAACCAGAACAGGGACTTTACCGTTGGCCACTCTGAAACGATGCAGATTTGAGCCTATAAAGTTGAAATTGGAATCACTGGCAGGGAAGTCGAGAGATCGCCAAATTGGGAAACTCTCCAAGAACATTGAGCACGTGATTATGACTGCGCTCGGGACGTCACACCGCAGACATGAAGCGATTTGCGCATGTGGCAAATGCTTAGCAAATGTCGACAGGTTTTTTGCCTTTGTGATCTCAATTTGCTACGGTACCTCCCCGCATTCCGTATTAAGTATTTGCATATAATATGTTGGAGGCAGAAATTTAATATCATATATTTAAGAAATGACACCATTTTCAAACTCACCAAATACATTTAGAATTTGAGTGCTGTTGAATGTAATCATACATTTTTGAATTTCAAACTATGACATGTATAAAATATCCAGTAGCAGATGAAGGTGTAATTATGCCTACATTCTACTTCCCTACTGAAGTCATTCTAGCCAAGATTACTAGAATGAAAGTCATTCACCGTAATTACACCTTCATCTGCTACTGGATATTTTATACATGTGATGGTTTGGAGTTCAAAAATGTACAATTACATTCAACAGCGCTCAAATTCTAAATGTATTTGGTGAGTTTGAAAATGGTGTCATTTCTTAAAATATATGATTTTAAATTTCTGCCTCTAAGATATTATATGCAAATACTTAATATGGAACGTGGGAAGGAACCATAGCAAATTGAGATCACAAAGGCAAAAAACCTGTCGACATTTGCTAAGCATTTGCCACATGCGCAAATTGCTTCATGTCTGCGGTGTCATATCATTTCGTCTGACTCCATCTGCTGCGCCACAGTCCGAGCCACAGCGTCTTGCATAAAAACTTCCACGCACTTCATTGAGGCATCCTCCATCATTCTCATCCGCAACACAAACTATCGCGATAACCCACTCACCACAACCCGTTCACGACAATTATCATCATGTCCCAGCCGCAGAAGAACGAGCCGACTTTCAACATCCTGCCCCATCCTGCTGTACGTCTATCCACCGTCATGATATTTCTCGCTTAACGACGAGATCTGACATCGTTAACATCGTAGAAATCTAACGACCCGAAGGATCTCGAACCTCCCCAGCTCGGCGCAGGCTTGAACAGCAACCCCGAGATGCAGGCATTCCACGCTCGTGATCCGTACGTGCCAAGTTCTGAGCTGATGAAAGGTGTCGAGGAGCCTTTGGTGCGTCGTTTTTGATTTAGTCGCCAGCCGTGATCTCATGTTCAATGTGTGCGATCTAGAGCCGTGAGGAGCTGCATGCCAGATCGGCTCAGCTCAAAGAGCAGAAGAAGTAAGATGCAGGAGGATGTCTTAGATAGCTGAGCGGATCCGCCTTTAGGAGCATGCTCTTTGTTACGTATTAGACCAACAATTGTATGATATCCGGACGTCGTGTATTTCCCGGATTCAGTTGATAGCTTTGAAACAATAGCGGGATGACCAGCCGCAAATATCTAGTGTGTAGAGGATGTAAAGCAGTAGTGAGTGGGCACGGAGCAGGAAGATAGCGACAATGAGCTCGAGTGGCCCGAAGTAATGATGACATCTAATCTTATCTTATCGAATCACGTGCAGAACGCGTTGTGGGCGTCTAGGACTTGCGCGTCGTATACACTGTACGCGTACGTCCCCTTGTCCAAGCGACTTCGAATCCACAACTCCTAGCACTGAAAACACCATCCACCCTACTCTCAATCCTCTCGCTCGTCTGCCCATAATGGTATATGCAAATCATGATGCTCAATGTAACGACGCTGATATGTATTGTCCGGTAGTCGATCATGGAATATAACGGTGGCTCCGTCATAGCCATGGCGGGCAAGGAATGTGTGGCTATTGCCTCGGACTTGCGATTGGGAAACCAAGCGATGGGTATCTCGTCGAAATTTGAGAAGGTGAGTCGTAACTGTAGTATGCTGGCTATGGATCTAAGCTTTGAAGCGCGATAGATATTTCCCATGACAGATCGAGTGTACATCGGCTTGCCAGGGCTTGCCACGGACGTTACAACACTGTGAGTCCATCGCTTCTATCGTGAGTGATATATATACGGGGCAAGTGCAGACGCGAGCAATTTCGATTCCGCCTGAACATGTACACGATCAAGGAGGAGCGCGAGATCGAGCCAGAAACATTCATACATCTCGTCTCCTCGACGTTGTACGAGAAGCGCTTTGGACCGTACTTCATTGAGCCTGTGATGGCAGGCCTGCAGAAGACGCCATCGGGCGCGTACAAACCGTTCATCGCAGCGACAGACCTCATCGGGTGCATCAACTTTGCGAAGGACTTCGTTGTCGCGGGTACGGCAAGCACCAAATTGTTCGGTGTTGCTGAGGGACTGTGGGAACCCGATCTGGAGCCGGAGGACCTGTTCGAGACCATCTCGCAGACGCTGCTTAACGCCGTGGACCGTGATGCATACTCCGGTTGGGGGGCAGTGGTATACGTGGTGTGAGTGGCATGAACGTTCCTTGTGTGCAGTGGTTGATCATGAGATGCCAGAACGAAAGACAAGGTGATAAAGCGTACGCTCAAGGGCAGGATGGACTAGTTGTGTTATGTACTTTGTACCTTTCATTTTCGTTTCAGCATCATGAAACTTGCGCAGTTCTCGGCTATAAGAAGCGGGGAAGCACAATCTTCCCGGCGTTGCGTTCTGGGCTTTTATAATGTTCGGCTATCCTACTCCTGGTAATACCGGTGTCACAGTCGTCGTAGGCTTAGCAGTGCGAGGTCAGTCAACAAATCTACAGGCCACCCTGTGCTGGTTACCGCATCGCGCTCACGAGACGTCTCTCTCGACATATCCTAGGTAATTGATTGGACGGTCCCAGTAGTCTCTATGCTCTAAGCCCCGCACTATTTTCATCAGCCTCAAAGTCACGCCATACCGCCCGCAGTAACTGCTCCCCGAGACGACGGAATCTGTCTCGAAGGGTCTGGATGGGCTGGATGCCGTTAGGGTCACGCAGACGGCATCACCGTTTCCTAGTACGAGGCCAGGAACGACAGGACCGGGCTAACAGATGCTGGTCTATCTCCGCTGGCGTAAATCAATTTTGTTTCAATTATTTCCATTTCAAGATCAGCATCAGCGCCTATTGACTATTTGGAAATGTCCCGCAGACATCGCTCAAATCGCTGCTCGGTGTCTCCGACTACGTCGCGATCTTTATTTTCGTTGTGTTGCCTATTTGAACGATTAACCAGGCACGCTGAGGGATGGTTGGATGCAATGAGCTGTCGGTAAGCAGTTCGTCTCCCACGTTGAGGTTACGCTCAACTAGCGCGCCCGCTGCGGTCGCAACTCATGAACTTGTGCCTGCTTCTGTTCTAACTCCTCACAAATCCCAACATCGTCAAATTTTCCTCTTTAAACCCGGGCCGCGCCGAGACTAGCAAGTATGACCGTGCGGGCTGATCCCGTCGTCGTCTGCCAAGTGTCATAGGCTCTTGCAACCCTGTAGGCCTCGATATCCCTGCCCTCGGCGCGGAATTACTACACGCCTGGACCGCTTCCCAGCAACGCTGGCGGTCTCTTTCCTCCGACATGTAATTTCAAAGGTGCGTAGTCCTTCTCCGCTAGACGCTACTAGGGTCCAATGTCAAATGTGTCTTACGGCGGAACAGTGCTTTTAAACTGGGATGTTCTTTTGTTGAGACTCAACCTCTTCCTTGAGGTTTTCCCCTCGCGTCACAGCCCGTCCTCCTTAATTTGCCTCTGACCATCTCTCCCTCCCCCCCGTCCCCAATCTCGTTCGAGTCTTAGATCCTCGTAGTCACACTACCCACATTCTTTTGCACCGACCGGCGCCCCCGTGGACAACGTACACTTCCAAACAGCTCATTCTCGCAATCAGAATCTAGGATGAAGTTTTCTACGACGTTTATACCACTTTTAGCGGCGGGCTCCTCACTGGCCGCCGCGACGCGCTCATCGCTCACGCGCGGTGCCGCTGCCTCTCGGCGCGACATCATCCAGTCGCGCCAGATGCACATCCAGCGCGACCTCCTCGACGTGTGTGCGAGCCTCGACGTTGACCTCGAAATTCTCGGCATCGTATACGGACACCTCGACATCTGTCTTTGCGTGTCGCTTATCCCTGATTTCATCGAAGTCGACGTGGTAGCGCAGGCGGCAGTTGACGTCCTCGGTCTGGCCGTCGTTGAGGCTTCTATTCAGGCACTCGTACGTAATATCCGCTACAGCTCATCAAGCCAGCTCACTGATCTTCTCTATTTGGCATGTGCCGCAGATTGAAGGCGCGGACTCCCATGCCCAATGCCAGTACCCGCCGCACGCGGAGCCGGTCTGTGAGGTGGGATGGGTCTGCGGGTTCAAATGCGAAGACGGGTTCACACCGTACACGCCGCCCGGTAGCGATCATCCGACGGAGTGTGTGTGCGATCTTCCCAGCACGGTTTGTAACGGCATCTGCGGCTCCTTCCCGAATGGTTGCGGCTCGCAGAGCGCGTCCCGTAGGAAGCGCGCGCCAACATGCGCGAGCGGTTTGACAGCTTGCGGTGTTCCGGGCGGCAGCCGTGGGAAAGGCTACGAGTGTTTGGACACTACCAGTGAATTGGAGTCGTGTAGGTGCTCGCGATCGTCGCCAATGGACAGTCTGCTGATCTACTCGATGTGCTTTAGGCGGTGGCTGTGTGGTTTCTTCTCCCTTCTCGACACCCGCCAATGCACCCCTCGGCAGGGATTGCTCAGCCATTCCTCACGTCTCCTCCGTCTTATGCGCGCAGAGCAAGTGCGTTGTCTCCGCCTGCGACACCGGATACACCGTTTCCTCGTCCGGCGACTCTTGCGTTGCATCGTCTTCCCGCAAGCGCAATCTTCTTGATGCTGGTGCAGTTGCTGCTGCTGCTGCGGACGTCGCAAATCTCGTGGAGGCCGATGCGATTGGCGCAGCCGGTGTCTCGGTCCTCCGCCGTGATGTCCTTGATGCTGGAGCAATTGCCGCCGCCGCCGCCGACGTCGCAAATCTCGTGGAGGCTGACGCGATTGGAGCAGCCGGTGTCTCGGTCCTCCGCCGTGATGTCCTTGATGCTGACGCAATTGCTGCCGTCGCCGCCGACGTCGCAAATCTCGTGGAGGCTGACGCGCTTGCTGCAGCTGGCGTATCGGTCCTTTGATTGGGAGGAAGATGGATTCTGCTCAGAGACAATATCCAAAAGACTTTGTTCGTGGCGCCAATGAAGTATCCCTGCTGTTGTCATTCTTTCAGCTCACCATTCGTTCGTGTTCATACCCCGTTCACTAGCTTAATGAGTAGTCGTCCCCTTTATACTTACTGGACGTTACGATAGTTTTTGGGCGCTTCGTGCATAGTACTAGTGTAGTTAAAGAATCAATTTGAGAGTCTCGCTCAAGAAGCCGGTTGGATATCACGAAGAGAATGGCTCAACTCTCAACTTCGTCTTCCAGTGAACGAACGCGCACCACCGCTTCGCGTGATGAGCGTGCCGTGCTGCGTACATTGGCGACCGGCACGGCTTCGCTGCAAAAATACGCTTGTAAACACCGATAATGATAGACACGATCTGTGTAATTGTTTTGGATGGCTTATGGTCAACTTTGTCGGCGACGCGGTGGTACCGATATATATGGGATATCCTCAGCCACAAACGCGTTCAGCCACAGACGCGTACAGACCTCAGAGTTAGCGCGCGAGAAGCCATATAAGTATATGGCCTCCTCCACCAGCGTTGTATGACATCATTCGCGCTGTCAGAGTCTCCTGCGTCATGTATCCACGTTCGCCTAACTCGACGTATATAAGTAGCGTGTACCGCGTCCTTTTTACCACACATCACTCTCCCCAAGCAATACTCCACGACATACTCCATCGCTCTCTACAACAAACTGAACGCTATGGCACCCACCACCGGATCTCTAGAACCAACCGCGAGCAACGACGCGCAGTCGTCGGTCACAGGGGTGGCAGGTAATGACTACCCTGAGCAGAGACATGCGGGTGCTGTCGGTCTCGGGCCTGAATATGGCAGAGGCGTGGTACGTTCATCGATTTCTCCACAGGACGCTCAAGAAATTGACGCTTATCTTCGATAGACCACCGAAGATAAGATCGTAGGCTTCAAGGAGGAGGTCAAGGGAAAGATCCTGCATAAGCCCGACGTGGCCGAGCGTGGGCGCATGATGCGTACGGGTGAATTGAAGAAAAAGCATGAGGAAGAGGAGAATCGCAACGTGAGTTACTCACAGGATATATTTGCATCACAATTTCCTTTGCTGACACCGGATAGAATCCATTCGAGACCGTCGACGAGGACCAGAAGAAGGCTGGTGCCACGGACGACATGGTTATGCAAAGCAACGACAACCAGCACGCATCCATGCCGCCGGGCGTGGCCGACTCTTCACACCCCACGGACAGCGACAAGTACGCTGAGGCATCGACTATTGCGCCAGAAGGCTCGCAGGATGCTGAACGTCAACGAGGTGGCGATCATGCGTACCGGACAATTGGCTGAGTGAAAGAGCGATGAAGAAGGATGTTTCAATCGAACAATGTTACCAGTAGATACCTCTTGTATGACGCCAGTTATTCTGCCTAATCCCAAATCTATCGGCCTCATGAGCACCCCGATGGCACCTTAGCCCTTTGTCGCTTGAAGTCGACAAACTAGCCGCGACCTCTCATCCGTTTCACCACGCTGCCAATCGCGTTGGACGTATCCTTCTCGCTATATGCTATTATTAGTTTCGCGCAGCTCGAAACTAGTTTACAATCGTTAAGTCGGCCTCGAGTGCAGAACAGATCATGCTGAAAATTGATCGGGATGAGACCCGCTCTGCGTCAGCAGAATCGCAAAAGCCCGGTCATGGCGCCGCAGATTCTATGGACCTCAAATATCATGCGGAGATTGTCATGCATATATGTGGCTCCGCGATTGAAATGAGATATGTGGAGGATCGCAGGCATCAACTCGGCATAACTCGAATGCAAGGCATTAATCCCACGTTACATTGTCAGTAACTCAACCAACGTAAGTGCCTATCTCCAAAAACTAGACGTACCTGAAGTCACCGCGGAGCTCTGTACAGCCGCACAATGAGCTCGAGTCGATAATCTTCGTGGTCCCAATAGGGATGAAAGTTAGGCTGCCATCTCATAAGAGAGCGGGAGAGGAAAGTCGCGGTGTCGCTAGCTCGACAGCAGCTTTCTACCAACGTGAAATGGGAGCAAATACTTCAGAATCAAACGCAAATAGTTGTCACTTTGGTCCAGCAGGCATGTTATGCGTATCGCCGCGTCTCGCATCTCAGGCAATGAGCTGCATGCTTCAGAGAGCACTTTGTATTTCTGGTGCATACCTAGTTTAGAGACGGTCAGAGTTCTCAGGAGGCCCGCTGCCGTACATAGTGAGTCGGAAGAGGAATCACCGCGCAGCGCCTATCCGTTGTTTATGACGCGATCACGTGCTCTATTTCATTTTTACGAAATCATACTCTCAACCCGTCATTATATACAGGAAGAGATCGTGGTGCAATCTACGACACTGAAATATGCACAAGATGTGGAGCGTAGAATAGGGTAGGAAGGGCAGGGTGCACGCCGGTAGGTCACCGTAGTGTTTGGTGAGGGTCACGTGCTCTACTCGCATGTCGAGACCTCGATGCCCGTCCGGCTTTCTGGCTTGCCCGCATCACAAAGCTATAGAGAGTAGTTCTTGATATAAAAGCCGACATTTTCAACATCCATTTTTTTGCAGCTTACCGGTTGTCGATGCCAACAAGTCAGCGGTTTGAGACATCATGCTGCACCTTGTACTATTGAACGCATGCTGAAGTGAACTCTATCAAGTGGGGTGTTTCAGGCCGTCCATTGTCCATGAAGTGATGAGGCGAGGGAACGTTTGTGCATTCTGTCAGTTCAATCAATCCACACCACATGCAAAGAAGAGGCTAATTGGCGTAGAACCACGCGCATGTCTTCTGTCGGGAGGCTTTTGTCATGCAAAAGGAGAAGATAGGACATTTGCTGTGCGTTCTCCACGAAGTCATGCGGTGCAACAATGCAAATGTAGTCGGGACTTCGGCTTTTTGAGATGAACATGTGGTTCCATCACGATCACTATGATCTCTTCCGGTGATGATCATTTTCACTCATCGTAACGATCTCACCAACTGTCTCACACGAGCTGCCAGAAAGTTGTTCGCGACATCGTTAGGTCTATCGCCAAAGTCGTCCTCGTATAGCCTCCTTCACCGACTGGATTCCTAGGCAGGTTCGTGAGTATCATTGACATTATTCGATGCCCACTGCTCACGTCTGATCGCCACATGCAACCACGGCCGCAACCGAATAGCGTTAGAACAACAGAGGCAACCGGTGCATCAGCGCCATCCATGATCTACATCAGAACGGACTGTGCCACAGGAAACCCGGTCAATATCACGTCAGCAGAGTTTGGCGAGTTCCGCCAGCACCTCACCGCCCGCGAGACCGCTCAAGAATGTTCCGGTATTCTCTCTCTGCGTCAAATGGAGACTATAAGAATGCATATGAAGGACGTCGAAGGCTCGAAGGCTCGTCTATTAACTTTTTGAATGCCCCGACGTTGGCTCGATGACAGACTCTGCTGTAGACCAAGCGTAAGACATCATCATCTCTGGCATGTCGATGATTGTCTCAGGCTCACATCTGGGCTGACAGCTTCGCGACAGCTTTCTGCCAAGCAGCGATCACGAGTGAGTGTTTTGACGATTTTCTAAGAGTCACAGAACTTGCAACTCATGAATGCGCTGATTAACAGCTGTACTGCTATACGATTACGGTCTCACGTTCGGACAAGAAGTTCAACACTTTTGGAATGGTCCACCTTCAAAGTCGGCGATCCTGTTCTTTTCGAACCGCTTCGCACTATGGTGCGGTGCCATTGCAACCGGGTCAACCTGGATATTCTTCGGGTACATCGTTGTAGGTCATCCAGCAATACTCACCTCCAGATGTGTCCTGTTTTAGTAATTCTTCGCTGTTACTTTTGTCAAGCATCAGCGTTCTGTTGACTCAGACATGGTTGAAGTTTGTAATGTGATCAACATCATGGCGATTTTACTGGGCTCAGTGCCGTACATCATATGGGCAGGTGAGCCTTAGATACGTGCACTGCATGATAGCTTTCTAACTTGGGATGTTTCCAGCATTTTCAGCTCTCCGCGTTTACGCTGTGAGCGAACGTGCCTGGAGCTGGACAGCACTAGCATTAGGAACTAGTCTAGTCCCGTTCCTTGCGAACGTTGTAAGCACAGATGTCCAGGTATAATCCATCACGCTTTCCATCGCTCACTAGATTTTCGAAGTGGTTTGCAACCAAGCAATCGTGTAACCCGGATCAGATAGTGTCGCTCTGGCTGACAACACCACATTTATCTACGTCTTCCGCAAATATCAAACGGTAGTTATCTCACAAATATTCAGATGGACGTTGCTGACTCGTTGCCACAAAGAGGTAGCCACGATGCTTTCAGTCTGTCGGACGCTTACAAACTATCCGAATGCTGACAGTGCTCATTGCCACTCGGGTGTCCAGCATACTGTCCGATCTCATGGTTCTATCTGCAACTTGGTATTGCACATACCATGTACTCCTGCCGAGAAATGATTCAAATGTCAAAACCTCCTTATCAAAACTCCTTCTTCGGGACGGTAGGTGCACGATTGTATGTATACGGAGCACAACTAACCAGTCTATTTAGGGTCTCTGTATTTCTTGTGAGCATAATCAGATCAGAGTCAATATATGCGGTCCATGACCAGCCATGCTAGGTTTCTCCTTGCGCTGAATGTATCTCATACTGTGATATTCTACATCTACGTATGTCTCACGCAAAATTCGCAAACGTTACCAAGACACTGAATGCCGTTTTTGTGGCTAGGACATCGACTTTCTAGAACAATTTATCCCGTCGTGGGTAACCATTTTTCCGCACACACCTCTACGTACTGACGTCAAACGAGTAGAAGCATGATTATCATCATTTCCCGGTTCATGCTCAAGATACGCGAGGTTCATTTCTCCACGGAAGACCCACTGGCCTCAGACGACGCATCTTACATCGATGAAGAAATGCCGTCCACATATTCCCACCTGTCGACCGTGATCTTCCATCCAAATACTCTGGCAGTGCCCGAGCCGGCAGCGCGAGTATCAACGCGTGCAAGAGAGGATGATCGGGTCGAGTGTGAGCAAGGCGTGCATATTGGAATTGACCACTGCAGTAATCATGGAACGGATGTCGAGCAGGCTCGGAATTCAGAGGGAAGAAAGGAATGCTGGTGCTTCTCTTGAATAGATTCTTTTGATATGTTGACTATAATCGAGATTTCTGGTCGCTTGCGATGATTCTGCCACTGTAGCCTATCTGTCTCTCTCTGTATCGTATTATAAACGTATCATCATTTGCCAGTCTTCGTACATATGTAGTTGATACGATGTTTTATCCTTCTTGGATCACCAAAGTCACGCCATGAGTACACACGAAGACAAGCGTAGCGGATGGAATCGAAAGACGCCTCAACGTTCTCCGACGCGTCTCGGATCATTGTCTGAAGCATTATTCACTCTAGATATGCGGCATGCGCAATTTATAATTTTTGAAGGCACAGGCCAATGTATATGAACGAGTATAGACCTAATTTTCCTATACACCGATGTGCGATACGTTTTTCTCTACCTAGCTATAACATCTCAAACCCATCTCTTACACTAACATCCAGGGATGTTATCTCATATTTGTGAAGGTTATGACGATCAGAACTCAGAATCGTATCCTTTCTCAAGATCACCGAAAACGTCACCCCACAAGCCCCATCCCCCGCGCGAACGGTGACCGTGACCGAAGGCGTGCGGCGGTAAGCCGTGCAGGCGTGCCTCAGGGTCCCACATCCCAGGATACCGCGGCGGGCCGTGCGGATGCCCTCCAAATCCTCCCTTATCGACGCCGAAGTGACGATGTCCTCGATGGTGGTGGGAAAAGGGAAATTCGTCGCTCAAATGGTCCCACGAGGAAGCACGGAACCGACCGCGGCCGCGGTGGTCATGGTCGATGCCTGAGGGAGATGGGCCGCGTGCATCGTGATGAAAGTGGTGGTGGCCGCCGCGGCCGCCATGACGGTGTTCGCCAGGGGGAGGAAGAGAACGCTCCCGAGGTGCTGGTGAGTGCGGCGGCGAGCCGGCAGGGGAACCTTGAGCATGAGGGCCAGGCGATGCCGAGTGGTGTCGGTGGCCCGGAGGGCTGCGATGAGCCCACGCACGTCCTCTGCCCCCGTTCATGAAGCCACCGCGCCCGCCGTGGTGACCACCTCCGCGCGAAAACATACCAAAGCCACGGCCGTGATGACCGTGGTGGCGACCGAAGGCGAAGGGTGAGGGGCCTTGCGCACCGTTTACGGCATTGCGCATGACATTGTGCATGCCGTCTACGATCTCAGGGTGCGAAATGACGACGGCGGTGATAGACGCGATGAGTGTAGCAACGTCGTTCGCGAGAGCGACAGTGGGGTCGACGTCGCCATCCTCGGACTCCTTATCGCCCCTGCGCAGCTCATGGACGTTGAAGCGAATCAACCGCTCCTTATTCTCATCGGGAGCGGGAAGGGTGCGGTAGAGGTCCTGCAGCTCCTCCTCAGAGTTGAGTGTAATCTCATCGTCCTCGTTGTCGACATACGAGACAGCGATATCAGCGCGGGGAATGTCGTACAAGGACTCAATGCGGGCGGAGAGCTCAGCCCAGGAGGGCAGTTCGGTGAAGACAATCCTGCGGATGGGACCGCTGGGAGGGCGAGTAAGCTTTACCTGAAGGTTGTTGTTGGAAGACATGATTCGATGGGGGGTCGACTGAAATTGCCCGGTTTATATAGCTGAAAGACAGCCCTTCTGGAGTCACACCGAAATGCTGCGCAGTGGCTGCGAGATTCAGCCGGATTCTACTATATTCGGTATGACATACCATAAGTGGACACCACGTAGTGCTGCGGACGTTCCGCTTAGTCAAATTCGACCTAATTCCAATTGCTTTTCCTCGCTCGGCATCTAAGGTGACGCGTACGGTCGGCCATGGGCAGTGGAGGACGGCACATGGTCACCAATGCAGAACGATGCTGTGAGCGACGACATCGAGATTCGAGAACGGACGTGCCTTGCGACACAAGCCTGTACATGCCGGTTGGCGTGTTCATGATGCCCGCTGACATGCACCAGAGAATGGCAGCGGTAGATGATGAATGGTTGTGACTCAATTTAATCCATGCGAATCGAGACAACTGAAGATAGAATGCAAAGGCGGACGATGCAAGCCTGGATCCGAGCAAATTGGCCACACGCGGTGCCGCTGCAGTCAACTGCAATGAAATCAGAGTCTACTGTAGCAACGATGAGTTAAGGGAACAACTCACTGCTGCACCATGTGGACTCTTCATGTAGAAATTTCCGACCATTCCAGTCTCAGCACTGATCATCACCTGCTATCACTTGAAAACCGGATGATGATGGGCAGTTTTCAGTCTTCGGCGGAGTGAAATAGGCGACCTTTGCATGGAAGCTGTAATAAGTAGTACTAGTGATGCGTTGTAACGACGTCGTCCGGTCGTTACGACACCTGGCAATTGTGCTGATTCATCCCACGCAAAGCGCGCACCAATAATGAGCGCTTCAATGTTTAATAGACTACGAAGGCTCGGTGAACAGGCAAAGGAACATCATTGCGCTCCCAAAGCTCCCAAAACATGTCAGAATTCCTGATTGATTCGATTAGCAGTCAATTCAATTTATGCAAGGCTACTTCTGTATCAGTTTAAAACATTCCAACTTACTTCGAATACATGTGTCTCACTTCCGAATTCATATACTCTGCAAATTCTTGTTTACTCCACCCCACTCAGAACGCCGCCTGCGCTGCCTCCCTCTCTGCCAGACTACCCCTCGGCGCCCACGCCTTCACATGGCTGTGATCCGGGTCCCCGTGCTCGTAGCTTGGATCCGGCGCACCCCATGCACCCGCGCCCGGCGTCTCGATCAGCAGCCGATCGCCCTTGCCCATCCACACCGTCGCCTTCCCGCCGATATTGACCTTGCGCGGCTGCAACGGGCGCGAATGCGCCTCGTCGTAGTCTTCGGGAAGGTCGCCGTCCTCCCTGCGCGGCTGCTTCACCCATGTGTTGCGCCCCATCGCGCCCGGCTCGCCGCCCTCCATGCCGTACGGCTGGCGGGTGCGGCGCTACAAGGATGTGAGAGGTGAGGAACGTCGGCAGAAGAAGAGGGGGGAGAACACACCTCGGAGAGCATCGAGACCTGAAGGCCCTCGGTGAACTCGAGCTCGCGCACGACACCGTCGCCGCCGTTCCACTTGCCCTTTCCGCCGGAGCCCGCGCGGAGGCCGAATTGATGGACGAGGACGGGGTAGCGCCGCTCGAGGATCTCGACGTCGCCGATGCGCGTGTTCGTTATGTGCGTGTGCACGCCCGAGGTGCCGTGCCAGCCGGGTCCGGCACCGGAGCCACCTGCGATGGTCTATCGGCAAGCGGTGAGAAACGGGTATGAGCGTAAGAACGGAGATGTACCTCGTAGTAGCCCCAGCCGACGACGTTGTTCCCGTCCTTGTCTTTGCCCCCCGTGCCGAACGTCAGGTTGCTACGGTAGTCGCTCAACGTCGCACTCGGTACAAATATGATCTGCACTCACTTCGTGCAACCCTGACTAGCAGCACATGCATGGAACGCCTTCAACACCACATCGACCAGCCGCTGGCTCGTCAATACATTCCCGCCACACACCGCCGCCGTATGGCTCGGCGAGAGAAGCGAGCCCTGGGGAATCTTGACCGTGACAGGGACGAGGCAGCCCGCGTTGAGCGGGATGTCTTGGTTGAGCATCGAGCGCATACAGTAGATCACCGCGGAGTGCACGACCGAGATGGGCGCGTTGAGGTTGCCCCGGACCTCGCAGCCCGTTCCCGCAAAGTCGAGCACTGCAGAGCCATCCTGTTCGTTAATCACGACTTTGAGTTGGATCTGCAGGAGGAGTGTTCTGTGAAGTGAGAACTGAGGCCGCGGGGAGGATACGCACAGGAGAGCCGTCGTCGAGGTGATCGACCGCGCTGAGGGTGTTTGACCCGGCACGCTTGGCGACGTCCTTAAGCAGCATGCGCACAGATTTCTCGGCGTTGGAGCGGATGTGGAACATGTATTCTTGTACGGTCTCCAAGCCGTAATCATCGACAACTACCAACTATAAGCTGTCATCTGCGAGTTGGAGGAAAAATTACTGACTCGCTTGAATGAGCTGGATGCCCTTGTGGTTCGCGGCAATTTGGGCCTTCAAATCACTCTCGACGTCCCTCAGGTTTCTGCAACCCGAGCTACCGGGGTACTGTGCGGGTTTGTTGACCATGTAATCAACGAGCCCATCGTGGTCATACACGCCCTCGCTGACGATCTTGAAGCTGACGATATTGGCACCCTCCTCGAAGATATTCGTCGAAGTGGGCGGCATGGAGCCGGGCAAGATACCGCCGATGTCGGCATGGTGCCCTCGTGAAGCGGTGAAGAAAATGATCTGGTTGGTCTTGATGTCGAAGACAGGCGAGATGATCGTGATGTCTGGTAGGTGGCTAGTGGATTCCGTCAGCGAGATGAGGAGATACAGAGGGAGATGAGCACGTACGAGCCTCCGGCAAAGGGCGAGTTCGTCATTAGCACGTCGCCTGGCTTGAGGTTCTTTCCGTATAGGTTCATCTGATACTTGACGGCACTGGACGTTGTCAGTCACGTTTTGTGGATCATGGAGCAACGAAGGGCAAGGAATCCTGAAACCACCACAATAAGGCTTATAGTGCCTATGTAACACTTTCTACATGATCGCGAACCGTTGCAGCGATCATACAACAAACATGGCATTGAAAGGTCCGACGGCTAGTCATTGGTCTCAGAAGCGAAACTCACAAGCTCATGGATCCCAGATGGATAGGGATGAACGGCGCATTGGCCACGAGATCGCCATCCGGGGCAAACAGCGCACAGGAGAAATCCAACCGCTCCTTGATGTTCGTGCTGATGGCAGTCTGCTGCAGCGAGCGGCCCATGGCCTCTGCGACGCTCATGAACCGGTTGGCGAAGAGCGTCAGCAGTATAGGATCCGCCTTTTTGTAGTTTGGCTGAGAAGACATGGCGGTGAAAACTGTTCAAGATCGTCCAACAAGTACGAGGAAGGCAAAAGCTTATATGTCGTCGAGAAAGGGGTAAAGGCATCGAGTCACAGAGTGCAATGATTTAGCTATCTTCTGCCAGTGCTATCATGTCGTGAAAGGTACACACGGAGTTTAGATCGCACACCGTTCCTGCGGATCAGGAGATCTAGACGGACTTGATCGCCGTTCTGAGCAGTGGCGATAACGAGAAATGAGCATGAAAATGAGAAATTGAAAGCGACGGAAGATGCAATTTATGTAGCGTCGATGCCACTGTTCATGCGATCAGCGATGTTTTCTGAGATGGCAAGGCGGACAAGCCTCGCTCAGAAATGCTAATGAATCGTGAAAGGGAGAAATTGAAGTCATAGCTCCCGTGACAATGATCATATTGGTCGCGCGCCTCCTTGCTCACGGCTGAACAGATCTTTCGAGCTTCGTTTTCCTCAAGCATTGAGGCAACCTCAACTCTGGCTCAGATTCACCGTCTCCCGCATGAAAATACTGTATTTTGTCTTTCTCTGACTGTCTTAGCCTCGCAAAAAGAACTTTCATCATGTCGCAAACCATTGCCTCGGTTCTCGACGCTCAGAGTGCTCTCCTCGAAGCCGCCTCCGAGGCCCTGCCTCACCAATTCTCGCAATGCACTTACCCACTCGGGCCTATCCGCCAGGCAGTCTATCTCTGCTTAACCTGCAAGGAACCCCGCGGGATCTGCTCCGCCTGCTCGATAGCCTGCCACAGTGAACACGAGCAGCTCGAGCTGTTTCCAAAGCGCCACTTCCGCTGCGACTGCCCGACCCAGGCGCTCCTGCATCCCTGTACACTGCACAAGGCGCTCGAGGAGCGGAATACGGAGAACCTTTATGGCCAGAACTTTCAAGGGGTATTTTGCCGCTGTGGGAGGCCGTACGATGCATACAAGGAGCGCGAGACGATGATCCAGTGTCTTGCCTGTGAGGTGCGCACTGTCCGGTGCAGGTAATGCGATGGCTCACAACACGCGATGCAGGACTGGTTCCACGAGTCGTGTCTGAACCTACGAGAGCGACCTCTTTCACGTGAGCCAAGTCCACAAGTTGCTGAAAACGAGGCACGCGAGGGAGATGACGCGGTCTCTGAGGCGTCGACATCCGGTCTTCCTCCGCCGCTCGTCAGTGCGGATGACTACGACAGCCTGGTCTGCAGTGCTTGCGTACGCGAGATTCCGATACTTAGGCGGTACGCTGGCACGCCTGGCGTGTTAATGGTAATACGGGACAACCCAGAGGGACCATGGAAAGTTATAGGCCGACAAGATTCTCAAGATGAGACGGTAAATATCCAAGAAAGAGAGAGCGAGGTTGGGGAGAAGAGGACGCATTCCGCTGACCCTGCTAGTGTCCCTGAGGCGAAACGAGCGCGTGTCTCTCCCGAGCCGGAAACGAAGGGAGCCGCCTCTTCACCGTGCCTGGCGCCGCCTCCGAATCCAGTTGCTCAGGATATCATCAGCCGTCTACTGTCTGAATCAGATACGGCTGCTTCTGACGATTCGCTTGGAAAAGGCGACATCTTTCTCACGGAAGGCTTTCGGGAGCGTTGGTGCAAGTGCCCGGCAGTACGTTCTTTGCACTTTAGATCTTACTTCTCCAACCTGATTGATGACTTACATCGCAGTGCTTGCCTTCACTCGAAAACCACTCTTACCTTCTTGCGGAAGAGGAGACTTACGAACCGCCGGAAGACCCAGACTCGAGTACGTCTTTGCTTCTAGACAATCAATATATTACGACATATTTCTGACTGCATCTCACTAATAGAACTGACACTGGAGGAGCTCGGCCTGCGTGCGCTGCAGCGCCTCCCGCGTGACAGGGCGATAGAGGGGATCCGCGCGTTCAACACTATGCGGTACGTGGCTCTTACTTCAGCGAAAAATGCTCTGGCTCACTTTCTCGGGTCCTGGATTTGGCCGACTGCAGAGATGAGCTGATGAATCACCTTCGTCCGTTTGCGGAGGAGGACAGAGAAGTGACTGAGGAGGATATAAGAGCGTTCTTTGAGCGGCGGTTGCAGGCGAACCCGGCAGAATGAGACGTTGTGGCATCTGTCATTTTGGCTGCGTCGGTGAGGAATGGTATTGCGTTTACAGGGCACTGAGCTCGTCCTTAGTATACATATCAGCCGTTGATGGACTCCATCTGCCTTGCAACTTGTTACTAGCATCGATCGCAATGACATATTGCGTTAGTCGGGCATAATTATGGTTAAGTACAAGGAAAAGACATCAAATTCAACACCTCGACGCTGAAACACGACGTCATCTAGATATATCAGGAGATAAATAAGAACAGAAATAATCCTCGCAAGGAGTAGAAGGAACCCCGAAAACCGTAGTCAGCGCGAGAACCGATGTCGGTGTACATCCGCTTAGCGCCATCAGCTCTACACACCGAGGTCGCCTTCCAATCTTGCTGCGGGATGGGCTGGATGCGACAGGAAGGATAACGTGTGGGTAAATAAGCTGTGCCACAGTACAATATGAAGATGTAAACGGACTTGCCAACTCTGTATCTGAACTACGGGCAGGTAGTAAACAGCCTTGGGATACAGCGATTGACACCGTGAGCATGCCAACTAGAAACATTATTCAATCAGCCAGTCTTCCGAACTTGCGACTCCATCGCCAGCATGGATGATTTATTCTGTAACGCAACACACATTAGGTCCGATGACCATTGAGCTTATTCTACAAGCGCGCTGTCGAGTAAACTTGACCAATCTGATGCAACACGCATCAGTCTTCAGCTCGATCCATTGTCAACAGCTCACCTCGTATGCTTTACGTCAACTACTGCTCAGTTTCTCCAAAAACCGACTTCACGAGGACCGTCAAATCCATCGCTTCGTGGGCATTGTACTCGCGAAGAGCACGAGAGGGAAAAAATTGCGAAATTTCTGACAGCACGAGAGTAGTCTGAATCGAGTTTCGCATGAACAGGGCATCTCCGACAGTCACCCCATCATGCGAGCCGCGAAGTGCACTGAAGGACGAACGCGGCGCATCAAGACCCCAACACATCAGCCCTCCTCGTAGCCTCTTTCTGCAATACCCAAACGCGAGTCAGAGCAAAGCAGGGGATATTACTCACATTACTCGTCGGTCAACACCGACGCGTAAGTTCGTGAAACATCCCATGCGCTCGGGATTACCCAAGCACAAAGGTGACGAAAGAGGGCGTGCGGTGACTGACACATTACTGCGTTCGCCCAGTCCCACGACACCTTTCAAGTCGGTCGTCTCAAGCCCTAGCGCACGTCCTTGAGCCGCGTCGAGCTCTTCGGGACCTATGAGACACAGACTGGAGTTTCTGGTATGTCGCACGATCCATTGAGATTGGACTCTGTAAGAGTCGTTCCCGGGGACTGGAATACTCAGACCTTAGCCCGCTCACGGAGATAGAGGCTCGAAAGCCTCTTGTACGGTGTGAGCATCGCGGCTTTCCTGCTGTCAGAGAAGGATGTTGTGGGAAGCTAGCCCAGCGCTCACTTTAAAACGAGTTTACTCGATTAGGTAATCAGCCTACTTATCCCGATATGGGCGCTTCGGGGAAGACTCTTGGCTCACTCGCTTGCTCTCCACTTTTGCTTGAGTATTGACTTTGAATTTAGATAATGAAGTAATGAATATTCAGTGGATGCAAGTGGCATTCTTGATGAAAAAGGGAAACTTGAATCACGCCGTAACACCGTTTCGATGTAAGTAGTACCAGACTGCTATTTTGAATCATCGAGATGCGCGGGGTCACTGTATGGTACACGACCAAGATCATTATTGTATTTCTATGAATCTGGTGAAATCTACGGTGTGTTACTCGCTATATGAAGCCCATAATCATGAGTCCGTAACTTGAGATTCGATATCGATGTCTGAGTCTAACGCACCCCCTCCCTTGTCGCCAGAGAGTTTCGGATCTGGAACGGCCGATGTATTTGATGTAGAAATCTTGGTCAACCAAGCATGCCCCGACATGCGGGAAGGGACCGATGTACGAGTGTGGTCCAGTCAACTTGAAACTGCGATAACAGTGAGAACGGACCAACTAGTATCATAGGCTACAGACGGGAGATTACAGACAAAGGAGGAGAGCTCACGGTGACATACCCAGGCGTATTGTTTCTGGGAACGTGGATGGCCACCGACACTGAAGCGACGAACCAGCCGTATGCTAGACAAAACGCAAGCTGATGACAAAGTTGTGGGGTCTTTGCTGCAGGTCACGGCCTTGATCATGGCGGAAGATACATAGATACGTCGGTGAGGGATGAAAGAGTAAGTGACGATCACTATGATGCAACGGCAACGAAGCTCACCCAGCATTTCGACCTCAGAATCGGACCAGCCATTAGCCGTTATAGCTATAATTGACGAGAGCAGCCGATCAGCCGCGAGAGCACACACCAGCCGTTGTAATGGGAGCAAAGGGGAGTGCATGAACCAGCCATTCGCGATGGAAGGGCGAAGACCAGCTCACAAGAAGACGAGAAGGAAGATTTGATCTACGCCTGCACAGACTTCAAAAGCCGGCGACCTCATCTGGTGAGACTGACCATGTCGGCGACTGAAATACGTCCCGACTGCAATCTCGCGTCTCATCATGACATCTTTTTGGTCATATGCAAGATATTATGCCTAATTGTTTTCATAAAAACCTGATCACACACCTTTGCTTTGATTGTGGTCCATTGTGGGTCCATAGCGCATGCACTCAACTGGGAAGTATGCTTGCCTAAATACCACTTGAGCATCTGGGTGCTTCTGATGCTGCATGAGTATATATATGTCTCGATCTATCATGTCCTCGTCATTTTGATCCTTTAGTGGAAACCAAACCGTGAAATCATCGCCGCTTTGAGTCATCTGTTACTTACATAGAGCTCAGAAGCAGACTCGAACTACAAGGCGATGGGCCCCAATTCAGCTCATCTATCAGTTCGCTATCCTGGATATTATAGGTTATCCATTTTTATGGCGGACGTCTGGTCGAATAATGTAAATGCCCAAATAAGAACAGCGTTAAAGGACATGCCGATGCAGTGTCACTGCGAGCTGCGTGACGCGAAAGTGGCGGACGACGCGTCAGTCACGAGGCTTGGGTTAAGTTAGGACCACAGTCACATGATTTTGTTGATCGTGAATGCGCGGGGTTCGCAGGCCCCGAGGTCGAACAACACGAACCCTCCTTGTCTTCGTTTTCCCCTTCATTCGCATCTCCAGCATGCCTCGCAAAGCCGCTGCACACGCTACTGATACGCCTTTTGAGCCGCGTCGCTCTGCACGCATCAAAGAGCAACCGAAGCCTGAGCCAAAGCCCAAGAAGGCTCCGGCGAAGCCGCGAGGACGGAAGACTAAGGCCAAGGCCGAAGAGGCAACCACCAATGGCATCGAGCATGCTGAGGAGAAGAAGAAGCCTAAGACTACCAAGGGAAAGAAGAGGACGGCCTCTGAAGTTGAGGCTGAGGAAGCCGCAGCCAACGGGAACGTTGATGAGGAATCGCAACCACCTCCCGCCAAACGGGTATGTTCGGATTGATGGAGGTCGATGAATATGAGCTTGAACGTGTCGCAGGCTAAACCCGCCTCCAAGGCTGCCTCGAAGCCACCTTCGAAGGCTGCTTCAAAGCCCCCATCCAAGGCCGCTGGCACGTCCAACAAGCCCGCTTCTAAAGCCGCTGGCGGTGCCAGCAAGCCCGCATCCCGCGCATCGGCGAAGCCTCCATCAACTACCGCGAAGAAGCCTGCATCCAGTGCCGGCTCTAGGAAGCCTGCTTCCAAGGTCTGTCGCATGTCAGCTCAGTCGAGGAATGATCACTGATCTGACATGATACGATTGTAGGCGGCCAAGGACGCAAAGGAGAACGACGCCGCGCCGGCTCCCGTTCAGGAGACCATAGTTGAAGAGCCCGAGGCAGAGGCTGCTGCGGACTCCGCTGCTGAAGCTCCTGTTACTGAAGCTTCCCCTGAGGCTCCTGCTGCGCCTAACGGAGAGGCGGCTCAGCAAGAGGCAACAGCTTGATTGCCGTGAGTAGCCGCAACTTATGCATGCGTACTGCCTTTGCTTAACCTCTTATGCAGTCCATCACGACGTTGTATGAACCCGTAAATGTCCGCGCAAGCATGCGCGTCTTTATCATCTTTAGTGTATCAGGCCTCGTGTGGCACGTTGTGTGATCTTCCCCTTCATCTCCTTGTTTTATCTATGTCTTCTCTTCCGTCTTGCTTCTTTGTTGTCTGCTATGTCGACGATCAGAGCAATGCTATGTTCACGATACTGTCACCGGTACCGTTATATTACTAGTCGGTTGGTTGGCTGGGTGGGATTGGATACCATGTTCAGTGTAACACCCCGTAGGAACACTTCCGAGTGCTAGTGTCTGTACAATGCATATGCATAGATTTGGTTGAGTTGTGAATTAATTTCTTTCTAGCAAGCAAGGGAAGATCAATGTTAACTTGTATCGTGATGCAGTCGACTTTCTTTCGGGCGACTCAAGAGGGCTTCTGCGGCCGAACCCATGGCCTTACAGCGGTCAGAATGCGCATCGCTCCTCGTCACTTCAGAAACTATGCACGTATTTATGTATCAAATATGTGCGCAGGGCCTGCGCAGCTCGGGAAAGAGTGACTGTGTTGTCACTGTGACTTTTGGCCTCGTGACTGTGATTCAGTGTGATGTTTGGCGTTTGTGACAAACGCGTCCCGGGCGCTTGTTGCTCATTCTCAGCCACCGCATAGACCTGGGTATTTTCTACGTCTTCCCTCGCTTGCGACAAGTATTCTTAATCTAGAAAAGAAACCTGTGTCCAGATAACGTGGAGGAGAGGTGAGAAAATATTTTCCGTCCCTGCATTTGGTGAGAAAGCCTGACATTTCTGATGCTTTTCCTGCGACGAGAACCGCCAGCTTTCATGCTGTTCGATGGCTCGTGGATCATTTAGTGGATCATCTCGCCGTGGGCGAGGATCTTCAAGATCTGGGTACCGAGGTGCGCGCGGTTTCCGCGGCGGGCGAGGACGCGGACGCGGACGCGGAGGAGCCCCCTCCGAACCCCAACCACAGAGAGAAGATGACGGCACGCAGCTCGCAGAGAGGTTCGAACAGGTCAGCCTGAACGACGAGGTGGACGAAAAGCTTGGTTTTTCGCGCGTGCAGGAGGGGTCGACGAGGGAAGGATGGCTGATCAACATGCACCCGGTGAGCACGCAATAATCTTGATTGATACGAGCTAGATGTCAACTTGCCGCACACAGACGTTGATGAAAGATCCTGAATGGCCATCTGGTAAAGCAGCGGTGGACTTCTACTTCATTCAAGACGATGGAGGCATGTTCAAGTGTACTCTGCAGTACGAGCCGTACTTCTACATCGCATGCAAGGTGCGTCATAGAGCTATTCAATGGACACGTTTTAAATGATTGATGTAGAGTGGAATGGAAACGACCATCGAAGAATGGCTCATGAAGAAGTACGAGGCGTTCATCTGCCGGATTACGCGGGAGAAGAAGGAAAACCTCAAGTTGCCAAACCACCTAATGGGCCACAGACGGCTCTACCTCCAGCTCCACTTCAGAAACGTCTCTGACCTCCTTGCAGTCCGTCGGGACCTCATGCCACTCGCCCTTGCGAACAGCGCCAAGCTCGACGCCGTAGACGCATACGCGGAGGTGGTGAACTCGACAGCCAGTATGTCGATCGAGATTGAGGGGGAATGGAGTACGGAGATCGATGCAGGCTCGAGTTCCCGCAGGCCCGGCGCACGCGACAAGGACCCTCGAGAAGGCATCATCGATATTCGCGAGTTCGACGTCCCGTACTACCTGCGCGTTGCGATAGACAACGAGATCCGTGTCGGATTGTGGTATGCCGTGACGTTCACGGGCGGGCAGCCACAGTTCAAGCAACTCGTCGAGCGTGTGAAGCGAGCCGACCCGGTAGTCATGGCTTACGATATCGAAACAACGAAGGCCCCGCTCAAGTTTCCCGACCAGGCGATCGACCAGGTCATGATGATTTCGTATATGATTGATGGCCAAGGTTACCTCATCACAAACCGAGAGATTGTTAGTGAGGACATCGAGAACTTTGAGTATACACCAAAGGAGGGATATGAAGGCCCCTTCACGGTTTTCAACGAACCCGACGAAGTACGTACATGTCTCACCGTGCGGCGCATGAGCTCACTTGGCCACCACAGGCCGCAGCCATCCAACGTTTCTTCTCTCATGTCCAAGACGTGAAACCCACCGTCATGGCCACATTCAACGGGGACTTCTTCGATTTCCCGTTCCTGTGCGCGCGTGCCAAGGTGCACGGGATTGACATGTTCTTGGAAACTGGGTTTTCCAAGGACGCGGAGGACGAGTTCAAGAGTCGCACATGCGTGCACATGGACTGCTTCCGCTGGGTGAAGCGCGACTCGTACCTCCCCCAAGGCAGTCAGGGCTTGAAGGCGGTGACGACTGCCAAATTAGGCTATAATCCTATAGAGCTGGATCCTGAGCTGATGACACCGTGAGTGATGGAAATGCTTGGCGTTCATGGCCTGCTTGACAGTCTTGACCACAGATACGCTATGGAGCAGCCTCAGACTCTGGCACAATATTCCGTCTCCGATGCCGTAGCGACCTACTATCTGTACATGAAATATTTGCATCCATTTATTTTCTCGCTGTGCAACATCATTCCATTGTGCCCAGACGAGGTTCTGCGGAAGGGCACCGGTACTTTGTGCGAAACATTACTTATGGTGAGCACGAAGTTGATATACAAAAGGCTTGACGCTAATCCTTCTTTTCAGGTGGAAGCATACCGTGGCCAGATTATCATGCCGAACCGACACGAAGACGAACACGGGAACATGTATGAAGGTCATCTGCTTGCTTCAGAAACCTACGTTGGCGGACATGTGGAGGCCCTGGAAGCCGGGGTATTCAGGAGCGATATTCCCACTTACTTCAAGATAGAGCCTGCGGCAGTACAGAAGGTGATATTATTCTCGTCCCACGTTCAAGTCGCGCGCTGACTCGTTTTGAAGCTCATCGATGAACTCGATGCTGCGTTGAAGTTCTGTATAATGGAGGAGTCGAAGGCGTCTCTCGAGGATATCACGAACTATGACGAAGTCAAGGCCGACATACAAGCTGCGCTGGAGAAGATGCGCGACAACCCGCAGCGAATGGACAAGCCGCTCATCTACCATCTAGACGTCGCGGCCATGTACCCGAACATCATGTTGTCAAACCGGCTGCAGCCGGACTCGATGGTTGAAGAAGCTGTTTGTGCCGTGTGCGACTACAATCGGCCAGGCAAGACCTGCGATCGCCGCATGACATGGGCATGGAGAGGGGAGTTCTTCCCCGCCAGGCGTGACGAGTTCAATATGATCAAGCACGCCCTCAACCAGGAGACATTTCCTCCGAAACGACCCGGCAACCCCCCGCGCAAGTTTATCGACCTCACCGATGCCGAGCAGACAGCCCTACTACATAAACGCCTCGGAGACTACTCGCGGAAAGTATACAAGAAGATCAAGGACACAAAGGTCGAGAACCGTGAGGCTATCATTTGTCAAAGAGAGAACCCCTTCTATATCGACACCGTGCGCCGCTTCCGTGACCGTCGATATGAGTACAAAGGGTTGCATAAGACGTGGAAGAAGAACCTGGAAAAGACCCTGGCGGGACAATGTTCCATCGCAGAGGTCGACGAGGCGAAGAAGATGGTCGTCATCTATGACTCCCTGCAGCTTGCGCACAAGTGCATCCTGAACTCTTTTTATGGTTACGTGATGCGCAAAGGCGCTCGATGGCACTCCATGGAGATGGCCGGTATCACCTGCTTGACTGGGGCCACCATCATCCAGATGGCCAGGCGCCTAGTGGAACAGATTGGACGTCCATTGGAACTCGATACTGATGGTATCTGGTGTATGCTTCCAGGCGTCTTCCCCGAGAATTTCAAGTTCAAACTTGCAAACGGGAAGACTCTCGGTATTTCGTATCCTTGCACGATGTTGAACCATCTGGTCCATGCCCAGTTTACGAACCATCAGTACCATGACCTCAATCCTGAAACCGGAGAATATAACATTCACAGTGAAAATTCTATCTTCTTCGAGCTCGACGGTCCTTACAAGGCCATGATCCTGCCATCGTCGAAGGAGGAGGACAAGTTGTTGAAGAAGCGCTATGCTGTCTTCAACGACGACGGATCATTGGCCGAACTCAAGGGCTTTGAAGTCAAGCGGCGCGGTGAACTCCAGCTCGTCAAGACCTTCCAATCGCAAATCTTCGAGCGCTTCCTCCTTGGCACTACTACAGAGGAATGCTATGCTTCAGTTGCGCAGGTGGCAGATCGATGGCTCGACGTCTTGTTCAGCAGAGCCGAGGATCTCGAGGATGAAGAGCTGGTCGAACTTATTGCCGAGAACAGGAGCATGTCGAAGACGCTGGCTGAATATGCCGGACAGAAGTCAACGTCTATCAGTACGGCAAGACGATTAGCTGAGTTTTTGGGTGACCAAATGGTCAAAGACAAAGGTCTCGCGTGCAAATTCATCATCTCCGCCCGTCCCATGGGAGCTCCGGTTACTGAGCGGGCAGTCCCCGTAGCGATCTTCTCTGCAGAAGAGAGCGTCAAGCGCACGTATCTCCGTAAGTGGCTAAAGGACAACAGCTTGACGACCTTCGACCTTCGATCGATCCTCGACTGGGAGTACTATATCGAGCGTTTGGGGTCCGTCATTCAGAAACTGATCACCATCCCAGCCGCTATGCAGAAAGTGGCAAATCCTGTTCCTCGCATCAAGCACCCGGACTGGTTGCATCGCCGAGTCGTTGCGCTAGATGACAAGTTCCGCCAGCGCAAGGTTACCGATTTTTTCAATGGGGAAGCTTCAGGCAGTCAGGGAACGCAGGATATTGAGGATGTCGGTGTTCAAGCGAAACGTGGTGATGGTCTACGGATCGCAGTCGTCAACCGCAAGTTCACCCGTAGAGAAGGGACTCCAGAAGCCATAGAAGAAATGACTCTGCCCAATCCGCATGTCAGCTATTCTGCATGGGTGAGAGCGATGCGACCGCGTTGGCGACATCGTCGAGCTGGAGAACAGGTGGTTGTCCCTGAAATGTTCAGAGGTATACAACCGAAGACCAGGACAAGCAATCGCTGGGATATTGTCCAGATCCGCCCCACCAAGATACACGGCCATTTCAATATGTGGTTGTCCGTCGGTGGCGATCTCGTTTGCATACCTCTTCGCATCCCTCGCGAATTCTATTTGCACCTACGGACGCCGGCAGGGCTCGATCAATTCCATGAAAGTTTATATTCGTGCGAGAAGGTCGTCCGCGGTCTGCCTCGGGACATGCCATGCGTCAATCTCTACAAGATCACAGTCCGCGAGGAGATCTACGTCGATGGGCAAGAGCACTTCATAGACCTTACGAACGACCCAATTGTTGACGGTGTATACGAGCTTCAGGTGCGCACGGCGCTGGCTGGCCGATGGCTCCTGACTGATCTCCATTTATTAATTCTCTAGCTTCCGCTTGTCATGCGGGCCTTGCTCAGGTTGGGCAAAACGTGCGCTACTAGCATCAGTGGAATGACATTGAACAGGGCCGAAAGCATTGGCTTCGATCTGGAGCAGCTCGGTCGTGCTGGCGTTTCAAAGCGCAAATACCTCGACGAGAGCAGGGTAGGGAAGTACATTTTCTTGTACCATGCGTGTTCCAACACAGCGCCGGTCCATGTCTTCGCCCTCTTCGTGCCAGACAGTCCTGCCAGATTGCATATCGTCGATCCCGCCACTCGCCGACAGCCTATTCCGCATCTGTCAGAGGTCTATGCTGATCTGCTGAATAAACGGCAGCAAGCTCTCGGCTCGAACATATCACATACCTATCCTTCTTCATGCGAATTCACGAGCACATATCACGGCAATGATGTAACTGCACTAAAGGCGATCTCTCGTGAGCTCGGTCTCCTAGAGACGCGGTCGTACGCGGTGGTCATCTCCTCTAGCAAGGAGCAGACTTACTTCGATGCATATATTCCACGGCTCTCGAAGTTTCCAGTGCTGTCAATGCCGAAAGCCAGAACACCGCATACTCTGGATGTGTTTCCGTGGCAGACAAGCGTCGCACAGAAGATGATTGGTCGATACCTCTCAATGGGCACATGGCTCGATAGGTCGATAGCATTAGCAAACTATTATGACGTGCCTGTGGGTCACATCGACGGCGATCAGCCGCTACTACTCTCCGATATCGACTTCGCTCGAAGACTGACTGAGCACGATATCGTGCTGTGGTGGTCGCCTGGAAATCGGCCGGATTTGGGAGGCATTGAAGATGATTGGCGACCTACCGAGGAGCTACCTAAGACTGAGTTCATGTCGCCGGGCTGTTATTCGAACGTCTGCCTAGAAGTCACAGTGCGGAATTTGGCTGTGAATGCAGTGCTGCATTCCGTCATTGTTAATGAACTAGAAGGAAGCGGAGGCGCGACGGCTTTCGACTCGTCGCATACCCTGGACGAGTATGCTGGTGCAGAGAACCAACGAGATTTGACTCTGGGTGACTCAAATGTTTCTCCGCAGACTTTCTCCGTTCTGAAGAACATGGTCAAGACATGGCTGCTTGACAAGATCCAAGGCAACTTTGAGAGTCCGGCAACGGTGGCAATAGACCATTTCTGGCGGTGGATCAGCTCCAACGTTTCCTGCATGTACGACCCCAGCATCCATCGGTTCATTCACGGGCTGATGCGCAAGACATTCATCCAAATGCTGGCGGAGTTCAAACGCTTGGGTTCGCATGTTGTTTATGCTGACCTGAGTCGCGTCCTTCTCGTCACTTCCAAGCCTCCAGGGACAGCTCATGCATATGCCACCTACATCACTACTGCCGTTAACTCCCATGAACTCTTCCAGCATGTTTATCTGCACACAGAGCGCTTCTACGATTTCCTCCTCTTCATGGATCAGGCCAACATGGCCGGCGTAGTCTGCGAAGACCCGCTCGCTGTTGAGCAGCCACAGGAACTTTCAATTGAGTTGCGGTGGAACATTGAAACGTTCCTGCCGCCCGCAATTCAGCGTGACTTCCGCAATGTCATCCGGTACTTCCTCGTGGAGTTCTTCCGGGCGTGTCAGAAGAGCAAGAGCAAGACACGTGCTCCTTTGCGCTTGCTGAGCAATGCGCTGCCAGATGCAACACAACGTGATGCATCGAAGATGCAAGAGATGGAAGCGAGCCGAGAGTTCATCACCCGGCGTTTGACACGTAGGATGCTGAAGACCGTGGGCGGGATTCAAGAACGGCATCGCGAGGCGATGATGGACGAGGAGACGCTCGCGTCTTGGGAATTTCCCCTGCTGCCTGGCTCATACCTTCATTTGACGAACCCGATCTTGGAGTTCGTCAAGTTCTGCTGCGCGGTGTTTGCGCTGGCAAAGGACTACCAGATCGAGGTCGGCCTGTTGAAGCGCAACCTTCTCGAGCTCGTTGGCGTGCGCGAATTTGCAAGCGAGGCCATCTTCCATAACCCGTGCGAACCACTCCGGCTGTCCAACGTTCCGTGCAGGCACTGCGACGCCCTGCGGGACTTTGACTTCTGCCGCGATCCGGAACTGATGCCGAACAACTTAGAGATCAACGCGAGGTGGCTGTGCGTGCACTGCGGCGGCGAGTACGATCGCACAATGATCGAGTTCGCACTGATGGACATGGTATTTGAACTCGAGCGGCGATTCGTACAGCAGGATCTTCGGTGCGGGAAGTGCAAGAGGTTACAGTCGGACAACGTGTCGAAGCACTGTCAGTGCTCCGGAAGCTACCAGCTGAGCATTAGCAAGGTGGATGTGCGGCGAAAGCTGCGCACGATTGTGAACGTTGCGATCTCACATAATTTGAGTCGTCTACGAGTAAGTCGATGCAGCAACGTTTATGACATGGAACTTATCTCCATCCTTGTAGGAATGCGCTCAAACCATGCTGAATGCTTGGTGACCAAGGCATCTTGTCCAAGTCCATTTCTTTTACCTGCTGCTGCTATCGTTGTACTGTCGTTGATATTGTCTCATATCCGGATCATTATTATCTATTCTTCATTGTGTCCCGCGATAAAGCGGAATTCAATATGTCAAGAGTGGTTTCTGCAAGAGTACTTTTGGGTGATCACAGCTCCAAGGGCCTCTTGCGCACATGCGCATATGCCAGATAGCTCCATGAGCCTTTATCTTAGGGCTTCAGCGCTGTCCAGTGGTCAGTAACACGTCAAATAGCGAGCCGGGATGATGCTTCCGCGAAGCGCCTGCGTTGAGATAAGCGCTCGAGCCTGATTGTACCCGTTTGTTTCTTGCTTCAAATTGCTACCGTCTGGCGTAGCTGTGTTATATATCTTGCTCTGGCAGCACGAATCGCACCGTACAAGAGATTTTTGGCTCTCTTCAATCGCGAACGGGCTAAGGTCTGAGTTTTCCCGTCCCCGTGGACTACCATAACATGGTCACTGTCCTGATGGACTGCGCGACGAACCGAAAACTCAGCCTATGTCTTGAGGATCCCGAGTAGGCTGACGTGTCTGAAGACACGGGCTTGGGTTCGAGACGATGGCTTGAAATACGTCGTGAGACTGGGAGAACGCAACGCGTCGTCGGATGCCACACGTCCTCTATTGCGCCTCGGCGATCCCGAGCGAGTACCAGATGTATCTCGACTACATGCGAGTGGTACTAGCAGAGTCAGTCGTGATATCCCCTGTTCTCCCGGGGCTTCGGTCCTGATATTATTGACAGAAAGAAGGTAACGAGAGGGCGACTGCGCGGTGTTTTGACGTGCAGCGTTCGTCCTTCAGTGCACTTCGCTCCGGCTCGCAGGCGGGACCCTCAACAAGGAAACCTATGTCTGCGAAACTTGATACAGACTGCTGTCCTCCCCTTGGAAACGTCGTAACTCAATGCCTCTCGTGCTCTTTTCGAGTATAACGCACAAAGCAGTAGTTTTTATGCTCGTATCAGAAACTGCGTTTTGTGCTGGAGGTGAGTGTCAATCGTTGTAATGATAGCATATAGCGGCAGCTGCTGACAACAAAGCACTAGATTGATACGCCTCACGGGCGTTGCGATCACTTGATATGCTCACTGCTTTTCGGCCCGATTATATGTGGTGTTGCCGAACGCACGCCGAACGCACCTTTTTCGATGTTGGTGGAGACTGTAACGTATCTTCATTCTCTGCCTGTAGCTCAGCTCAGTGAATCACTTTTGCATTCTCTTAGAGCATTTTTTATGGTCATATGTTCCTAAAGATTACTCCCAATGCAGGCATATCGGCGACGTCCGACGGGTGTCTCGCTTACTCAATTGTCTTGAATCTACCGGAGCAGAAGCATACTTCGTATTGATATTGGCCAGTGACTGCGGACAAAACGCGCAATGCCGCCGCAACGTCCATCTCAGCAGTGAGTCCACTCTGCAGTGGACTCCCGGTTCTTCGAATGAAGCTTACAACTACAGCGGTATCGTGTGGTAGCTTGATCTAGGCTCATGTCCTCCGTCTTTACGTTCTTTTTCTCAGTCATCTCGACTCTCGAGTTGCTTTCAATTTCTCGCCCTCGGCGGCTTGAGTCAACCACCCATCGTTTTTTTTCGGTCGTTCTCGATGCCGTTGCTTACGCATTTGTGGCGGTGCGCCCTCCTTCATCGCCCGCCGTACGCGTCAGCAAGAAGGCCGCATTGTCAGCATAGGGGGCCGCAGCAGTCGGTGACGTCCGGTTATGGTATCTCCTTCTATATATGGCAAGTCTTGGCTAAAGCTCATAGCCACCTGCGCAGCGTTCGGTGTGACTCCAGAAAGGCTGTCCCTCAGCTATATAAGTCGGGCACTTTCAGTCGATCCCCCATCAAAACATGTCTTCCAACAACCTTCAAGTAAAGCTTACTTGCCCTCCCAGCGGTCCCACCCGCAGGATTGTCTTCACCGAATTACCCTCCTGGGCTGAGCTCTCCGCCCGCATTGAGTCCTTGTACGACATTCCCCAACGCGATATCGCCGTCTCGTATGTCGACAACGAGGAAGATGAGATTACGCTGAACTCTGACGAGGAGCTGCAGGACCTCTACCGCACCCTCCTCGCTCCCGATGAGAATAAGGAGCGGTTGATTCGCTTCAACGTCCGTGAGCTGCGCATACGCGATGAGGAGTCCGAGGATGGCGACGTCGATCCCACTGTCGCCCTCGCCAGTGCCGTTGCTACGCTCATCGCGTCGATCACTGCTGTCATCGTCTCGCACCCTGAGATCGCAGAGGGCGTTCGCAACAACGCCCAACGTCCTTTTGGCTGCAGCGTCCTTAGTCCCTCCGGCCCTCCGCCGTTCTTTTTTTCTGGTCACCACAAAGGTCATCATGGCCGTGGTTTTGGCATGCATTCCAAGCTGCCCGGTGCCCACTATTTCGACCGCTTTTACACTCGCGGACGTGGCCACCATGGCGGACGTGGAGGCTATATGAACCGGGGCAGAGGAGGTGCGTGGGTTCATCGCGGTTATCCTGGCGATGAATTCCGTGCGCCTTCTCGTTCAGGCCATCACGGGCCCCCTCCTCCCGGCTCCCCACCGGGTGGTGGTGAGTATTCCCATCCTCTGCCGCCGCACGGCCCTGACCCTCAAGGCCCTCCTTCAGGCTCGCCGTCGCAGTCCCCAACACCCGACGAGCACCCCCCTCATACTCCCGGCGCACACCACCGCGGCCGAATCGGCGACGATTCGTCCTTCAACCGCCGCGGCGTTCATTCATCCTTCGGCAGGGGTAGAGGCTCTGGCTTCCGCCCTCACGGCTCGCCACGTTTCTCGGAGATGTGGAAAGATCCTGAGGCGCGCTTCCGTGGCTTCTCGCCGCACGTCTTTGGTCGTGGCTCGCGCGGGGGACGGGGCTCGTGGGGCAACGTATTTGGCGGCCATGAGAGCCTGAGAGGATTCGATTTTGAGTTTTGATTGAGATAAGTGACTGCAAGTTTAAGATGCGCTTAGGACGTAAGGCGCGAGAGATAGGTTTGAGATGAGATAGCTATTGTAGAGAAAATAGAAAAGAAAACGCATCGCACACCGGTGTATAGGTACTGTAGGTTTATCTTCGTTCGTATACATTTGGCTGTGCTTTGCATTTGTCGAAACCAGAGTCGCCAGACGAGATGGCTGACCCAATTCGGGCCCCAGGGACCTGACTAGAGTGCGTATAGGGTGTACAAACGACTGCCGTTCAGCGCAGTCGTCCGCTGCTTAAGTACATACAGCAAATAGCTACGCCGAGCGTACGTCACGTGCATCATCTAATTTTTCAGGGTACCACCTTTCCGACGAGTTTCAGCCGCCGTTCGGCCTTCGTCCTCCCGACGCGTTAAGCGCGCTCAATACCAGAAGAGCCCGGAAACCGGCTCCTTCCAACAGCATTTATTGGCGTGATCGAGTGTGCGAGGGACATTTTTGTCCGACCGTAGTGCATGATTACTCACAGGGAGGACAGGGCGACTGCCTAATGCAAACTGTGAAGTTCGATAGCCCAGCCTCGACAACCTAGGAATCCGGGATGAATACTGCTCTGTCACGGTGATGCCGCGTTTCATTTGTTGTACACGTTTTACATAAGGTTGCCATTACTTACAATCACAGCCCGGCGATCAACTCTCTTTCCTGGCTGTCGATCATCCAGTCTCTACGCAGAAAGTACAATATTTGCCTTTTTTATGAGTATAAGACTGCCACACCGATGAAAGCGGTGATTAATCTTAGGAAAGTTCAATTGGGGCCCACTGAACAGGGAATGTTCCGCGTATTGCAACGAACTTCTCGGTTCTCAAACGTGCGTTCCATGAGAAAGACTGGACATGTCTCGGTGCCGCGGAAGTCCGACGTAAGTTCATCGTCATAACTTGCAATGGGGCCTTGCGTGGGGCGCCCCTTGCACGCATATGGCAGGTCTAACTCTGCGCCTGCTAATCTTAGCATGCCTGAGGGACTATTCTTAATCGTACGTGTCATCATCGCAAACCTCATGAACAGGGTTCTATTTGTCGACTGCCAGTGTTGACGCACAGCCATCGGTACTTTACTCCTTCCCGGCAGTGGGGTCTTAGTACGCTACTAGTACATAATAATAGCCCTTACCTCCGAGGCATTGCACACGCAACGCCTTCGACACAACAAACCTCAGCTTCATGTACTGACTCCTGAGCATGCAGTACACATAAGATGGCCTCAACTCACTTTGACGTCAGTCGACTGAGTGGCAGTGAGTGCTCTTCGTCAATGCGGTCGCCAGCAGCGAGGCGCTGCAAGAACCACTCGAACCCGTCTTTGTATTCTCACATGCTGCCGGAGATTGAACGCGGAAGCTACGAGCTCATCCTAGGGTGCGCGCGAGGCAACGGCATGCAACTATGGCGGTGCAGCGTTATATGAGGTCCAGAACAATGAGCCGCATTAGGCGCGGAGTTGGGCGCTGGGCTTCGTGCGATGAACCGGTCGCTGTATTTGGCTGCTTGCGCACTCATTTGTGCAGGAGAACACGTTGCCGGAGTCAGGGCAGCACCACAGCATCATTGTACTGCTGCCACTATAAATATGAGAATGCGCCAATGGATCGGTGCATATCACAGTATCGTCCTCGTCCCCTCCTAGCACATCTCTGAACCCTCACGAACGCTCAGCACATATCTACAATGCCGTTCGGGATTGGAACGATCAATGGTGTCCGTATCGTCTTCTATGTGATCTTGGTCAGTGAATAAGTCTGGCGTTGGGATCCGGCATGCAAGACTCACGCGCGAGGTTTTCGTACAGTTCCTGTTCTCTATCGTACTGATTGGCCTTACTGCGGCTCGTCTACAATATACAACCCATCTACCGCTTGGCGACCCGCTGAACAACGGCGTTGATTTCTACGATCCCATTGTGGCCGAGTTGCTGGCATCATCATGTCTCTCTCTCCTGTGGTCGCTATTTGCGTACGTTAGCCTCTAGCTTGCGCTAAACGGCGATTGCAGCGTTCTGACATGATTGCCTCTGGTTGCAGGCTACACATATTGTACCCAAGGTGGGGGTTCGAATACGGCATCCTGTCCAGTTTCCTAGGGGAGATGATCGGACTCTTCATCCTTTTCCTCCTCTGGCTCGTCGGAGCGGCGATCGCCTCTGTACGTCACCGACATGCCCATTCTCACATTGCATTGACGCTGACATGCCTCCACAATGCGCAGACAATGTGGGGCGAGCTTGGCTGGTGCCATGAGTACGAAGCGTGTCGGCTTCTCACGGCCCTCGTCGCATTCGCGTGGCTGGGGTGGGCAATGCTGCTCTTCTTGCTCTTCATCACCGCAGTATACGCCATCGTGAACCGTGCGCTGTTCTGGCAGATGCACGGCCGATACGCGCCTCGCGCGAGCGGCTTCGGACCGGCCTTCAGAGCATGAGATGTGAGATCAACACGAAATACCTATGTGCTTTTATGAACCATCATCAATCATGTATTGCGTTGAAGACGTCGTTTCTTCGCTAGGGATGTGTTTGTGTATGATTTGTTCTACCTTGCGCTGATTGATATTAGCGTACATTTGTGGAGATACCTACGTTAGAGCATGCGTTTCTAGATAATGATATACCTTCCCATCTCTTTGTCAATGCACGACCTTCTATCGCAGGGTGCTTGTGAGAACGCGATGAGGTATTCCGCGTCACCATCATGCACGAATAATTTCCACAAGTTCCAGATTTGCGACTTCTGCCTCCATGCCGCCTTCGAGAAATCCTCTGCATAATACTGTCTTCGAAGTCATTGCGCAGCTGGCATCATCTTCTCCTGTAAGAAAAATAAGTCAATTTTCACCACATTCATGAAGAAGGCAAAGGCAAACCAAGAAGAACAAACGAGGTCTGCTCACTGCGCTTCCCAAATGTCTAGATGACGTCATGTTCTTCATGCATCCCTCTGACAGCACTGAAGGCCCTCGGAGAGAGCTCCTCCGCCGTCTACTGAGACAAGCGCCCAGAAGAGCAAGTCTTGAACGACGTCAGTCACAGGACAGCTGTGGGTCCTCGTCCGTGACAGACCTATCATGAAACTCGACAGCAGAGCGGATCAGAAATTGGCATGAGGCGATCACGGAGACTGCCAGTGTGCTCACCATCACAGCCCCGCGATGAGATGATGGACAGTTACCATCATCCTCGCTGACATGGGTTCCCGAATCGCAAGCTGAGGAATTCATGCGCATGAATCCCCGTTTTTGTCGTTCATGTTTGAAGAGTTCCGACATGATAAGTATTTCTAAGGCCGGAGACGATTGAGACGATTGAGGCGATATTGTTTTGATAGCGATGGGAACATGAGTCTGTCAACCTGAGGGCGCGCACACATGGCCAGCATTCAGGGTTATCATCGACGAGTATAGAGCCCCCATCATACCCTATGAGCTCTTGCAGCGTTGGAAGGATCGGATAGTGAACGGAACGATAGGTCTTGAACATCGATAGTATTATAGCATCTACACAGTGAGTTCCTCTTCGGAACCAAGAACAGCCGATATTGTCTGATAGGAAGTGCTGTGCAGAAGGTGACCGGGCGAGCAGGCTGGCGATAGCTTTGAGGATTACTAGCGTCGGGCAACAGTAATCATGTCGTCAACGTTCGCACGCGAAGATGCGTGCAGTAATAACCGAAAAGCATCACGTGCTCGCCGCCGCGCGCATCTCCTTATTAAGCAAGCCAATCAAGGGTCGCCAACTGAAGCTGTTCACCGCAGGCTCTATGGCTCTCGAAGCGGACGTTCTGTCCTACGTACATCTGGCTAAGTCCTGAGATCTAACTGAACTTAGCCAGACCTAAGTGATTTAACATAATATAAGGTAAAGAAAATTAAGGCTTCTGCCTCACGGTGCAATGGCACGCATTGCTGCCCCCATCCGCCATCGCTGTCCCCACACTAATCTCTCTGTCTTTACTTATGAATATTTGGATTTTCTTCGATTTTCTCTGGCTGTGACAACCTATCATTTTTGGGTCGGTGTGGCCTAAAATAACAAGGACGACGAGGTCACGCAGTTCAATATGTGTCAATTAGCCAAAAATATGTGTATTGTATACAAGCATAGTTTTCCAGCACACTTCGCCCATCAAAAAACGCAGCCTTGAATTATAGATCTATGTTTCTTGAGAAAGGACAACATCAGATTTGAAAGGAAACGCTGGAAAGCAGAACACACAACAACGCACGTATACGATAATGTCAAGCAGGGTAGGTTAGAGTTGCTTAACAAAGGTCTGTTGTCTCGAGGTCTCTCGCATCGAGATTGATCATGCCGCTTTCACTGGCATTGATCGACCGTTCATGTTGACTAAGCCTGTCGAGTGAGGCGGTCGAAGAGCAATCTGCAAGTATGACTTCAGCGGCAATCTGCTCATCAGGACGGTACATACAAGTATCCATTGGTATGAATGTGGACAGTTGAGAAAACGTTTGCTGGACATCTCCCGTATGTTCCGACGGATCGTTTTCACTCGAAAAAGACTCATCAGCGGAAAGTCGGAGCTTGTGCATGTCGAGCAGTAATTGCGATATGATGATCAACGTAAGACTAATGAACCACGTTAGCTGCGGAGCGCACTCCAAAGAGCTGATACTAACGCATCTACGAGGTAGACCATCTGATCGAAATAAAAACGCTAGGCCTTGGCTCGCTTGGTTAGTCAACCCACTGACATTGACGACACATACCGTCCCAGACAAGACCCCGAGCTGAGCAATGTTCAGTACTAGCAGTGCTCTAAGATTTCCGAAGGTCACAGCCGTATTCAATAATAAAGTTGTCATCCACATACACGAAGTATAGAGATCCTGTTCAGAGCACAATTCATGAGCAACTGACGTGCAGGAAGCGTCATCGCATTGACTTACCATCCCTTAGTAGCAACTGGGAAAGCGAAGATGCCGGAGACAGTAACCTAATTCTACGTGTTGCACGCAAGCGGCGCCACGCCACACCTATGACAATGGTATCCGATACAACTGCAGACACTCGCGTGACAATGAGCACTATAATGATGAGGACATATTTAGCAATGGAGGTGGATAGTATGCAGACGCTTCTATTACTTCTGCGTGAAGCAAGCAGGTAAGCAAACGCCATCAGAGTAGCAGCATGCATGCACCCACATCACGCTGTCCGTCGCTGAAATTGAACTAAGTGTGGTGCAAAACGACATTGATCCCACGCTGAAGAGGGACGACGACGATCTCGCAAAGCCGAGCTGCATACACCATCAGCTGATATGGTGTCTCCATTCCATTAAGTGAGCGAGAAGGAATCATCGTACCACGTTCGTGAAAAAGGGTACTAGACCGATCGTCAGAGTCAGAGCAGCTAACGTCCACGAACGATCGCTGGTGGCATAAACACGGAGTGCTGAGAATGCTTGTGGATATCGAGAGTGAGATTCGGTACACCAGCATCAGCAGTTTTCATACCCGCCCACATGAACATTGATAACATCGCGAAGCATTCCCATAGAATTGGCACAAACTTGCAGCTGAAAATATGTCATCTTCGAGCTTCATGAGGGAGCGATGATTGACAAACCTCTAAAGGTGGCACAAGTCAGTACAAGAGACAGGCCGGGGAGAATGTTAAGCGTACAATTGGCAATGTGCGAGGAAGAACTTCATTGATGGACATGAGAGCGAAACCCAGCATGGTGAACCGATTCAGGTAGAAGAAGACTTTCGCAACGGACAGTCGGCTGTTCCAGACGTATCGTATCTCTTGATCGATAGTAAGCATGTAGTCGTATAGTAGGATAACTATTGGCAGACAATGAGAGAAGACCCGAACACGCACGTGCCAGCAAACCACTCACCCGCGACTGCTGTGAGACAATAGTTTGATCCAATGCTTGAAAGTGTTATTTAGCAGCGGGACAGTGCTGCATGAGACAACACTCACTAATCCAACAAATTCAGGAGTAATTCTTCAGGTGTCAGCGTTGACGACATATCGAGACTAGCAACGAGCGAGAGCCAGAGTCATTGTACTCATTATCCATTCCGTCAGCATATAAGAGGGCAACGTATTGATGCGGTCTGATGAATGACCACGCATAGGCCAGCTGGGCTAACACCTCTTCTAAGATGACTTTGAGATCTCCACCGCTATCGCCATAACGTCTGAATGATGTTGCATAGAGTGTGCACATGTCCCATCGCAGCGAAACGAATCATCGAGATAGCACATCACGGCCGGCCGGCGGCAAGGAAACGTATGCAAGAGGCCACATGCCGCAGATCATCGAGCTTCCGACCGTGCATAGCCAGCTTTCACATGATGGTTTCATCAGCGAACCTGACGCCACAAGGGAGATCATCGTGGAGCTCGGAAGGCTGTGTGCACAGAAATCATAAGACGACCGACTTGCCTTAGACGAAACTTTGATGTCGCTGGCACAAAGGCTACAAGAACGATAAAGACTGCGTCAATGTAAACGATTGACCACCGTCCAGATTCTATGGATGCTACAAATAATTAGTTTCAAACGCCATCGCGGAAGCATCAATCGCATGAAACCTACCACGGTCCTTTGCTCATGGTATGCAACAGGTCTCGCCTCAACTGAAAATCGAAAGTATCAGGGCAGCACGGTTCGCAGCAAGAGTGGGCAAAACCATGAACACCGAAGCATGAGAGGCCTGAGCGCCGTTACCCATACCATCAACACTGCAGAAGATTGAATGCGCTGCAGTCTCACTTCCATGTCCCCGATCCATGAATGTGCTTCCGAACCGGTTATTACAAATAGGCCGAATCAGCGTTCACTACGCAATAATAGGTATATCATCCATCAAGTCCCATAGCAATGGCCCGTGTGAACCGGATCGACGCAGAGATATCATAAGGCCCTCACAGCCTCGGAGGCCGTGGCTGATCTTCGGGCGCGTACTTAGCCTGCAGTAAGCATCGATCAGCAGTTGCGATGACCAGATTGTATTGAGCGGGTAAAAAGGCTATGCGCACCATCTCGTTCTCCTTCTTCACATATCCGCACTTCTGATAAAAGGCTGTGAGGAAAAAGGATGAGTGACCAGTAGCAGAACAGCAAATAAGCCACGCACGGATGTTGCTATCACTGCAGTTTAAGATGGTCTTGTAGCACCCGCTGTTCTCACTGATACCGGTGAGAGCTTGAATTATCCGTAAACCCAGCTTCTTTCCCTGCTGTGACTTGTCCACAGCAATGTCCTCGATATGCCCAACGCTGCCAAGGCCGCGCAGGAACTTGCGCTCAATGAACACCGTGCCAACAGCGACGATGCCATCGGAGGCCTTGTCGACCATGACGATGGAGTAGTACGTGCGCGCTGCCGCGCGAAGTGCGTTGAATTGCGCAACCCACGCCTCCTCGCCGGGGTCGGTCACAACCGTCAGGACTGAGAGAACGGATAGGTGTCCACGTCTGTAGTCTGTTGAGGCCAAGGGACGCAACTGCCCTACCCTTCAATACCCACAAGAGCTGTAGGTGAAGACCTGCAAAACGTACGTGGAGATCTGACGGCAAAGCCGTCCTTATGTCGTCCGGTATGAACTCAGCAGGGAAGAGCAGGTCGAGCTGCGAATCCGGGGTGAACGGCATATTGATGATGAACTAAGAGTCGCGAGATTGGGAAGAATAGTCCGTATAGTAAGCTATAGATCTCTAGGTTGTGGAAGGAGCAGAGGAAAAGAGGAAAAGACAGGAAAGATGATGCGCAGAGTAGCGGTAGAGAGCAATGTGGGGTAGGTGCCAGCGGTGGCGGCTTTATCTTTTTAGGAATTCTTCCGCGCACGTTGGCTGGTCGCGCGCGCCCGTCGTGAGGCTGTCCTCACTGCCTCCGCTGGGGAACGCAGCTTTCGAACAGTCTATACATCAGCTATTTATTAACCATGAGCAACCTTCTCACAAGGTCTCAGCACAGAGAGGGGCCATTCGCAGAGTCCAGCGAGTCGCACAAAAGATGAAGCAAATATCGCATCACACTAACAACGTCGGCGAATAATGTACAAAAAATGGCGAGTTTCTCTGGGCTCGTCGAGTAAGGCAAAAGTTAACGCGAACAAGATATGAAACGATCAGCAGTCCTCATCCTCCTCCTTCAACGTAGCGCTCGCCAGAGCGGCCCACCGGCCCTGACTGCTCCCCACTGCCCTATCCCACTTGTCGTCCACACTCGGCCGCGGCTTGAAGCTCTCGCGCCGCGCCCTCGCTGCCTTCTTCGCCATCGCAGCAGCACCATACGTCTTGTCCCCACCCGCAACATGCATCGCCGCTCGGCCTTTGGGCTGCTTATACGGATGATAGTTATATGCGTGCTGCGTGCGCGCGGGCCCCATTCTGCCGTGGCTAGGAGGATTGCGAAGCCTGCTGAGCTTCGATGTGGACATTCCTCCCGGTGTCGCGCGTGGAAGGGACGACGCGATCGGTGTCTTCGCAGCGACCTTTGAGGTGGACGTCGCTGTATTCCCACTCGTCGATCTGCTTCCCGAACGTTGTGGCACGTTACTGTGCGTCGCAGTGGCCTCGCCTAGCCTTGAAGCGCGTTTAGCAGGCACGGACTGAGAGGCTGACGTGGAACGCGTGACGGGACGATTTGCCGGTGTTGCGGAGATGGTACTCTTGCCCGGAACAAACTGATGAGATGCATGAGCATTGGATGGCGTCTTGACCCGCGGAGGAGCCGAGCCATTGAGGCCCGTTGGCGTCTTCACTCGCTTGTTGTTCTCCTTGTCGTTCGCACTCACTGCCTCGCTCAGAGTTTGCAACATCCTCTGGCCATGCACGAGGAAGACGCGGCCTGTCGCTTCCTCCCATGCTGGTATCGATGTCAGAAGGTCTTGTTCAAGCTAATTAATGAGATACGTTCAATGTTAAGAATGCACTCGAGACAAAGAGCTGGCTGACCCGTGGCTTCTCCTTCGACACCCGCTTGCGCATCTTCTCTTCGCGCAGGAGACGTCCTGGGTCCCGAGGCCCACGACCTAGCAGCCGGCTCTGGTCACTTGCTGCAGCAGCAAGTTCCTTCTCGTCCTCGCAAATGTCCAAGTATCTCTTGATGCTCGTGAGCAGTGGTCCCTTCAGCTTGCGTTCTTCCTTAAGCCTGTCGATCTCCTCTTCGTGTATCGAGAGAAGCTCTTCTGTGTGCTCATCTGTGGCCAGGTCGTTCGAAAACGCTCAAGAAATGTTGCAATACAGTACTCACCGTCTGCAAATGGAGCAAAGTCCGCCCGCTCTTCGTCTCCAATCATCAACTCATCCCACAGCTTGACGATCTCTTCCCTCGCGTTCTCCACAAACGTACTCATCCGTTCACGCTTCAGCTCGAGCATCCGCTCCAGTTCATCCTCGTACGCCTTGACAGTTGTCTCCGTGCTGCCTCGCTGAGTCTCGACGAATCCGTCCATCTCAGCCTCTTTCACGCCGAGCCTACGCCAAAGAGCCTCCAGCTGATCGTACATTGCCTGAATATGTGCTTCCCTGCGGTGCTTGATCCCTTCGAGGTCAGCACGGGTAGCTTCTGCCCAGGCGATAAGGTCCGGCGTCGGGTCGACACCCTCGAGACCGACGTGTGAGTTCTTCGGGTCGTCAAGCTCCTCGCTGGACAGTTTCTCGATGCAAGACACAAAATGAGCAAGAATACGTCGATATTCGTCATCAGAGGAGGTCACGTCTGGCTCGTCGGGGGTGGCAAGCAGCATGAGCGGCGTCAGCCGTTCGCCACGCGAAGCAGGAGTCGGCGTGGACATTGACAGTGAGGAGGAGATGGATGAAGAGAGGAACGGATCAGCAACAGTCAGAAGTGTAGATCGAGCACTGCGGGAGGGCGTCGGACGGGTGAGACTAGATGAACGGAAAATGGACAACGAGGAAGGTGCTTCATCAGGACCGGGAGGCTCCATTCCCAGCTCGGTATATAGCCAGTCTATCTGAATTAGCATCGCGGACAGCTGTGTGAGCCGTTTCGACTGGGGCACCATTAGGAGAGAGATCGGAGCATATGTGTCATGGTACGTACAACTTCGCCCTTGCCGCGGACAAGCTCCTTCTCGAGCTTCGAAAACCGCTCAGGTGTGACATCGCGATGCGAGTTGGGATCGTCCTCGTCCTCGTCGAGAGCCGCAGTAGGTTCCAGAATGTCCTCAGAGTAGAAATCGACACCCAGGGTGTGGGCAAGTTGGGAGATGCGGCCCGTCAAGGTCAGCAACTGCTCGAGCTTCGTATGATACATCTATTGCGGATCGAGGGATATAAATAGAGTTGGTTGCTTGTAGCTAAACTTCCGGCGCACCTGTCTCAACTTGTCCTGATACTCCATGGCCCTATCGAACCGCCTCGGAAGGACTGCCTCCTTCCTGATCTCGCCGACGCTGGTGCCAGCGGCCTTGATGTGCCCGCCCAAAGCCCTCGTGTACCGCAGACACTCCTTCTCCACATCATCGCACTTGCCCATCCACTCGTCGACCTCCTTTCTCCTCACATCGATCTGGGTCTCGATGCATTCCGTCAGCCGTTCTTGAAGCTCTGCTAGTTCGTCTGTGAGCGCGGTTTCCGCCAGTCCCAACTGAGCATGCAGAGTAGGAAGCAGCTGGGTTTGAGACTGGAGGTGGGTATGCAGGGAGTTCAACAGCGAGGTTATCGTTGTAGCCATTTCGTGACTTGCCGTCGTTGTTGCAACCGTCGCCGTCGTCGCCGCTTGAAGCATGGCTGGCAAATGCCGGATGAGACGCGAACCGTGAAGGCGTCACGTGACCGCGTCACAGCTGGTTAGCGCTGGTGAAACCTGCGGCAGCCTGCTTTGTTTTGAGCGACTCCTGGTATTTACACATATGTGCAGTCTACTACGACAGTCTCTCTTTCTTGAGTGATCAGCATCACGCACCCAGAAACTCCAGCACCTCCTGCACAAAAGTCTCACGTTCCTCCAGCATGGGCGTATGGCTGGATAGCTCAAACGTTCGCCACTTGACCCGGGGTATCCCTTGAAAGAACGGTCTCACCACAAAGTCCTGCGCAATATCCGCACGACCGTTGATGAGAAGTGTCGGAGTGCGTATGAGGTGAGTCCTGTCGATGATGGACCACTCCTTCAACTCGCCCGTCCACCTGTACACAATATCAGTACCGCAGGGAAAAAGCATTCTTGAACGTGCATCACTTACATTGCGATCTCTACAGTAGGATCTCCGCCTTCGCCCAGAGCGCCATCGATGGGATCCGTGAATTCTTTTGGCATCGGCTTGACTGTGCAGCCGTGCTTGGCATGAAACTGCCTCATCGCAGGTGCCAGTCTCTTCAGGTCGTCCCAGCCAGCTGCCATGGCGTCTTTGACCTCTTGTGGAAACGGCTCAAGCAACTCAATTATAGACTGCACCCACAACGCATGGGAGGCTAGCGAGTTGGTCAAGATAAGGTGCCTCAGTCCTTCAGAACGACGCCTGACATCGAACTCTGCGCCGAGCATGCCACCCCACGAGTGTCCAAGGATACCAAAACTATCTTGAATGCCGAAGTATGTGATCACATTGAGCAGTTCATCGATGAAGAGGTCGACCGTCCAGAACGATTTGGGCTTGTTGGGAAGATGCGTTGAACGACCCCCGCCGATCTGGTCATAAAATATCACGGGTATGGATGCTATTGCGGTGAGATCGGACAGAGGAAGCAAGTAATCATGTGCAAGGCCGGGACCACCATGCAGGCAGATAAGAGGGGTGCGACTGCCGACTGGGAGATCGCCGAAGACTTTGTACCATGTCTGGAATGTTTCTCCCCCCACGACATTCCCTCAGTGCTTGGAAGTGAGCGGGCTGCCATGAGAGGATCGTGGATGCGGCGCTGTACGGCACAATAGGATTTTTCGGCAACAACGTCGAAAAGAGTGCTGGATGCAAAGAATTATTGATGATGGGGTCGGCGGACTGCCCGTCAATCCGGAGGAATATTATGTGCTTCATATCAGAGGCAAGGACAGTTGATGATATTGTAGACGCACATGGTCGCTTGACATCGCACTTTACAGACGCCACCGCCTCGATCGTATCGTCAGTCCCGACCTCAGGCGTTAATGTTACGCTTAAAAGCTTCATCCGCGGCGCCAGCTGTCACCTTGCAACCGGGACTTCAGGGAACGACCCGGCGCCCGTTCACCTTTGCATCAGATTCGTAAGCTTCCATTCCAACGATAGCTCCCCCATTGTTGTGAGCGCAATCGCGCCCGAGATGGGGGCTTACCATTGAGCGCTATCTGATACTAGGCTCAAGTCATCCCGGACCCAGAGAAGCGGGCTACTACGGAGCAGTGCACTCCAAACCCTCGTTGAGCGCGAAGGCCGTTGAGATGGGATCTCCGTATCTCGTCCCGGAATAGAATACAGCACATGGAGGCTTTCTATCGCCATCTGACTTCGGGCTCCAACTCACAGAGGCAGTACAGTGTTTCATTTCCAGAGACCAAGTAAGTCGAATTTTTGGTTTGGCGAGATATGCTATTTCATCTACTATGGCACAAATTGATTCGTCTAGAGACACCCAAGCCTTCGTGCGTACTAGCCTGAAGGGGTGAGATTTCACCGGGCCATTCCGTTTCACACTACCTATAGCTTTTGTTCCTTGCTCGTGATTATCTTACTCTCCTCGTTAAGGCATATCAGCGAAGCTGATATGCAACCTCATTCTTAAGAGTGAATTTCTCACTGTGGCTGGCACGACGATGCTGCCGAGAGTACTCATCATTCCTTTGCTCATGATTTCTGTATACAACCTCGTGAGCATTAGCCGACGTCTATTCTGGATGTTCGCAAACGAGAGTTCACGGCCATCCCCTTCTCGATGTTATCGTGAGGAATTCCCTGTCATTATCTGTTGAGATATTGCTCAAATATGGCGTACAGAATACATAGCTCACGACATGGCACTGGCACTGTCTCTTACAGAGCCTGAGCTTGTGGCCATGGCTGTTGAGCAAAGTGTGCATTTCCCGCTACTTGGAGACGAGTCCGATCCCATATGGGCCGGTATCACATCCTCAGGAGGCGGCTATATACACATGGGCCCGGACAATCGCCTTTTCATGATCACAGTGTTTCATGAACTACATTGCCTGCGGGTGCTCAACCTTGCATACGCTGGCTCACTCGACGCGCCCGCTGAACATATAGACCACTGCGACGAAAATCCGGGGAGAACGGGTTGTGGCACTGGAGTAGAAAAATGTGGTTGATATCCATGGTATCCGTGAATCAGTGCCGCGTCTTTCATGTTCTTGCAAGCAGAATCAGAGGATCTAGATTGCTGTTGTCCCTGTTGCAAAAAATACGCGCTCAGTTCATGAACAACATATAAGAGAATTTTTAGGACAATGTAGTAGGCTCAACTCACCCGCAATGTGGAATTTTATCGCTACGCATTCGAGCCAAGGCAAAGTCCTTCGTCTGACACCTACGACTGCGCCATTGTTGCTCTCTCTCTCTCTTTTCGCGCACGTCATTGTTACCTTCGCTCTGTTCCGTTCCTCAAATGCAGATAGCAAGCCACAAATGAACGAGTCTCCTAACCTACTGTTGCTCATGGCACTCTCAAAGTTGCAACAGCTTGCGTGGTGAAGTCTCCGCAACTCGACGGGCTCCAAGCTCGTCCCATCGCACTATCTGTGGTCGACACGGATCACTATGGGCTCTATGCAGACGAAGAATGGAAGTCGTCCATACCAGTCGGTGGTGGCTTTCTCCAAACCTCGACCTCAGACTCCGGAGAGAAGAACTTCGCTGCCATGTCCCTCTATCACCAGCTACACTGTCTGAACCATCTCAGCCAAGCCATTGCCTTCGGGCAGAATGTCTCTGGACCAGAAACGCACCATGCTGGGCACTGCCTCGGATATCTGCGCCAAATGATTTTATGCCATTCTGACATCACCCTCGAGCCAGTTGGGTGGATCGAAGATTTCGACGGTAGTATTGTAAAGGGTGCGACGGGAATAGGCGTCACTCATGAGTGCCGGGATTGGACGCAAGTTAGGGCATCGTCGAGGATCACTATGAGGGCTGGAAATGGGTCGCGTGAGGGTCTGTAGGTTAACACAGATACTCGTAGCTTTGTCACGGCAACTGTACACGCTTCATAAGTGACGAAGCGGCCCAGCCAATACATTGATACAAATCAAACGGAACAAATCTATCCTATTGATACATGATCAGCGGGCTCCAAACACGAAGGATGAGATGACCAGAGTGTGGCATAAAACATTACAAGGCCATAGTAACACCAATCAGGACGGGCCAGAGGATGAAGACAAGGCGGAATTTGATACGTTCGAGGTCGACGGTAGTCTTTCTCCAGATGCTGCTGCCGCTAGCTCCAGTCTTCGCCTTGTCCATGTACGGGTTCTCGGTCTGTGTCATCACAGGAGATGTGCTTGTAGAGACAGGAGTATTGATAGAGGATGATGTCAGTGATGGCGATGTGGAAGATTGCCCAGTGGAGGATGACTCGAAGGTAGTGCTGATGCTCAGTGGTCCCAGAGAGAACGTTGCCGTATAGACACTAGCCGACGTCTTGGTAGCATAAGAGCTAGAAGAAACTTCCGCATCATGTTCTGAGCCGCCATACGGCGATGTATCGTCCATGGCAGTGATCGTGAAGTCAGCTGTATAGATTGTCAGGGGAGGATCTTCGCATATGAAGCGCATGTGACTAAATGCTCGTTCATGAACGCAACCGTTCAATAGGACTGGAGAACAACGCACTAATCCGAGCCGTTCGGACCCCAGGTCGGCGATATCCAGACCTTCTGATGTCTGCTTAAAGGATCGACATTGTCCGCCACCGTCGCGACATAGTTCTAAAGTTGAATTAGCTTTCTCTTGAAGTTCATCTAGCAATAAACGAACGAACGTCTTGATAGTATAAGTCGATTCGCACAGGTCCCATTTCCGTGAGAGAGGGCTTGGTGTTATCGTTGATCCAAGTAACAGTAGACAAGCGGCCAGCGCTCAGAACCGTATTCGCGATGGGACGTGTGCCATAGAGACCGGCGGCGACAGAGGAGACGTACAGCAAGCAGACAGTCAAAAGAAAAGAAAACATTATGCGGCCTCAGAACTATGGCACGAAATAATGCGAGAGTCGTAGAATCTATGGGGCTTTCCTTCAAAGAGAGAATAGATGCTTGCTGCTGATGGTGACGGCCCCAGAAATGCACTTGATACCAGATATCGGACCAGCGAGTTGAAGTTGAGAACCAGGAATCAACTCACCCTCCACTGGTCTACACCGCGTCGGTCACGTGGTCGCTCGCACTGGAGGGCTGTTTGGACGCCAGCCGATGGTTGCGGCGACCCACCAACCATTAAACTCCAACCACCGTCGACATGAACTAGGAGTTTCTGACAGTTATTTTTCGTCAGCAGCTGCTGCAATCTCCGAGGAAATCTGCGAAATTTTCAGGTTGGCTTAAAACAGTGGGCTGTCGCCGGGCCAGTTCCGCAATTCCACAGCCACCTCGGTATCTGCGGGACCAGGACGAGAGTGCGCAAACGTCTTTGCATCGCTCAATGACATCTCGAGATCTTCGGTGTATCTGAAATGTTCCGCCAATTGCTCACGCCATTGAGTACACGCTTTGCGCTGCCCCCGCTGTCCCCTTTGCGATCATCCCAAACAGAGAGCGCCGACCAAGAAGATGCTTTGGCAGTGGAAGACTTCGCCCAGGATGCTCTCATCGAAGTGATGCGCACCTCTGTAGACCGTTTGAAGGCTACGGAGCAGTTGGAACAGAAACTCGAGGTGTGAAACTGTCCGTCGTATCAATTCGATGATTTGTGACGAGTGGTCATCCTGCACCAGATCCTGACGGAAATACATAGGCTAATGCTGGAGGATGCGAGGACAAGGGACGTTTTCCGTGAAATGGACGGCTTCCTAGTTGTAATGAATGCTCTATCGACCATACCGACCGCTGCTGGAGGTAATAGCGACCTGCAGCTCGTGGTCCTCGAAGCAACGCGACTAGTATTCGTTATTCTTGCTGAGGCTCTCTATCAGCACAGGGAGAACATGGACTATTTCAAGGTATATTGGCTCTTTATAACTTCAATTGTAGCTCATGATTTTACAGCGTTCAGTTGGATTTGAGCTACTCTCGCAGGCCATGCGTGGTTTGGTATCAGAACCTACAACCGTGAAACACACTCTTGGGTTTCTCGTGGCTCTCGCACTTCACAAATTTTCCATGTCTGGTATCTTTGCATACGAACCTGACGCAGATTACGACCAATTGGACCATCGGATCCGCGACTTCGAGTCAGCATTCGGATTCATTTATCTCCCTCAAGCTCTCCTTGTACTGTATAACTTCATCCCACTGGCATATTCTGCTGATGCGCCACTACGATATTGCATTCTGAAATTGCTGGAGCGATTGTCGCATCACAACCATAGAAACCACTGCGTGTTGGGCAGCCTCGATCTAGTTGGGCCACTCTTCCGGCGATACTGCGAATGGAAGGACGATGACACCGTGATGAAGCGAGAACGTCAGGTCGTTCAAAAGCTGCTGCGGAGACTGGTTGATGTTGGCACCACCACGGAGGACGCAAGACTTATGTTTCAACACGTCGTCCGGGAGGATGAGGCGCTAGATATAGATATTCTAGAAGTGCTGCGCGCCGGAATGAAGGTGAAATGGCCGGAGCACTTCTCCCTGGAAGCTCCGGCGACATTGCAAGTAACGCAGTATGATATGAAAGGGCTTCCTTCTACAGGATTCACCTTTATGGTAATGCAAGCTAATGCGTCGTTTAGGTTTTCGCGACTGATAATCTGATTCGTATAGATATGGCTCTGGGTTGAGAGGTTCCCGACCAGCGATGCACACTCTGTCTTCACCTGCATGCTAAAAAATCGTGCCCTGTTCGAACTGAAGATTCGTCCAGATGGCTCGCTAGAGTCTCGGAGTGCGGGCTCTCAGCAGACTGCTTCTTTGAAAGCGACGGTTGCTCGAACGCGTTGGACCCATATCACCTGTGTCCACCATCCTCATCGATCATCCAATCCTACTCTCCGTAAGTGTCCCCGATGATCGAGCTTGCTTAGAGCCTTACTGCCACTGTCTATGATATCAAGGGGTCTTCATTGATGGCATCTTGACCGATGCACTGAATTGGCACTATCCAAAACCCGATTCGTCAACGAACGGCAAGTACATCATCGGCGACGATATTGAGACCACTTCGCTTGGTTGGTGCGTCGCGTCTGCCTACTTCATTGCTAGTCCGATAGGTGAGACTCCATCCTCTATGTTATCAACGTCCGGACCATATGCTTAGCAGATTACCCCATAAGCCGACAGTTTGCCTCGCTTCATACATCATCTTGGACCGCGCTACACTGCCAGATTCCAAACCACAGAGCTTGCTAAGTTTCTGACCTATGAAGCATCAACTGCACTGCATATCAGTCTTGATGGCGCCGTGCAACAATCAGTAGCGAAGGCAGATATCGCACAATTGCAACATGCCATCAAAGATGGGCTGGGCATCGCAGAATCATCCGTCATATTTGCAATCTCCACGGCCAGTTCTGTTGCTGACAATGGCGACCTCGATGGCCAGCCAGAGGTCGCCATCGATGGGAATGTCTATGTAGTCAAGAATCCTGCCTTGGACCTAGTGATGTGGAAGATTGGCGGTGCCGCTGTTGCCCTGCGGCTCGTGCAACTAGCAACTGTAAGGCCTCCCTGTAGATATCCCCTCCGCATCAGCTCATATGGCCTCGTTCTAGAGCACACATGAGCTCTCTCGCGCGCTTGGTATCCTAACTGATGGTATTAGGAATAGTTGGCAGAATTCAGAAGACATGGAGCAATTACGTATGTCCACGCGAAATTTGTTTGCCACCTTGTCTGACTTTTCTTCCAAGGTGGTTACGATCTTTTGGCACAGATGCTTCGTGGCAAGAGTCAGCTCATCAACATCACTGGCTATGAGACTCTCTTCGAATTTCTAGGTCTCAATTTTCGCAATCCTGAGTGAGTCTTGACATGATATGCGAGAGCGCAGCCACTAAGTCTACCAGCCAGTCCACCGTTGTGAACACGGTCGCGTATCGCGCGCTGGCGCTTGATTTCCAGCTGTGGTCGTCTGCGCGAGTGGAAATCCAGCGTGCGCACATGGACCATTTCAGCACGCTTCTCAAAACAAGTAAACATAAGCGGTTCAATGCAAAACAACGGATTGCTAGGATGGCAGTCCTCCGCAAGCTTCTCTTCGTGCTGCAGACTTCTCTATATCATGATGAAATGATATCCAACCTTGTGGAGACTGTTGGCGTGGTAGCGCAGGCACATTTCACTACGGACGCCGCCATTAAGCCTATAGTCTCCTATCTTGCAGCCAACCTGCATGGAGGTAGTCATATTCATTCTTTTTTTCCCGAATGTCTTTTTGATGACGGGTTCAACCAGATGGAAGGGGTGCTGCATCCCCCATATCAGTATTATCGCACATCGACTACCTGAACGTACAATCCAAGGCGGAGCAAGTTCTCGAGGTGTTCGTCTCCCTGCTCATGTCGCCCCCGGCGTATGCGAAATTTTCAAATGCATTGCCGGTCGCGCGTGTTTGCCTTCTACTTCTCGGCGAACGACCCACGTCCTCTGTGGCGACGCAGATCTTGCGTCTTCTTACGATCAGTTTGAATGCTTCGATATCATTCAATCGGAAGTTTGAGCTGGTCAGTGGATGGAGCATCCTGAAGACCGTATTGCCTTCTGCTTGGGATACCGATGTACAAAAAGCCGCCTTTGATCTACTTTTTGGGCGGATAGACAACCAAAGGGATGACAATTTGGTTGTTATCTGCCCGCAAGTCTTCCCCGCTGTATTGCTTTCACTGAGAACATATTTAGAGATAATAAGCACAAAGATCACGAGCAGCAATACAAACGGTACCAGTCGTGAAAATGATGCCTTTTCTTGTCACGACTGACTTCTGTATAGGGATTAATGTCGTCGAGGATGCGGCTGAACGCTTGCTTGAGCAACTCATCAACTTGCATTCGACAGTGCCATCCTTCCGCCAAATATTCAAATCGCACGCAACGACAGAAATATTCATCAACACGTACAGAATGTTCGTCGCCTCAGCGTCAACTACTGTGGAGCTTCCCTTCAACACTGTCCGAATCTTGGAGAAACTCTCCCACTTTGGACTGAGTGTCGCCCTTGACAATAGTGTATCGAGTTCGCACAAACAGGAGGTGGGATTCGAACGTCATTGATAATGTTAAGGCGATTGCTCATAACTACCGGAGTCGCAGATTATGGATGTGCTTCAATCAGCTGAGACGGTTCTAAACCCTCGTTTATCTCAAGAGACTGCGATCGACGCGACCGCACTCGTTGGCGGAAAAGCTCGTCATCGGCGTATTGGGTCCATAATGCTGAGCATGCACCTGGGAGAGAGCGCTGTCAAGAGATCGATCGCCAGAATCCATGATTGGCGTAGAACTGTCGTCACGACAGAGAGAAAAAGACTACGGAAGACGGTCCTCGATTTGTACGTGTGGCATGCTGAAGTGCATGAATCAAACTCATCAACAAATAACAGGCGTGAATATCATCGTCAAATTAGCAGTTTAGTAGATTGGGCAGCTCTGCTCACGATCGAACGAGGCCTTTGGTCCGACGCTGTGCATGAGCGGCAGTGGCAGTTGGATGAAACTGAAGGTCCTTACCGAGTCAGGTTAGTGACATTCTACGGTTCAAGGAGACATCTGACACGATCCTCCAGAAAAAAGCTGGAGCCTATTCGGGAGGTTATTGTGGATTACAGAGTAGATGCAGATCTACGCATCGGTAATCTGCCCCAGCCAGAGACAGACAACAGCTCTGTCATGCAGCTAGAAGTTCCGCCTTGGGCAGACGGTTATGACGCCTCGTCCGCCATTGGTGAGGATTGTCGATTCCATCATGCACCGTTGCTAACTTTTGGAGCAGACAACCAACTAGAAGAAGACATCGTGGAAGACAAACATCGTAGAGTGCGGCATGAACTTGAACCCGGCGACGTCATAGAAGCCGTGTACACAGTGGCTCGTGTCTTTGGCGTAGACTCGTTTCGTATGTCGTCCTCTTAGTGTCATTTCCGCCTCGCTAAGGAACTGCAGCCGGTTTGCTCATTTTCGGGCACACACACTTATACATCCTCGATGGTCTGGTCCAGGACGAAAACGGCGAAATCATGGACGCGCGCGACGCAACTAAGAAGTTGTTCTTTGTGCCCGGTAGTAATGTCGATTTGAATGGACCGCAACGAGCCCAGCGGTGGTGTGTCTTCTGTCTTTAGATCAATAGTCTGATGCGACTCACGAAATCAATGCAGGAGCCATGATCAGATCCTCAGCTTCAGCGACCGCACGTTCTTGTTCCGTGATGTTGCGTGAGCGTTTCTGAGTTTCTGATGCCTCCATCATTATTCACGCATCACGTCTAGGTTGGAGGTCTATTTCAAGGACAGCCGGTCACTCTTGATTGTGTTCCTACAGAAACGGCAGCGTGAGGAGATGTCTGAACAGTTATCCTCTATAGTATCCCGCCTCGCCGCTGAACATCCCATGCCATCGCCTCTTTTCGCAAAATCGCCGCTGCTATCGCCGATGATGGGACGGTTCGGCGGAAAACTTAGTGCCACATTGAGTGCCAAAGTGTTGACTGGCCTAAGATTGGATGAGCTCTCCACTGCGCAGCGGAAATGGCAGGCCAGGGAAATATCAAACGTATGTAGTGCATTCTAACTAATGGCCACATGATATGCTAATCTTTCAACCAGTTCACCTATCTAAGCATCTTGAATCAAATATCGGGTCGGACACCGAGCGACGCGACACAATATCCTGTATTTCGTGAGTATGTCTAACCTTCCACTCTGGACAATAACTGATTTGCGATCAGCATGGGTACTCAGCGACTATAGTTCGAGCACTCTAGACCTGCGCTCTGCTGCTTCTTTTCGCGAGTATGTATCGACATGCCTCGTAGCTGTGGCGAGAACTTTCATTGGGTGCTCACTATCCACAATAGCTTGTCTAGGCCTATGGGTGCATTGACCTCTGCTCGTGAGGAGGCAGCCCGATCTCGATACGCCAACCTGGAGAGTGTCGGCGAACGGCCATTCCACTATGGGACACATTTCAGCTCATCGATGATTGTGTGCCATTTTCTCATTAGGCTAGAGCCATTTAGTCATATGTTCAAGACACTCCAGGTGTGTGTTCTCGAGCAACGAACGTACATCCCTGTTTTCTTACTAAAGTACAGGGAGGTGACTGGGATATCCCCGATCGACTCTTTAGGTAATCGTTGTGGCTGTTAACGGACTCACTCAAATCCTGACGATGCGTGTATCGATAGTGATATCAAGCGAGCGTATGAAAGTGCCTCTCAGGACGTCCGCGGAGATGTTCGCGAATTAATCACAGAGTTTTTCTCCTTACCAGAGTAAGCACACCCTACAAGTCTGATGAGCATGACACTGACGCGCATGAACGTTAGGTTTTTGGAGAATCTGGATCATATTGACTTCGGTGTGCAACAGAACAATGGTGAAAAGATAGATGACGTCAAACTCCCTCCATGGGCCAAAGAAGATCCTTTATTGTTTATCGCATTACACCGTGCGGTCAGTTACAATGCATCATAGTTTGTCCCTAAGACTCACGTATGCATCAAGGCTCTGGAAAGCGATCACGTTAGCGAGCACCTCCCCAAGTGGATTGACCTTATTTGGGGATACAAGCAACGAGAAGCCGACGCTTTGAACGTGTTCCATCCACTCAGCTATGAAGGATCAATAGGTATGAACATGTCCATCGCTGTGATCTGTACTTGTTTGATGGTGACATGTACCAATTTTCTGTATTCACAGATCTTGATACAATCACGGATGAACTGGAGCGAGAAGCCACTGTCGGGATCATCCACAACTGTCAGTATGCATCCCGAATAACAATATAGGATGCAACTCACATCATTGCATTATCCGCAGTCGGCCAGACTCCTCGCAAGATCTTCCACACGCCACATCCAGAGCGGATGATGCATGGTGCCTCTTCTTTGCCCATTGGAACGCTGTATGGGATTGTGGAGGATCACCATCTGCTCTCACAAAGCTTAAAGGTTGTCAAAGGCAAGTTGTACATTAATTTTCAAGTCGTCCAATCGCTGACGTATATTCCCTATGTTCGTGAACAGACTTGGGACAGCCAGTACATGAACTGTCCTTCGACCCTATCAGCCAGCGAATCATTCCGTGCCCGGAAGGACTGCTGTGTGTCCCTTCACGTCCTCACGAGCAGGTTCAGTGGGATGGACTAGCTGCGGGCGGCGATCTGAAAGTCCTCGTCGACCAGAAGGTCAGCTCTCAGTCTCGTGTTCGGAGTACTAGTAACTTACTTAACGCATCCACTGTACAGGTCGTGCAAGTAGTGGAGGCCACAGCCTGCTGTTGTGCGGCATTTGCCGATGCGAATACGATGGTCACAGGCTCTCGGGACTATGCCGTGCGACTGTGGCGGCTTGATCGCCCATCGCACTCTTTGTCCAGACACAAAGAGGGTCCGCTCAATGTTGTCCTGACGCATGTCATGCGTGCACACACGGCTGAGATTGTGTGTGTCACTACGTCTCGAGCTTGGTCGATAGTCGTCAGTGGATCCAAGGACGGAAGCGCGGTCGTTTGGGACCTGAATCGCGGTACCTATGTGCGATCATTATGGTATGGCACAGGGGAGGATGCGGCGGTGCATTTGGCTACTGTCAGCGAGAGCACCGTAAGTTTTACACAGGTCTATTTGATATGAGCATTAGCTGAAGCGTGGTGATACAGGGATATATAGCTACTTGCTCAAGACAGAAGCTCAGCTTGCATACGATCAATGGCCGGCTCATCACCTCCATCGGTCTCCTCTCTTCCCTAGCTCCGAACTCTTATCCGGCCGTTACTTCCATGGCATTTCTGGAGCGTGAATATTCTCGCATAGGGCTCCTCGCGACAGGGGGACCAGACGGCACGATCACTCTCCGGACGTGGAACGCCGATAGCACTCCGGAGGGTGAGAAGGCACGATGGGAGTTTGCCACCCTGAAAACACTGAAGGTGAAGGATCCCGATGGTGACATTCAGCCTAGGGGCTTCACCTCTTGCGTGACTGCCCTGAAGTTTGTCGGGTGAGTCCTGCTGATCTCATCGACATTTATCACAAGGATATTCATCTCATGCATGCTCTATCTTCCCTCAGAGAATGTCTCTATCACGGAGAGGATACAGGGAAAGTATTTTCGTGGGATCTACCTGACTGACAGATTCACATATGTTTCTTGTGCCCGGATGGCCACTTCTCGCATAGTCTGGTGACGTACATATGTACCTTGTTTAGCAATTAGCGTCGGACAGTCATCTTCTGGATCAACTTCACTATCTATTCTTTTATCACATTACATCGAGGGAGCGCATTGACATAAAGCCGGGTCGGCTCGGGCTGAAACAAGCGAAATTACTATCTTTTGCACAGCTCAAGCCAGCTGGCAATGTTTAATTCGACAGTCGAAGCGAGAGAGACGGAAGTACATACAGGCCTCGGGACTCATGTAATTGAGATGATAGAGATGCTATCTCATGGCGATCTCCGGCCGTGGCTGGTCAGGCGAAGCGTTGCGTCCTATATATTCGATTGCCATCTCTCTGCCCCGTTCACGCCTCCTCGCCGCGTTCTCGTATCTCTACCTTTGACTTCTCTCTTCTTGTCCCGCAATGTCCTGGCAAGGTGATTGTCTATCAACGTCTCTGCGGTTGCCGGAGCTCAATCGGTCTGCATTGTGATGGCGGGTCGATGGGATAGCGTACGTTGACACGAACCTCGTCGGAAGTGGCAAGGTGTCGAAGGCGGCCATTATCGGTCTCAGCGGTGGTGTTTGGGCGTCCTCTCCGGGGTACACGGTGCGTGATAGTGCTTCCTGCGCTAAGCACCAGAACCCTGATCGGATTCTGTGGACTATAGCTATCAACACAGGAGCAGAAGGACATCGTCGCTGCTTTCAACAATCCCGCTGCTGCGCAAGCTAACGGAATTCGGCTCGCTGGACAGAAGTTCTTCACGCTTCAGGCGAACGACCGTAGTATATACGGAAAGAAGGCGGTGCGTGATCAGCGTCTGATGCGGAGTGCATTGGCAGGTTCATCCTACGAGACAGGCCGATGGGTGCATCCTCGTAAAGACGAAGCAAGCCGTGCTCGTAACAGAGTACATTACCCCTCTACAGGCTCCCGAGTCGACACCAGTCGTCGAAGGCCTCGCCGATTACTTGATCAGTGTTGGATACTGACTTGAGCATACGTGACGCAATGCATGGTGTCTTCTACGGCTATGGCATGATGGCGAAGTTTTGGCAATCTGTATTTCGATAAAGCTGAAGGATACTATATAACAACTCGTTAAATGCTCTTGAAAGACAGGTACTCTGTGATAAATGATAGAGCTATCAACATCAGCCTATCAGGTCGGTTAACAGATCACAGATCAGTTGGTGTCGGTGAGTGGCGATATAATTCAAGATGCTCCTCTGTCCACTGACCGGTGACCAGTGACCCGTCAGTTGCGTCAATGTTCTCCATCAATCGATGTAGATACCGTCACGGTCAAATGTCCATTCTTCTCTGAACTGCTCAGGACCACGGGCGCAACTGTGAAGTTAGGGGTTTTAGTTGGCAGATGCTATCGTTATATAGGACAGTGAGCCTTGGCTCGGGGTGAGTAGCTCTACATGGCCTTTACAAGAAGACAGTTCAGCCGTGAAAGTCTGAATAAGTAGCTTGGATTTGTGCATGAACGTTCACCACTGATATCAATACTCTACATAGTATCGGAACACTGGCCCGCGTTCAAACATCAAGGCAGAGACCATCTCTGACAGGTTCCTCGATAAGACGTGGGATCCCTTCTGACGCATCGGACCTATCGATTTCATCCTTCACCTCGTTTTGAATATCTGCATGAGCTTCTGCATCTATCTGCATCTCATCGGAGTGCATTTCTGCACCATCGACGTCGTCACCTTCGTCGTCGGTATCATGCGAAGGATGCAGCCAAGACTGGCCCGGGTCTACCGGTGCGCCCAGCGGGCCTATTATCTGTGAGGCGAAATTGAGATCTGAAAGCTGCGAGGGAGCAGAGACGGCTTGGTTATTGTTGAGCAGGACATCTCGTAGATTGAGGAATAAGTGTGAGAGGAGAACTACGGAGGATCTGAAGGATGTAAGCACTTTTGGAAGTACCATATGGCAACTAGCAGCATACATGTCGATGATGGAGGATATCCCAAGAGAAGCCTGCATTACGGTGGGGTGTGAATGATCAAGATTGTCCTTTACTACGAGACACTGACATTTACTTGATTGATAATAATCTGCATTAATTCGAGGATGAGATAAATCCTGGATCGGGGAGTTCAACACCAATGGAAGTTAAGTACGCGTCAACCTGCTGACTCGAAGTAAATGGTACTATACCGGGAAGAGTTAGCACAGCTCTTCTTGAATGTGTAGGCAGCCGACCATCTCTTAGGAGCAGGGTTGTGGTGGAGACGTTTACATTGAGCGTCTTGGCCATCTTCTTGATAGAATATGTTGCATGCCATGTGACGACGAGCACAATGACGTCGGCTACTATGGTGCAAGTTTGCGTCACGGCGATCCCTACGACCACGGAACCTCATTAATCATTATACGCGAACACATTGAGCACTAGAATGGCGCACAACTGTGGAGGTCGTCACTGAGCGTGAGATGACCAAGGAACAAATCACAAACATTTGCTCCGGACGGTTCGGTATGTTCTCGTATACTACGCAAGGAATTTCGATCGGAAGATCTGCGAATGAGACGTAGGTCATCTGCGATATGAGATACTGTCGGATGATGAGAGTTTCCGTTGACATGCTTAAACATGTTTAATAACTCACCATATCGGCAGCAACGATAACGAGCTTCAGGCCAAAGACAATTGCTGGCAGCTTCCATTTTCGACCACCAATTGCATAAACTCGGAACGATGCGATCACTGGTGGGACGATCAGCTTAGGAGTGCAGAAAGTGGAAAGCACTTACCTCCAACAATAAGGCGAATGCCACAGGCGACTGCTGATTGAAAATAGCTGAGAAGTTTTGCACTGTTATCGTCCGTCAGGACAGAGAACAGAACGATGGGTAGCATGCGGATAAGATTTACCTTTGAAAACGCATGCAAGTCGTCAGATTCCGGACAACGCGCTATGATTGGAAACATAGCCAGCTCACCTTGCAGAAATTCTCAAACCATATCCCATAGAAGAAACCCAAGTACGCAGTAGTGAAGGTGTGCAGCAGAAGGTATAGGATGGTCGCGCCGGTGAATTTTCGTCGCCAAACAACCGCCACCTCGAGGTCGAAGGAAGTGACGCGCTAATATACGTATAGGGCTGCGCGTGAGGGTCAGTCATCAGCCGAAGGTAGGCGATTGGGTGGAAGCCTTGCATACCGCTTGCAGCTACAAAGAAACAGTTGCCTATGAACCTGAGTGCTTGCGTCAGCAATGGACGAGGTAGTGAAGTGAAAGTACGTACGCAGGAGATAACAGAGAAGTGATCTCTTCTTGCGTCACTCCTCTTGGGTTGTTCGATGCCTGGAAGAGGTGAGAGACACTGCTAACATCCGTTTTATACAAATTTGCAAAGTATGGCGTGTCCAACGGATCTTGCACGGCCTTTACAACATTGAGCAGCTAGGAGTGTACGGTTTAGGAATGAATTTGGGCAGGGGCGTACGGATCACGCTCTCCCCCCTCTCGGGACTCTGTGAGTAAATCGGTTAGTCAGATCCTCGATTGACGAACGGTCCGGCTCACTACGTCAATCAGAATAAATTTCTAACACATCATGGTGAACGAATGATCGTCACGCAGCGTTGCGCGGTAGACGGGGGCCTTTCTTTGGTAGGATTGGCATCAAGGTCCTCCCGCTGTGCGATGCGATCAAGAGGTCGATGACATAAACTGGCACTCAGTGGCGATACGTAGGCCAGAGGCGTTCCTGTCCTATTAAGATGTGAGTCGAATGACCTGAATTTCTGGTCTAGAAGGTGAGCAATGACCGAGAGCGCATCAGGGTGGCGTTATATGTCGGCCGAGAATTAGGCGATACTCCTGACTAGCGAAGTCATGAAACACGGAAGACGGGGATAGTCAAACCAGTACATATAAAATCATTGATCAACTGACTAATGATTACCTCATTACATTGGTCATGTCCCTTGATTGCCAAGAGCTGTCAATGTCAGGCGAAGGCGATGCAGTACAGAGAATTGATAAGACACGCCCATGCCGCCTCCCCACTTCAAGCTTGTGCAATGGGCATGCAAATCGGCAACAGCAGCCGCTCCGAGCACAAAAGAGGCGTCTGGGATTCGCATTGAGGAAAATCCACCAAGAACGTTGGGAAGGGGACTAATTGACACTTGCTGCATTTGGTTCAGTTGGCACTCCTTTGTTTGGGCATTGAGAGATCGTGCAACAGCTATGGTTTGTATATCATTCCGGGTTCTCCTGCGATAGAAGAATGTAACAACATACCGTTGAGCCCGATACATCTATAGCAGTCCGAGGAGTGTGAGCACAGGACTTTTTCGCTTCACGGCTGAGCGAGCGCTACTGCCTGAAACACATGGACGTTTCTGCGTCCAGAGCTCACCTCCATGCTTATCATGTTGTTGTGCGGCGATGGATGATAACCGTGAACAATCTTCCATCAGATGCAGCAATGATACGGCCTTCAAACAACATCATTGAGGAATCATGCCATTCGGGAGCACCTTTGCCCACCCATTTGTTCGGTCTGAAGAGGAAATGTTACTGCACCAAGCTAGTGGTTCGGAAGGATATTGCGTTCACTCTGGAGGCCACTAGATGTGACCCAGTGACATTCGCGAGCTGTCACAACTTCTCTTCTACCTAGTAGCAGAGGAGCTACATAGAGTGTGCACCGCGGGAGGACAGCAACGTCACTGCATGGTGAAGACGAGCACGGTCACTGGCATGAAGTAGATCATGCCCGTCTCGCTATCGGATTTTCTGGACGCCGTGAGCGCGCACTGCAAGTGATAAGCTCTCGCCAGCAAACACCGCAGACATGAAGCAATTTGCGCATGTGGCAAATGCTTAGCAAATGTCGACAGCTTTTTTGCCTTCGTGATCTCAATTTGCTACGGTTCCTTCCCACATTCCGTATTAAGTATTTGCACAATAATATGTTAGAGGTAGAAATTTAAAATCATATATTTTAAGAAATGACACCATTTTCAAACTCACCAAATACATTTAGAATTTGAGTGCTGTTGAATGTAATCATACATTTTGAATTTCAAACTATGACATGTATAAAATATCCAGTAGCAGATGAAGGTGTAATTACGGTGAATGACTTTCATTCTAGTAATCTTGGCTAGAATGACTTCAGTAGGGAAGTAGAATGTAGGCATAATCACACCTTCATCTGCTACTGGATATTTTATACATGTCATAGTTTGAAATTCAAAAATGTATGATTACATTCAACAGCACTCAAATTCTAAATGTATTTGGTGAGTTTGAAAATGGTGTCATTTCTTAAATATATGATATTAAATTTCTGCCTCCAACATATTATATGCAAATACTTAATACGGAATGTGGGAAGGAACCGTAGCAAATTGAGATCACAAAGGCAAAAAACCTGTCGACATTTGCTAAGCATTTGCCACATGCACAAATCGCTTCATGTCTGCGGTGAAAGAATAGGACCCATGCAGCACGCCATCCGGTTCCTGAGCGTACTGAGTGAACGCTCGACGGCGATGTTGTTTACGTTCAACTTCCGTTTTCTTTCTTGAATTTTGACATTTTGTCCAAAATCATGGAACGCGGTCACATGCGCGTAAGTACGCGCTCGTCTCTTCGGCCGAACAAGTCCAGAGACCTTCCTTAGGCCGCCCATCCCCTTACCTATCCTCCCACCATTATGCGCACGACAGGTCTGCAGGTCATCTTTAGCGTCAGCCGGGGGCAGGGTAAGCTACCAGGTGATGCGGATGAGTCAGTATTTAAGCCGCGAGATTAGGGGATGAGACGGCGGTTGAACGTTGACTCGAACCGCCACCATTCATCGTGAGTGCGTTCACACTGCTGAATTCGCAATCTGACGTTTCGTTGAGCGTGCACAGTGAGACAGGACAAGTCAGTACGATGGCGACTTTTGCGAAGAAGACGTTTGACGCAGCCAGGTACGCTGCTGGTACGTCTTCCCACATCGTCTATAGTCCTACAACTAATCAACGTCGGGCTTCTTCGTGGATTCGCACTCAACAGCGCGTCCGACTTACCCCACCCAGCTGTACGACTTCATCTTCGGCTTCCACGCTCGCGACCCGCGCGCGAAATGGGACACTGCGCTCGATCTCGGTTGTGGGACCGGTGCGTGTCCTCTTGCATTCATCGATCCATTTAACGCCAACGCTGCTCCCAGGCCAAGCGACCCTCGAGCTCGTCCCGCGCTTCGCGCACGTAATCGGCTCAGACCCCTCATCGCGCATGATCGCACAGGCCACCAAGTCCCTCGACTCCGACTCGCACCTGAAGGCGCGCGTGCGGTTCGTGCAGAGCGCGGCGGAGGAGCTGGGCTGGCTGGAGGACGGAAGTGTTGATATAATCGTGTCTGGTGCGTGCTGTGGACTGTACACTAAGGGGTGGATCTGATGCATGAGGACAGCGCAAGCTGCGCACTGGTTCGATTGGACGAAGCTCTGGCCTGAGGCGGTGCGTGTGCTTCGTCCTGGAGGGAGCCTCGCTGTATGGGTACGTCTTGCCCGCTCCCGTTTCCTCCTCTCGTCATCCTAACGTGCGTCTTCCCGCAGGGCTACTCGCAGTTCCGGCTTACACACCACCCCTCGTGTACGCCACTCATTCATGCCTACTCGCAGGGCACTCATGCGCTCGGGCCATACTGGGAGCGCCCCGGACGAACGATCCTGGATGAACACCTGCTCGCGATCCCCAGTCCCTCCGGCGAGGCGTGGGGCGAGTTTCAGCGAGAGTACTTCACAGGTGAGAGCAGCCTTGCTCACCTCCTCTCTGCAAAACGAAACAAAAAAAGCTGATCACGCCTACGCACAGGCGATCATTACCCTTCGCTGCCGGCTTCGCGCCCGGTGCTTCTCAAGACGCGCACGACGTGGGCGGGCGTGCTCGGGTATCTGCGCACGTTCAGCGCGCTGCACAATTTCCACGAGGCGCACCCTGAGGATCTGCAGCGCCCCGAAGGGGACATCGCGGAGCGATTCTGGCGGGAGCTGCGGGAGCGGGTCGCGCAGGATAAGGGCGCGGAGGCGGAAGGCGAGGAGGACGAGGTGGAGATTGAGTGGCCCATGGCGCTCTTGCTCGCGCGGAGGGCGTGAGGGGTATGTTTGTTGTTGGGCCAGTTGACCAGTTATGCCGCGGTCTTGGCAGGGTAGCAGACTCTCGAAGCATTGACGTTGCGGCTGGAAGAAGCTGCGAGCATCCATCAGTTCCTTCTCTAGCTACAATTTTTTTCCTGATCAGACTTCTTCTGCCGTGAACAACTTGCCATGCCAACGCGACAATGTTTATCTCGACTGCACCATCTGCATAGGAACGAACATTTATCTTCGTCTGGGCCAACACAAGGAACATCCAGGGTGATACTGCCAATGTCACTCACAGATCGGGCAGCCGCTGAACGTCCGGATCATTTGAGACAACACCGAATCAAGGAGTGCTACAAGAACATCTACGTCTCGACCTGTGGCGGTGCGTGGCTTCGTTGTGATGACTGCCGGATGCTTGTTCTGTTCTGTCTCTGGGCGCATCGGCAAGGCAGGTTGGGAGCGGCTTCTTTTGTTCGCGCCCTGGTCATTGCAATTTACTCGCGGTGGCTCGGTCGTTGTGCGCCGTGTGCTCCATTCTGACAACGCGAGCGGCCTATCATGATCCTCTTGATCGGACGCATGAAGCTCACATTGCGTTCACCAGCTCGGTCTAGCTACCACAGACTCGGCTGTATCTCATCGAATACTTGACGTGAGGCCAAGATCCATACTGTTATCATGTCCTCCGTTGCGCGCGATCCATGGCCCGATGACCCGATTGCGTACCGGTGCACACTATTACGTGAACTGACATGCCAGTGGAGGTTCGTGACCGTTCTGATGTGGAATCGTAGGCAGATCGCAGGGATTTGGATCGTGATCGATGTTCGTAGCCGTTTAGACCCGAGTTCTTCGACTCTCACTTTCTTTCATCGGTTTCATGCGCAACGTGAGTGAGAGTGCATGCCTCCTGTGCCTGTCCTCGCTGATATCTCACGCAAACGCTGTTTACCGATCTCACATCGACGAAACGCGATGCGTGACGCGTACCAAGTCGCCGGCGCCGTGGTCGCTTGGCTGAGCGTCCAGCACCCTGAGCGTATCAGGCTAGTGCGTAGCGCAGTGGCCCGCAGGTTCGTTGGTGTTGCATGCGGACTTGCCCTAACAAATGCATGCTCCTTTGTGCGTCTACGTCACAATTGTTGAAGCCTGACGCGAACGCCCTGGCACGTCCTGCAGCTGTGATCGTATGCGATTTGGTCACGCAGAGTTCGCGCTGCGTATAACGCAGCGTAGTGGTATCACGCACTCATGGATCATCTGGTCTTTGGCTGGTGGATGTAGTGCCGTGTCTACCAATCGCTTCGCCCTTGGAGATCGCGTCGTACGTCTTTGGGCAGGGAAGCCGCACAGCATTCTCTTAGGCCATTTCTCGAGCGTTTTCAGCTATGACGGAGCATGTGCAGTCGGCAACCGAAACAAGGTTTTGCCCGTCGGTGCGCTGAGGCCAAGACCAAAGGCTCAAAGCGCTCATATGTAAGCCCGCGCTATTGAGGCCACATGTGAGTTCGCGGAAGAGCAGATGGGCGCTCGTCGTCCGACAGACGCTTCGGAGCATGTGTGGACTAACTTTTCATCATACGACTTCGACTCCAATCGATGTGGATATCAGGGCACCCGGGGTACTCGACTAGTCATGAAAAGGTCCAGAAGGGAGCTAACACTCTGCCGCAGAACCATGGTTCTCATATATCCGCAGGTCAAGGATGGTCTGCTTGAGTCTTATCCGGTGAAGCTTTCGATAGGCTCGTGCTCGGAGGTGGCCGACCGAGGCTGCGACGAATGGACTGCGAGTGAGAGCTGGTACGTCTGAGCTGATTGGAAGTGTGGCTGATTCCCTATTTAAAGACTTATGTGCTAGAACGACAGAACCGCATCCTCTGGCGCGAAGAACTCGATGAAAATGAGGAGCCTTTCATTTGATGAAGATAGCCATTATGCGTTCGGGCCGCAGTCTGTCCGGACGCACATGTACGGTGCTTAAAAAGCGACGACGCGGCCACATCTGCTTTGTTGAGCAGAGCGGAGGACTTTACCGTGGTCGGTGCGGCCATGCGTGCTGTGATCGTCGCAACGCGGACATTGTAGCGCAGAATTCGATGGAGCGATCGGGAGGGCCTCGACCGTGCATATTATGTGGCGTGGAAGGCGTTTCTCATGAACTCAGCGCGGGTGCACCATCATGCCGAGCGATGTCGCACTCGGAGACTTTGGCAGATGATGAACAATGAGGCGCAGATTTGTCATGCCAAAAGACAGGCGCGCCGAATCTCTGGGCGAGATCTGGGACTAGCACATGGCGATTTGCGGGGCCCCCGCGCCCTCCGGATCTGTTACCCCGCGCCCTGCCATATATGGCAACGATGCAAGAACCGCGGACGTCGCGGTCATGTGGGTTACCTGTCCATGTGCCATGCTGGGACGGTTCTTGTGACGCGCTGCATCTTCTAGCGCATCATAATGCACGCACGCGGTTGGTTCTTCCGGTGTTATAAACCGCATGCCGGTCCTCGATTTCCTTCCGACCCCGTCGCCACGCCCGCTGGTTCGACTTGCTCCCGTAAGTAACGCCAACCGTGACGACGACGGCGACGACGAGCACTACGACCATGTCCGCGCTGCACACGACCCGCCTGCTCTCCCTCGTCCTCTCCTTCGCCTTCGGCATCGTCGCCCTCTCCACCAGCATCGACGCGCTCGCCAAGTCCAACCGCCAGAAGGCCACTCTGCGCCGCGAGGCCGCCAAGCTCTCGTCCTCCATCACCGTCGACATCGACACCCACGACGTCTTCGCCTCGGGCGTCGTCGTCACCGTCGTCTCTGGCCTCATCGCCCTCGTCTCCTTCCTCGCCCTCGCACACGCCGCCCTCGCCCGCGCCCGCCCCTCCAAGGCCGCCGCCGCTGCGCGCACCGTGCCTCTCTTCAGCGCCCACCTCCTCGCGTTCCTCGCCCTCTGGCTCTTCGCGACGATCGTCCCCTTCACGGACTTTGTCGCTAACCGCGAGGCGAAAATCACTGCGTACTTGGGCAGCACCCCCCTCAGCGCGAGCACTATCCAAAGCGAGGAAAACGCGCTCGGGCTTACCCCGGTCTACCACAAGCTTGGCTATCGTGAGTGTCCGCCCCGAATTTCCGTGATCGCCGCTGCTTCGATTCTGCGCTTCTGACTTCGTTCTTGGTTCTGGTTGCTAATGCGATCCGGCAGTCGTCACCGGCGCGATCCTACCGTGGTTCACGTTCCTCTTCGCGAGTACCTCTGCCGGGCTGTCGTACCTTGCTGCCCGCCGTGCGAGGTACGCGTATGCCGATGGAAGGGAAGATACTGCTGGTGCCGGGGTAACTACCGGAGGAGCCGCGGAGCCGATGAGCGAGAAGCAGGACGTGAAGGATCAGGTCGTCGGGGGACAGGGCGATGCGCGGGTGTAAGTGAGTTTGGGGTGGGTGTATGCGTGGGGATCCTTGGCGGGAGGGTGTATCAGGATGCTAGGAGCATGGCCACACGACAATGCTCAAGGGCAGGGTGTTGAATGGTATAATACATTCCTGGTTGCACATGTAATTCGCCGTTGTGTTCTTTGTTGCAGTGTACGAAAGATACCCGTGTTATGAGCTGCAGCTCAATGATGTTGTAGATTTTTTTTTGCGACACCATAAGTCCTTCAATTGGATTCCTTTTGTCATGTTATAGGACCAATCATGTGGACGGACAATGTTGCCGATGCCTTTATAGTGTGCATGAACAAATCCACGATCATGCTCAACATGGGCCTTGAGCTTGAGCTTGATCATTCCCTTGTGTGACCGTTGAAATTTTGAAATTACGAAATTACGAAACGTTGAACGTTGATCGAATGAGCGAGCAATGGTTAATGATCAATAATTAATGAGCGGCAAGAAATGACGGAAACCCTACTATCATTGGCCCTACAATGCAACCCTTGTGGACATACCATTCCAGGTCCAGACTCCATATTTATATGCATCGAGAATCAACGACTCCCTAATGGCCCCATTCTGCCACGGAAATGAAGGACTCGGAGTGCTGCGAAATTCGAGGTCTTCCGGTCAACGACTCGGGGTCAGCAAAACTATGCAGTGGGGGATATTCTGACCGTCGGCAGGAGGAGAGCTGACCTCCCGTAGGGCCTCGACGCGGCTCAGTCATGGAACTGCGATCTTGTATGTAATTATAATGCGCATCATTCGTTGATCATCGTCGCTGTTGCTGCTGATCATCGAATCGATCATGGGTCACCGGTGGGATTGTCGGTCTAGTATCTACGCCGTTGTGCACTGTCAGACAGAAAGGGATTGGGCCAATATCATGATGTCTCCGCCGTGCTCGCGATAGGACATATGTACGCTCAGCCACCTCCGTTCGCTGCTCGGTTTCTGCAAGGCACATCTGATCCGCGGCCCTCATCCCTCCAAGCGACATTGTGGTACATGTCAACGCGACATTGCCAATGTATGTGATGATGGGATGTACTAGTAGGTGCGATATATCGTGTGTAGACGTACATGGAGATATGATGTTTTAGAATAAAGCGAGTCTTTGTGTGGATGCGTGCAATGTTAGTAGTATCCGATGAAAGTCAATATGGGACCGACAGTCGTTAAAGGTACCATGACGGGAGATGTGTGCGAAGCCATCCGCACCTTTACATGAATCCAAGCGGTCCAATCCGACGAAACCGATACGGACATCAGACCGACAGTTCATCAAAGCAAGACACGTAACACCCGACATCTAAAATCTAAACATTCACCTCGGCCCTCTGCTCGTAAATCTCAACATCGATCGTGTTCGCGCTGAGAAAGCGATAAATCTTGACAAGCTTCGTCTGCCCATACCGCCTCAGCCGCCCAATCGCCTGCGTCTCGCACGCGTCGTAGATATCTTGCGTCGCGGCCAGCAGCGGAGACAGGAACACCGCATGATTCGCCGACGCCAAATTCGCCCCGCTCGCGCTCTCGTCCATCACGTTCAGCAACAGCACGCGCTCCTCGCTCTCCGTCTGGAACTGCTCGAGGCTCTTGCTCTTCTGCGCCGCGGAACCCCGGATCTCGAGGAACGCGACGTCGTGCGCGGCCAGCGCCTCGGCGACTTTCTTCATCAGGTCGGGGAACTGCACGAAGATGAGCACCCGATCTTCCTTGGGTATCTCCGTCCTATAAAGAGGACTCATCAGCATCCGCGATCATGATCTGGAGAGTGCAACTTACTTGACGAGGTGAATGACCTTCTCGAGCTTCAGGCCGTAGTGCTTGCCCTGCCCATCGCGCTGCTCATCGTCAACGCCCAGCGTGTCGCCCTTGACAACGTTCAGCACACGAGCGGCCGCCTTGCACGCACCAGATGCAGCATACACGCACTCCTCCCGCTCCGCGTGCTCCGTCACACACGCGATGCAGCCTGTATGCCCACAAGACGAGAGCACCGCGATCTCTTCAATCGGGACTTGATCCCGCCCACACGAGGGACACGACACCACAGGGGGCACGTCCGCCTGCCTCTGCAAGTCCCGGACGGCAGTGAAGTACCGCAAGGACCGCACGCGGCCCACGAGCTCCTTCGTCACACGGCGTATCTCGTGCGTCTGCTCGCGGTGCTCCCAGATGAGCCGCTTGACGCTCTCCGGCAGACCGTCGTCCTTCGACTTGCCCTTACCGCGCGCGTCGAGCTGCCTGTTCGTGATCGCCCGAAGGGGCGCAGCGATGGTCGCCTGGTCGAGCAGGGTCTTCATCTGCTCCGTCGCGTCCTCGTCGCCGACGCCCTCGTTGCGCGTGACGCGGATGTACTCGCGGAAGAGCGACTCGGTCTCTACCTTGCCGACCTTCTTCTCCTTCCTGAGTGCCTCCGCAATCATCTTCTCGAGCTCGGCCTTGCAGCTGTCGAGCTGCGCGCGCCGCTCGCGGACGATCACCTCGCACGCTTTCATGGCGTTCTCCTTGTCGGAAGAGTCGAGCTCGAAATGTGAGCAGCGCTTCAGAAGGGCTTCTTCGGCGGTGCTGGAGAGAAACGGTTGAGAATCCTGAGAATTCCTATTCTGCAATGATGACGTACCTGCTTTCCCCGAGCGCTTGGGCCACTCGCTTTTCACGGTCGCTTTCGCTCTTCCTGCCTCGCTTGACGGTCATGTCTAGTGCACGAAGATGGTGCTCCAGTTCCAAGTAGATGGCACGCTCAGCTGCAGGCAGGTCCACCTTCCTGATCTCTTGGCTGGATGGGATCTCGTCGATCTCGGCAATATTCTACCATTGCGATTAGAAAAATGGGTTACACGGAAACAGAGCACTCACTTGACGAACGAACTGATCCAAGAAGGATTGGCCGATCTGATGGCGGTGAGCATGCCACTCGAGACTATGGACCTCGCGGAAGGAGTGGAACTTTTCCACAGCTGCAGTTGTTGTCAATACAAGCTCTCAGATACTAATGGTAAACCAGTGCTCACCGGTCTGTTCCCTGCGGCGTTTCCTCACCTGGACCGACTGCCCTTCAGCATCATCGTCCACGCCGAGATGCAAGTTGAGGAAGGCAGAGATGGTCTTGAGAGCGCCAAAGTCGTGGATTGGGGGAGTACCAGAAAGTACCCAGTATCGCTCTGCCGTGATGTTCGTAACCATGGAATGGATGATCCCATCGAGATACGTGTACTCGTCGACGACCTTCCGGGAGAAGTGGAATATTTCGAGCGGCGGCGCTTGCATTCGCGTCCAGTCCTTACTCACTGCAATCGACCCCAGCTTCCACGGGTCTTTGACTTCTTTCTTCTTCTTCGTGGGCCTCTCGCCGTCATCCTGAGCTTTGCGCTTCTTGACAGCCTTTTTCGCCTTGCGCTTTGAAGAGGATGGCCCGTCGATGTCCATGGCATCGCTGTCCGAAGCGGCTGCAGACTTCTTGCTACCCTTCACGATGTTCCTCGCTGTTGGCGGCTTGGACGATCTGCTGGAGTAGTCGTCATCCGATGTGACCACGTCGTCGACGGCCATCTCGTCCTCGGACTGAGTCTCCTCCGCCGAAAACTCTTCATAATCCGAATCCTGCGACTTCCTAGACCGCTTGACGTAGACTGCCTTCCTCGCGGAGCGTCTCACCTTTGGCTCGTCCTCGTCAGGCACAAAGTCGTCGTCAGACTGGGCGTCCTCCTCTTCGTCGTCGGAAATCAATATCGGGCGCCTCTGACAGCTTCGACGGTGACGTGGCCTGGTGGGCGCATCCCAGTCGTCCTCTCCTTCTGTCGTCTCAGGCGCAGAAAACGATACGATGCTCATCGCTGAAGGCGACTTGCTGCGCTTGGGCAGAGGAGGGATGACGACCTCCATGATCATCCTTCTTCGCGAGCTCTTCATTTCTGGGAGCTCCGGCTTGAACTCCGGCTTCGCCGCACCTTCTGCGTCCTCGGCTGCCTGACGGTAGGTCTTACCCTTGAGTCGCTTCGTGGAGAGCAGGAGGTTACTTTCGTCCTCGTCTGGTACAAAACGCTTAGCATACAATAGCAGGACACCAGATATAAACTTCATACCTAGCTTCCTGCCCTCGTCGATCTTCTCCATCACGGCTTGCGCACCCTCCTCTCTAAGCCGGTCGACCTGTCCACGGAGCGACGCAAGCACGGTTTCCAACCTCGCGTTGAAGTATCTGCCATCTTGAGCAGGGAGACTACCGCCGCCAGCGAAACTCTCCAGATTCGCCAGATAGACGCTGCTGTGGAACAAGTTGGAGGCGACGACAACAATGTCCGCTTCCTGGACATCCTCGATGGTCAAGGAGTTCAGGTTCATAACGGTCATGAGTATGACGACCTTGAACCGCTTTCCTGTGAACTTCTCCACCTCGGAGCCCCATTGCCTTGTCAGATGAGGAGGAACAACCACAAGCGTCGCCTTGACCGGGATCTTACCCCTCATGTTCTCCATCTTCTTGAACTCCTCATTGACGCTCTCCGAGGTGCAGTCGATAAGACCGAGCGTGATGGCAGTCTTCCCGTACCCAACCTCATCCGCAAGCACGCCCCCTCTGACACGAACCGGCCTCTGCACACGGCCTTCCGCCCTCCATCCAAGCGGCTCCAAAATCGCCTCCGAGATCTCCTCCTCGATGAACGGAGGCGCGTCCGGCTCCTCCTGGGCCAACATCCACGTGAGCGAACGCAGCTGCTCCGGGCGCAAGTCAGTGATGAAGCTAGGAGGCTGCGCGTGTTGTACGTCGTGCCGATTGCTTGAGAGCTTGAACTTTGGGAAATTGATCTTCGCTGCTGGGATGAAGTCGGTCGTCAGGCACCACGAGGTCTTGATTTCTCCTGTTCGACCGGCAGAGGGAAGACGAGACATGGCCCGGTGCATGAGCGATGTAATGTTCACACCGATGCGGACCACACCGACGCCGCTTTCCTCGAGCTTGAGCTGCGTGACGAACGGCGCAGGGCGGCGCTTCAGCCTGCGCTCATACTCTCCAGCCTGCACCGTGTCCTCGATCGCCACGATCCTGAGCTTCTTCCTGGTCCAACGCAGGTCGGGCGCGGTGGGTGCGCAGCGATCGCAGTTGACGCGGTGGTCATGTACCACCCCCGCGTCCTGCCACTGGCCGAAATGATCGCCGACGTTACGGATGCGCTCAATGAGCCACGCAAGGGCCTTGAACGTGACGTGCTCGTGCACCTTGTCGACCTCCTGCCAGGCACCGCGAGGCCACTCCGGGCCTGCCTGGCCAAGGAGTGGGACGCGGCACACAAGCAGGGCGTTCGCGCTGGAGCAGGAGTCGTTTGAGGTGCTGACGGTGAGGTGGTCTCCTGGCACAGCGAAGTGCGCTTCGTGGCCGGCCACGGCCTAGCTCGAAGCGTAAGTCATGCCAATGGTAGAATTGATGATGGCACTGCTTACCGTCAGACGCGTCTCAGGCGACTCGATCCACTTCTGAAGAAAGTGGCACTCGATGCTCTGCTCTTCCACAGTATCGGACTGCCTCCACTTTGAGTCAAACTTGCAAACGAGAGGCCGTGTCTCGCCATATTCGTAACGCCGGTTGCTGATGGAGATCACGAAGCAGTCGTCCGTTGGATCTCCGCACCGCGTCGGGTCGAACAACAAGAACAGCGGCGGAAGGTGGGAGTCGCGCTCGTCAGACTCCTTGTTATGCAACGCAGAGTTCGCGGTGCCGCACTTATCCAACAACGTATATGCACCAGAGATATCCCTATCAAAGTGTACCACATCCTCCTGCGCAACGCTGATCTCAAGCCTCGAGTTGATCATCTTGTCCTTAAACTCGTCGCCCTGCAATCCGAGCTTTTGCTCCCAAGACGGCACGGGCTCGCTGCCAGAGATCGTGATACGCACAGAGGTAGCGTGTGGCAGCGCAAAGTCCCACCGCCCCGCGAACAGCCCGCCCCGGCAGGCCATCCTGCCCACAGGTGCCTCCAGCAGCCTGCGGAGCTCCGAGTTCGCTGGCTCGTTCTCCTCCGGCTTCGCGAAGAGGCGCCACTCGGCTTCCTGAGGGTAGAGCAGGAGCTCCAGATACGCAACCGGCGACTGGTACGTCGCCACCCAGATGTCTTGTCGCTTTGGCTCGACGAATCGCAGCTCGTGCTGGGAGATGCGGAGGACGGCCTCGCACCAGCTCGACCAGCGTTTGCTTGGGATGGAGACTCCAGATGCCTCCTTGAGGCTGTCGAGCAATGCTTGGGAGACGTTGGACAGGATAAGACACATGGGGAGCGTCGACTTGAGCTCCTTCGCAAAAGCCGTTGGAGGCATCCGTGGATGTGCCTGGACGTCGATGGGTTCAAAGTTGTGCTCCGGCCGACCACCGCACTTGACGCAGGACGACGAGCCGCAGTCCTTGCAGCGATTCACCTGGCGGTCAGTAATGTCCTTCCGGCCCTCACACTCACACAGACGCGCGCTCTTCACCGCCTTGTCGAGGAGCGTCGCGAAAGGGACCACGGAGGTTGACGCTAGGTCCAACGGCTGGTCTACAAGTTGGTCCTCCCCGGAGACACGGTCCTCAACGGGAACAGGGATGTCATCGGGCGCCTGGTCGACGTTCATCGAGTCGTCCACGTCCTTCCTGTCAACATCCACATCCATCGACGTGTCGTTGCGGGACTCGTACGTGCTCGCGTCGTTGCCCTCCTTCAGCAGCTTCCTGCCTACGATGAGCGCGGCCACGATGCACGCGCCGACGACGGTCGTGGACATCGCGTTCCCCGCGAGGTCAGTGAGCTGGTCCTCCGTCTCGCGCGTCAGGAGCAGCTCATCCACAGGCAAGCCCTGCATAGAGAGCGCCTCGATGCCGACCATGGGTCCGCCGCGATTCGTGATGTACGGAATGATGGAGGGTGTCAGGCATGTACAAATGCCGACTTTGTTTGACCCGATGGACCGGTCGACGTTCTGCGAGAGGTTCCATACTTGCCTGAATTGCATGTCAGTCTGTATAGCCGTGCAGTAGAGTGAGTGGCATAGCTTACGTCTTGTATGACGGATCGACGCCTTTCTTTGCAGACCGGAGGAGACTAATGTCCATCAAGTCCCAGACACGCTCCACCTGCCCGACTCCCCAGTCGTTCCACGCAAAGTCTGGCAGCTTACAGAAACCTCCTGAGAAATGATAAACACGCGGCACTCAGCATTACTAGACGTGCAGACTGACCTTCGTCCCAGCTCGTTAGCGGGCGCTTCGAGCCGAGCTCCTCCTCCAGTCTCGCGCGTTGGTGACGGGACTCGCACCGGCCCCAGTCTGTCCGGCCTCTTCGTCGGTCGACTGCGTTGTAGCTTTCGGAAACGAGCTTCTCGCGTGCCTGATGGATACGGGGGTCGTCGGAGGGGAGCAGGAAGGCATCGAGAGTGGACGATGCGGGTCGCTTGAGCTTGTTGAGAAGCTTTGCCCACTCATCTGGAAGATCCGAGTTTCGCTGGTCGACAGCTAGGAGGTATACACGGGTACGGGTATGGGGTATGTAAAAGTCCTTTGTATCAACTCGTAAGAACTGGGAACTGTATTTGTTCTTCTCGAAGTATTCGACCACGCGCTCCCAAGGTGCCGAGCACACGTTCTCCAGAATGACCAAGGGTGGTCGGTGATTCTTCACCCAGGACATCATCCCGCGAAATGTCCTTCCAGACTCGCCATTCGCGTCGATGTCTTGCTTTTCGTTGTTGAGGTTGGAGTAGTCGACGCAGGAGGTACCCGCGATGAGGATGTCGACGTCTCCGGGGACGGGCGCTAGGGACCCGTACGCTGTCGTACTTCATTACAAACGTCAGGTCATATAAGATGAACGAAAAATACCTGGCGTACGCATGTGTGTCCCCAAGCTCACAGACATCACGGAACAGCAGGGGCGGTTGGAAGTTCCGCTCAATGTACGCCTGCTTGAAAGGCTCGATCTCACACGAGAAGACATGTTCGAACTCGAGCTTCAGGTGATAGTGCTCGAGTATGGATCGACGAATGAGGTCGAGCGCGAGGAGGGGAGACTCTGTGCCGGAACACATTGTGGCGACGCGCATCCTGCGGCCTTGCAGGTGCTGTGCCACTGCCTTGATCTGGGGAGCGCGTACGACCAGATCAGAGAAGATGGCTGGTATGTTATAAATTGGAGGAAGATCCGACGCATCTGGAGCTAGCGCTGAGCTCTTGCTTGTTCTAGCGGTGGGTTTCTCGACTTCTTCGTCGATCTCAAAAGCCTCGAAGTCGCTGCTGGCTGCATCTGCATCAGGTTCAGACTTTGCAGAACCCTTTAAGAAGGAGGTGATGGACTTCCGGCCCCGCGCGGTGGCAGACCTTTGTGCTCGTGCCATGTCGAGATGGCCAAAGGGGGGAGGAGGAGGGAGGGGAGGAGAAATGCGGGTGACTCAGAATAGGGCAGACGCGTCGCGCGAATACGTGTTCAACTAGGTCGTGTCACACTCGCGATCAGTCATGACGTGACATGATCGTGACTGTACGTGTATCCGGCGCTTGTGGGTCCTATGTAGGCTTCACAGAAATATACTACAAGCCCGTCTTGTCTGTGCCATCGGTGAAGAATTGACCATGGCGTCGAGGTGTCACGCAGCCACCCAGACGAATGTGCGTGCACTGATGTGCGGCTTTTGCTGCGTTACGTGTTGTCCAAATGTTTCTGGAACCCGGACATATTGATTTCGGTCATCCAGTGCCACCAGCTCGTTTTCGAGACATCCTCCGGCACTTCAGGGTTTCTCTGCAGCTGCATCAGATATTACTCCGCAGCAGTAGCCTGAACTATGGCGACTGAGACCGACCAACTCCAAAGCAAAAGTGCCCGTGAGCAACACTGCTATAACTACCACTGGACGATGTCTTTCGGATGTGACAGTGCTCGCGCATGAAGGCATGACATTCTGAAGATAGCAATATTTTAATACATATATCTTTGGTTTCAGTGCCTGTCCTTGCTACCGACCTCACCGCCCCGACAAACCATCTGGCGCCAAAGGTGTGATCGAGCGGTGGACTGCGGTACGTTCAGGCTAATGGGACCCTTGGTGATCATTTTCCTTGCTGCAATGCCCCTCTCTGCGATGCAGCCTGCAAATCAGTGACATCAAGGGTTTCACTCAAGGTGAGATGCTCATCTGCGCGTTCTGACGCCCGTGCGCTCGTTCTCCAAGCTCAGGGCAACAACTCGGTGGCAATGTGAGAGCAACAATTTCTCAGACGTTACCCGTGCGATCCGAAGGGCGGACCAATAGTTCCATTCTCTTTAACGTCAGCAGGCCGGACGCTGAGCTCTGCGGAACCGTTTACTTAAACACGGTCGGAACCTCAACTGCCGTTACTAAGGCGATAGCGATAGCGATCGTATGAGGCTTTGAAAACGGGATGTGAGCCGTGGGCGATGCATACATATCTATGTACTAGCAATGATACGGTACTCGCTCGCATACTTATATGAGAGAGTGGATGAGGACGTACATCCTGTCTCTCGGAGAACAGCACGTAATTCTGGCCTCAGCATGTCGTCGAGTCAACCCTCTGCAGAAGTTATTACCCAGTTGCAAGACAAGTGAACGTCCATCGTATTGATGTTCCATAAGTGACAATTTTGAAGGTTGGCAGCAAGCGAGTGCTTCGCTGCGGTGGCGGGTGGATTGACCGTTGGCATGCGCCCTCGAAGGCTCCTTATTCACGACCTGCTCATAGTCCTGCTACTATACGACTACGCACTCACCATTGATCAGGAAATCCGGCTTGTATGGAACAGCAGACTGACTTTCACAACGGCTCTTTTCTATCTGAGTCGAATTGCCATCCTGGGCGCGGCCATCGCGGCCGCATCAGGAAAACATCACTTTTTCTTTTTGGCTTCTTTTTGTACCTTTTTCTTACAAAAAAGGCAGAAAAGAGAACAATGTAGAAAAAAGCATGAGGATCGGCTGATTCCTCACTTTCTCATGGCCTTTTGCTTCCTTGACGACGCTTGGCAACACTGATTTGCCCAAAAAGTTGTCGTCAAGTCCATTAAAGGAACAAAAGCCCAGAAGCCTATCAGGAAATTCCAAGGCAGATTCTCTGACCTTTTGTCCTTGAACGGACTTTTCACAAACTTTCTGATCAGAAAGCAACCAAAAAGTGCTCAAAAAGAAGCGAACAAGGCAAATTCAAGCCGATCCTCACGCTTATTTCTACATTATTTTCTTTTCTGCCTTTTTTGTAAGAAAAAGGTACAAAAAGAAGCAAAAAAGAAAAAGTGACATTTTCCTGATGCGTCGTAAATATTCCTTCGTACAAATCCACAGCAGTATGGATAACATTATCCATAAGAGGTGCTCTAGGCTGATCTATGTTGCATTCTAGAGGTTTGCTCGTACATATCGTCATAACAATCAATACTCACGCGTTCCCAGTTGCAACATGGCATCAATTTTATGGACATTCTTCATGTTGCTATCCTCTCTCACATGGGCGGGTAGGGAGCGAAGCCATGATAATATGGACTTCCAGAATTCTCACCCTTGTCCGTACGCACAAGCGTTCTCTACGCTTCATGTATATGTTCTCAGCAATCGTTCGTGGACACTGGCCGGTGTTGCTCTCTAACTGGTCCGGTGCCATTCTGCGCGAATTTGGTGCGATCTTTCTCTTTTGAGATCGTCTGAGACGATGAACAGATAGGGCTAACCAATCAACTGTGCAGGCCAGTCGTACGAGTGTGTCCGCATCTGTGGCGACTCTGGCATCAGTTGCAGTCTGCGAGGTTAACGTGTCAATGTCGTTGTCGGCTTGGGAAGGGTAGGTGGTTGTTTGATACCTACCATAACGATACTAAGTTATTCTTCCGCTTGCCGCAGAGGTAACTCATAGCCGTCCGTGTGCTATTTCCATAGGCCTTTTGATACATAGCTTCGCTTTACAGGGCTCATTGCAACTCGGGTATCTGCCATTATACCGGATATTATTGTCATAGCCGTGACCTGGCACCGATCCTACGTAATGCGCGCATCAAGGTTAGCATATCCGACCCGAGATGGCAAGTTAACATCGTTACGTTCTACTCAACTTTAAATGCTTATAATGTGATCAGGGTCCCTGTACTTCATGTAAGCGGGTAATGGTCTGATCTGTCAATATCGAAGCTCAAGCTATGCAGAGTGCTGGTGATGGTCAACGTTGCTCAACTCACGGTTGTCTATTTGTCGGTACGGTCAGCTCAATGTCTGGATAGCTAAACGGCACAGATATCACTGACGAAGCGATTGTTTGCAGGGAGAGGACGCGGATGAGGCCGCTTTTATCGTGAATGTGTCGGTATCGTTCATGTGCATTTCTGAATATGACTTATCTCGTTCATTAGCTTGAGTTCGATCTTCGTATCGCGATTCTTGCTCAACTTGCGCAAAGTACAAGTGTCTGTCGATGACTCTCTCTCGGATACAAGTGATCCATCGGACAGTGTGGACGACATGCAGCAGTCGGTCTCTCAATTATCGACATTAGTGCCTTTCCCCACGTCCATGTTACTCGATACTCGTACGCCTGAATCCAATGAGGACCAGACTCCTACTGAAGCCGTATTTGCAGGTTTCTCTGCAATTTCATCGCTGAACGCGACTGGGCGAGACGAGACGTCTATCAATGGCGACGAGAATGTTGTAGTCGATCCCAACCTGAGGGACCTGGAGACGAGGGAGCTCTGTAAAGCAACTTTGGCCTCTCATGCTTGACACTCGTCACGCCTGTGCGTTGTGCATTCTGCTCTTCGCTGACTATATTCTAAACGCTGACATCGTCTCCGCTCAATATTCTCGTTCACAGTGTTGCTTGAGATGCCGAGTTTTTTTCTCTCCGAGAAAATGTACAGGCAATATCATACATAAATATTCGCATATTTGGTCCATTACGATTGAGCTGTGTGCGGCTCCGTGGAGTTGCTGCAAGGACAAGAAGCTCGTACTCACACTAGTAGTCTACCGGTTGCAGGATTGTGATGCCTTAAAGGCGGCTGACGGCGTGGTCAGTCCCGACCTGAGGGACCCAGAGACGACGGACCTCTGTAAAGCAACCTTGACTTCTCACCTTGACACTCGTCCCGCCTGCGCGTTGTGGTGCATTCTATTCTTCATCGACTACTTTCCAAATGCCGACGCCGTCTTTTCTCAAGGTTCTCATTCGCAGTGATGCTTGAGATGCCGAGTTTTCTTTTCCAAAAGAATATCACCCATAAATATTCGCCCAACTGATACATTACGATTTAGCTGCGTTCCTTGGCATCAACAGAGTACACGTGTAAATATGTGTCCGTTCTTTCGGCCTTGACATATACTGTTGAAGAGGTGTAGATCGGGCGGTTCTCATTGAAAGCTGCGGCATACACGAGGTGGTCGACGAGCAATACGCGACAGACTGTATGGTCCGTGGAGTTGCTGTAAAGACAGAACTTGAAGCTTGTACAATACCGGTCGTGAAATTGCGATGCCGTCTCCATTAATGGTACCCATGGATTCGCTAAGCATACCATTGAATAGGATCATTTCAATGAGCGCCGTTGAGATGTTCGACGACTTACGAGTATCAGACATTCCGTATTTCTTTCTCACTTTGGTCATTGTGGTTGAGGCCCCTGAAGACAATGTTATGCCACAACAGCTCATGATACGATGTCACCATCTTTACAGCATCAAGTGGATCTTTGAGCATCTCCTGTGCTCGCCGATGCTTATCACTGCGCATTCCATAAGCCAGCTGACCGTGCTGCGGATATTCCCCACTGGTACAGTGGCACTTCACAATGGCCCGGCCACCGCACAGATGATGCTGAATTTCACGGAAGAATCTTCAGCTATCAGTGGCACCGCAGCAAAGACTGGATGTGAGTTTTATCAGCCTTACAATCTGTGTCTCTTCAACGTGATATGTTTATTAGCGTCTTCGTTTGTGAGACTGCTGTCAATCTGATTGGTCTAATTTCCATTGGCTGCCGGGGATAATAGTAAGCCGGAAGAATCTGCATCAATGGCAGTGAAGGTATCGATGAATGTTCAATTTGACCGCCGCTTGATCTCTGGAGTCTGGAGGTGCCCTTCTAGCGATGATACCAGGCAGAATGTTGTCTTCCCAGACAAGCAGGATGTTCGTACCTGGCTTCTTCAGAGCAATCACTGTGCGATTGGCAGCTGCCTGGAAGAACTCTTCACTGTTGGCTTGATCACGTCGTCTCGCTGCGAGCAAATCAGCTCCCAATGCAGTATAGCCTAAGTGTGAAGAGTGCCAAGACGTCGATCGCACAGCGCTACGATCTCATGCATGTTGCGGAAGCTATCAGTTGCCACTTGACGGATTCTGGCATGTCGTTCGCATTGCAAAGTAGAGAAACAGTCAATATTGATCACTCTAAAACGAAAACTCTTTCACGGACCACGTTCAGCACGTGGCGAAACGTGGTGTGGCCGCAAGTTCGAGCAGAAGGACAACATCAAAATTTGCAAAATGTTCTTGCCGCCCGACGGCACCGGCGACCGCCGCCTGCCAAGCTCTTCTGAGCTTCGTGCAAGCTGGGTCTGGCTGAATGAGGCAAGCTTGCCGGCTCCGAACGCATGCGGCGGCGCACTGCCCGAGGTTGACCGCTCCGCCGTCCTCTTTGACGTCACCACCAAAAATAATGTGGCGTCCTGGACATGTTCCTGAGAGGCGCACTCGCTGCTGTTCTCTCGTGCAAGGAAGACGGGCACCAGACATCGCCCACTTGTGCTGCTCAGAACAATATTTTCTCGCACTTCTAGTCCGCACTTTCTTTTGTCAGAGTTGCTCCATTGTACGCCATCAAGGAATATCCCGACACGGCGACTGCGCACGGACCTGCGGCCCTGGTGCTGGTGCTATTCGCACCCTTCTCGTTTTTGCGGTCGACGCCATTGCCCTGTTCGCTTCTGCTTATCGTACACTCGCAGCCGCGATCGTGTCGGCCCGCGAGCTCGGTGTGTCATCTTATCTCGCTACCGAAGCAGGGAAGGAGCGGCTCCGCCGGGTCATTGCCCCCGGCCTGCAGGCATCCTCGTTCAACTCGGGCCCGCCTCTCACGTCCCTTTGCTCCCCGACGTCAGCTCTTTCCCGCTCTCCTCCTCCAGCCCAGTCTCTCTCTCCGCGTTTGCGACAAACGCCGAACGTCGTTGTACCTAAGTCCAGGGCCCCAAGGTGCGGTATCGTCTCGCCTTCGCGCTGGCGACGTAGCTCATCAACTGAATTCATTTCTTTTCTCTCGGCGCCAGCCTGCCTCCGGCGTTGGCCCCACACCGCCTCTTCGACATCGCATTGTAGCCTCGTCCGTCGACAAGGCATCCTCGTCATCCTCTATCCGACTACTCCGTCTATCAGAGTCAACGATACCCCATACCCCCTTCGACACACTCATCCTGTCATTTTCGTCCTATAACCGCCATCTTGTTCAAGAAGAATTTCCATATCGCCGCGGTCAACAATCTCCATTCTCCACAGCCCTTCTACTCCCCATTCCCTCCATCTCGGAGCTAGCACGTCCACGTTCTAACTTGTCAAGCCAAGCCTGCCACCACAGCGCACTCGCAAGGCTCCCTCAATCTA